TACATCACACTATTTCTGCATTAGGAAAATTATTCAATCAACAATTTTATTACTTTCCCCTCTTTTATGTAAACATTTATTGGAGGCTGTTGTTTTAGTTATTGAATTTTGACACCTATAGCATACTTGACCAGGTGAAAGGTAAGAAGGCACCTGAACTGTGATTTAGTCACGTGTTATGTTATTTACCTTTTAAAACCATACATTATAAAGAAAAATATCTTATGTTGAAATAATTAATATAGCAATACTACACTTCTAAAGTATGCAATTCCATCCAGACAGACCCTTATAAATCTTAACTTCAAATTTAAGGAATTTCACAAAGTAAATTCAAATTCACATATTTCCACCTCTCTCTCCCAAATATCATTTAGTAATCAGTTTGTTTATTGCTACTATCAAACTGCTTGAGTCCAGGTATTTAATATATTCACAACTCATAATGTTCATTTCGAAAATATTTCTTCAAAAACGGGTCATTTAAATTTTCAATCGGACTATATATAAGCATGAAAATGTATACATGTTACATACTTCAGTCTTAGAGAACATGAGGGGCCTCGGTGGCCGAGTGGTCTAAGTAGTTACTACTGTAATCACTAGCCAGTCAACACTGAGGTTGTGAGTTCGAACCCTCTTGTGCGGGTGCACTCGACTCCAATCTTAATTGACTAGGATTGTCAGTTTTCCTATCGAAGGTCGGTGGTTTTCTCCGGATGCTCCGGCTTCCCCCACCAATAAAAACTGGCCGCCACGAAATAGCCCAAAAGCGGTGCTTAAAAGTGGCGTTAAAACACCAAAAATCAAATCAAATCTTAGAGAACATGAGTTATGTATTAGTTGTACTTGGCTTTGATCTAGCTTACAGTATTTGTGCTTTGTCTCTATTGTTTTTATTGTTTTTACGTAAGTGGTTTCTGTACTTCGTACCGATCTTTTGAGTTAGACTGGTTTTTATAGTTATTATGTACTGCTGTAAGACCACTGTCACACGTTGGGGGAAGGGGGGTGTAGGCATTCACAAACATTTACCCGGCCACATTCTGTATGTCTTGAATCAGGAGCATGTAGATCACTGGTTGTTGTTGGTTCATGTCTGTCATATTTTTTCCTTGGAAATTATTTGTTATAAATAAGTTCGTTCGTTTTCTCGGTTAAATTGTTTCACATTTTTAATGTTGAGACCTTTTATAGCCGAATATACGGTATGGGTTTTTTCATTGCGGAGGCTATAAGGTTATAGCAAATAAGTGGTTCAAACGACACTTTCTTCATTTATAATTAAGTGTACATTTTAAAAAGAAATGTTTTTCATCATCTGATTCTTTACCAACTAGATAGTGGTCAATAATTATATTCGATGTTCAATATAATTATGAATGTAAAAGACTTATGATTCACATTCTCGTATCATTTCCTTGTTTGCTTTTTATGTAAATTATATGTGTGTGTGTGTGTGTGTGTGTGTGTGTGTGTGTGTGGTGGTCGGTAAATTAATGAGAGTGACAAGCTTAAAGCTTTTTTGGTAGTCTAATATAGTTTAAAAGTAATTAAATTTCATATACTAGTATGGATTTTTAATTTTAGAAAATGTCAACAATAGGGGTATGTGTCAAACGAGAGTTTTGACATGCCACCGTTGAAAGTGGGAGGGGTCTAAGGGTGGGGGGATTGCCGTGCATCCAAGCTTTTAACCCAGTATTGTGTATCTTTTCTATTAATTTATCGAGCTTTATGCCAACAAAATTTCTTATGAAGTTATAGACTTGCAAGCATACAGGAATATTACTTTTCCATCTCAGGAAGAAGTGATTTAAAAAAATTCGTAAGGGTTCCGCGGAACCCAGTGTCTCGCCTACTTTTTCTGTTAATCGCAGGCTCAACAAAAATGAGGAAGTTAATCAATAAAAATATTCCTCTTGATACTATCTTTTGATTGAAAGAAGCTTCTGTCCAAGTTTGGTAAATATCCAGGATACATTTGTAGTTTATGAATCTAATAAATGTTTAAAAACTTTAACTGCAGACTGAATGTAATGTTAACTGGAAGAAAATAAAATTTCCTTCTAGATACTAGTATTTGATCATAAACAAGCTTCTGTCCAAGTTTGGTACAAATCCAAAATAGTATAAGAAAGTTATTAAAATTTTAAAAACTTTAACCACAGAGTGAATATGTTGTTTCCTGGCAGAAAATCTAAGTCCATTTAAAAGTAAAATACGGAAAAAATGGATTTTTTTTTTACAAAATTTCCTTCTAGATACTAGCTTTTGATCATAAACAAGCTTCTGTCCAAGTTTGGTACAAATCCAAAATAGTATAGGAAAGTTATTAAAATTTTAAAAACTTTAACCACAGAGTGAAATTGTGTTGTTTCCTGGCAGAAAATCTAAGTCCATTTAAAAGTAAAATAAGGAAAAATTGGATTTATTTTTTTACAAAATTTACTTCTAGATACTATCTTATGATCATAAACAAGCTTCTGTCCAAGTTTGGTACAAACCCAGGATAGTTTAAGAAAGTTATTAAAATTTTAAAAACTTTAACCACAGAGTGAATGTAATATTTCCCAGTAGAAAAACTAAGTCCATTTATAAGTAAAATACGGAAAAAATGGAATTTTATTTTTACAAATTTTACTTCTATATACTATCTTATGATCATAAACAAGCTTCTGTCCAAGTTTGGTAGAAATCCAGGATAGTTTAAGAAAGTTATTAAAATTTCAAAAACTTTAACCACAGAGTGAATATTTGTGGAAGCCGCCGCCGCCGACGACGGAATGTAGGATCGCTATGTCTCGCTTTTTTGACTAAAGTCGAAGGCTCGACAAAAATGCATCTGTAATAAACCTTCTTATATCTGCATATTCTTAAAAGCAATAAAAATAAGATCTATATACAGGTTGTTAGTTATCAACACTGGTTAGGGTATTTAATTGGTGGTGCATAGGGTATTGTATGGTCGTACTTCAGGTATTCATTAAACATCAGGTAGTTGTACCTGTAACAATAATATATTCCCATCTCACCTGTGCCCTCGGCAAAACCAACATCCAGGATGTACACAAAGAGCTTATGAAGTAATAATTCGTAATAACTATGTCTTATCAATCCCCCATGTGGCGTGCGACCTGAGGCTTACAACTTCAAACGAAACCTAAAATTGCGAAATTCAAACACTTGTACCGCACACCTGTGACCTATGATGAACTCGTGGCATGGCACCCGAGACCCCAACTCTGGATTCTTTCTGACAGTGGGCGGAAAGAAGTGTAGTTTGGGGTTGTTTATAAAAAAAAAGATTTGTTTAGTCTAACTATACAAATCCTTGTCTTTACACATTCTAAGTCTGCGTGTCATTGGAAAAACAAAAAATATCATGTCATTATTCTTTTTAATTATTATATTGTTGAATCCATCGACATCACTCATAATCATTGTTTATCACTGTCATGCGTTTTGTTGGATAATAATCGAAACTAAATTTGCGCTGTACCCATATATGTGACCCATATGTCAATATGAATGAAAGTAACCAGTGACGTAGTAGCCTCGTTCTGAGCGACTTCCGGGATGGAAATATGCATATTTGACAGGTCGATAAATGGTTGCATTAAAATACATATTTTACCAAATATTTGACACTTATATTGCTATCGATGTATTTTTGGGGAAATTTATGTATAAATAAACATTTTGAAACAAAAATTGAAAATCGTGTCATGTCTCCTTTAAAGCTGAAGCATTTTTTTGCCTTGCCTGCGACATAAGTCACAAAATGAGAGACATAGGGATAACAATGGGCAGCAGCATGAACTATTTGCATTAAACTTTATATTTCAGAGGGACACTAGAAGACTAGGAGGCTTCATACCTTGTATACTGATGCCTTATGTTACTAAGATTCCGTCATATGTCTGTTGTCCTTGACCTGATTTTCATGGTTCAACGATTGCTTGAACAAAAAGTTTAGTTTTTTTGTCATGTGAATTTCTCACTTATTATGAGTAATAGGTTAACTATTTAGGTATATGGGATCCTTGCAAGGTCTACATGTCTGTCAAACAGGATTAACCTAATCTTGACCTCATTTCATGGATCAGTAATCAAGGTTTAAGATATGTGATAAGGTCCGTTTTTATGCCCCCGCTGTAGCGGAGGGGGCATTAAGTTTTACCCTTGTCCGTCTTTATGTACGTACGTCACAAAATTGGTTTCCGTTCTCTAACTTTAGTTTGCCTCAACCAAACGTTATGAAACTTATGCACAATGCTGATTACCACAAAACACAGATCAAATGTGAATTTTGGTGGCGTCACTTTTAACGTTCCAGAGTTGTGCCCCTTTACAAATGAAAAAATGCTGAATTTTTTATTTCTGTTCTCTAAATTAAGTTTGCCTCAACCAAATGTTATGAAACTAATACACAATGCTTATTACCACAAAACTCAGATCAAGTACAAATTTGGGTAGCGTCACTTTTACTGTTCTTGAGTTATGTCTCTTAATAACGTTATATGCAAGCGGGGCATCATCTGTGTCCCATGGACACATTCCCAATTTATTTCTAATATTATTACCAATAGGTCAACAATATTTGGTATTTGAAATGATTGTACAGTGTACATGTCAGTCTGACAGGTTTCATCTGACCTTGACCTCTTTAACAAGGTTCATTGGTCAATGTTAAGTTTTTTGTGGTTTGGTCTGTTTTTTCTAATACTATAGGCAATAGGTCATCTATATTTGGTGTATGGAATGATTGTAAGGTGTACATGTCTGTCTGGCTTGATTTATTTGACCTTGATCTCATTTTCATAGAGCATTGGTAATGTTTAGTTAATGTGATACTTGTAGTTAAACTTTATCTTTAGGATTATTACATAAAATCAATCATGTGTAGTAAAGCAGGCGAGACATTTCAGCGTGTGCACTCTTGTGTTATGAGAACTGCCATATAAAACATTGTGTTGAGGCCTTACAGAAATTCAAAGTATACGATAAATATTTATTTTTATAAAATAACATGTGATACTTATAACAGATTTAAGAAGTAACAAAATATTGCTCAAAAATAACAACATATTATTGCACTATTACAAATCATTGCATATTAAGATATGGCACTTAATGTAAATGCTATCACAGTCAATTACTTTATCACAGTTTTTAAAGGTCTTGGTAGAGTGGGTTTTCTATGGAATTTCCATCAGTTTTCTGAAATAACAAACAAAAAACAACATTGTTATTGAAGTTAACAAAAAATATTTTATTTGATATATTTTTTAGTCTTACCAGTAATGGAGCCTTTCAAAAGTTTTAATATTGAAAAAGGTTCCGCAAGGTGTATTAAAAATAAATGACAGCTTACATTAAATTAATATATTTAAATAAACCCATTCGACATTGATACAATGCTGTACGGCTGCCTATAATTGCTCACATCCACTTTATTTGAACTTTGGTGGATAGTTGTCTTATTGGCAATCATACCACATCTCCTTATTTTCATATTAGTTATCTTATCAAATATACCAACTAACAAAATATAACAACAGAATAAATTCATACATTTAACACTAAACATAAAAGGATGTGTACTTACATCTGAGAATGGTGAGTCCATTTCATTCATTGTAAACTGAAATGATAAAAAAATGATGTAAGAAAATACTAAATAAAAACATTATTCCACAATTGTCCATTTTAATATAAGGGGCTTTAATTTTGGATTTTATAATTTCTTTAAATGTTATTTGGACATCGTTGTCCTTGTGCTATGTTTTGTTCTTGAATTGCACTTACTTTTTTCCCCGTATAGGTACTGAATTGCTTGACTGAGTACCTGAATGAAATCCAGTTACAGATTGTACAAAAATACAAGATGATTCAACATAGAATAGACATATTTATACTTTTGGGTATTTGGCTGTATTTGCTCAGCATTAACCTAGATCTGTCTCCGAATAACCTTCTGGCATCATGCAACAGTCACTTTTTAATTATAATGTCAATTTTTTTAAATTAAGAAGCAGAATTTTGCAGGAACTTGTTTGACTTTAAGTAATGGCAGATAAATTTGCATACAAGTGTAAATACGTCTATGAATTACTTACATCTCTTCCATCCCCATCTCCATCATAACTTGGGTTAGATAGTCCAAATCCTAGACGTTCTGAAAATTGCCTGAAAAATAAATCATAGCTTAGGTTTGACAATCCAAATGATGTTCTGAAAATATTCATGGAAGCGTATTAGGGAGAGAATCTGGGTTTTTTTAATATTTTACCCTGTGAAAAATTCATTTGACATTCATATTCATAACAACACAACAAATTAAACAACATTCTGAAGAAATTTTAACTTATTGGCAATTTCTATTGTTTTTTAATTTTCATAATAAATTTTTTTTACTGTAAAGTTTGAACTTCTTAGAAACCTCCTCTATCAGAATAGCTATTACTACTCAGTTTTTAGTGCAGTATAGACATGAGAAATTTGATATCTCTGAATGTTTTTTCAGAAGGGTCCTATCATACATACTTTTCTTTGCGTTTCTTTGTAAAGAAATATCCACCAACAACTAAACCAATCACGGCTAGTACTCCTACTGCAACACCGACTCCTATTTTTGTTCCGTCTGAAACAAAAACATCAATATAGTGTTAGTGCTTTAACAATGATGTTATAACAATTCCACTGCATACACATGATCAAATAAGATCAACTGAGAAGATTTTGGAATTTGAATGAGAAGAATGTAGGAAACATTAGGAGATTCTAGCTGGTCAATTATGTCCTTATGGATTGATTGTTGTTTGCTTAATGTCTAGTGGCAAATATTTCCAACATTTTTAGGATGACTTTCCCTATGAAAATACTGTAATAATTTCTTCAGTTTGAATCCATTATAAATATTAAAAAATGTTTATGAAGTGATTGGAAGATCAAATTGTTTGTCAGGTAAACTAACTGGCCAACAGTTTAATAATGTTTAAGTAAAATTCCACTGACTTGTAAGATTTACGCTGTAGAAATGAATATACATTTTTGATGGTATGAAAATGTGTGGTAATTCATAAAATAATCAGGTTAATGACTGCATGTTAATTATGAAGTAAGGCAAATTATCTGTTATATAATATACAGCACACAAAAGGGACAGAAAATAAATGTACTGTGAATTTTTTTTTATCTTCGTGGGTACCAATTTTTGCGGAAATTTGATTGCATAGTTTTAAAAAAGTCTGCATACAAGTCTATAGAAAATTCATACTTCGACAGGCCTATAGAAAATTTGTACTTTGTTGAACATTTAAATACCTGGTTCATCAGTACCCAGGTAATTGACGAATGTTGGTATCCCATGAATGATGATGGTTCCATAGTATTTTGAAATAAAAACAAATGAGACTATAGGTACAGCATATGTTAATTATACTATTTAACTAATAACATACTATTTTTCTTAGGAGGAGCTGGGTTACTTTGTGCTCTAGATTGGTATTGACATCTATCTCCAAAAGTACTAGATGAACAACTGTAATAAATAATAAAAATAGGTATAATCTCAGGCAAAAAATGGCTCATCTGGTCAAACAAATTTAAATTTTATCTAATATATTGTTCAATGTAACTTTAATGTCAAAATTTTGAGGGGTTACTGTTAAAGTAATGATAACAAAGATGAAAATTCAAATCCATATAAATATCTTTTTTCTAGTATAACATTTAAATAGAAATAACTGTATCGTATTAAATGACTCATATTTTCTGTTGCTGATCTCTATTTTCAAAATGCTGTCAAAATAGTAATAAGGCAATAAGTTTTTCAAGTACACTATATTTTCCTCAATTCCTTATTCACTCAGAATTTTAGCAGGGATTTGCCCAAATTTCCTTTTGATTCTGAACACACAAAGAATTACAGAAAGCATCATTGATATGAATTAAACATAATATAATCTAGAGTTTTGAAATCTGTATTCATTACAAGCTGCAGTTGAATGCAGTCAAAAGATGCCTTAGTCATCTATTCGTTGTTAGTTACTCACTTGCAAGAAGCTCCATTTGTTTTGCTTGCTGTACAACTTCCTTTGTTGAGACAGAAACCAACAGGACAATTAACTCCTGTCAATAAATGATCAATTCTCATAAAAATACAATTATATTTCATATTGGGTTTTCCGAAGCTTTGCCAGCCGAATTTTATCAAAAAAGCAAAGTAAATCTTAACCATCCGATGGACAGCATAAAATACTCCAGACCCCTCTACAAAAATAACCACCAAAAATAACAAAACAAAAACATTTACTACTTCAATATTTGAGATATTTGCATGTTTGTGTGTTTATGATTTGAAATGAAATGAAACCAGAAAACTGAAATGTCAACAAGGGCCCCCACTTGCACATTTTTATGTGACATAAAAAGAAAAATACATTTTTGTGTGACATAAAAACAAAATACATTTTTGTGTAACATAGAGAAAAAATTAATACTGGTGCACACAATTGTGACCTAATGTCATTCAAACTTTTGTATTTATTTTTTTAACAACTGATATACCAAGCTAACAAAGATATTGGTTCCTTTTCAAGGATATTTGATTTCGTGGTTTTGCCAAAATCTGTATACAACTTTATGAAAATTTGTAATTTGTTGAACATTTAAATTTGTGGTTCACCAGTACGCACTAAATCCAGGAAAATTGGTAGCTAATGAATAATAATGAATTAACAGTATTGGTTATCTTATCGCCTTTTATTTTTGCCATGATGCTGGCTATCCTTTAATTCTCTAGCTTAGAAGCAACAAATACCAATTTTTAAAGGTCAAGTCTGCAATAGACCATATCACTATTTTGGAATGAACAATTGCACTAATAATGGCGGACAAATTGTGATAAGGTGCATTGTTGGGGATAATATAACAAAAATCTCACAGTTGAGAACACATGACCAATAACCTTACAATAACACTACCTTATATTTTGTGACAATGAAATTCTAATAAAATAAACATTTAATTGGTTTCTATCAATACATTACTGTTAAATTAAACCCTTTGAAAATGTCTTTTTAAGATATTAAAGGTTGTTTGCATGAAAAAATATTCCCCCAAAATGTTAATCGTACCTTGTCCAGGCTGTCCACATAAACTCTCATCTGTGTAATCTCCACAATCATTGACTGAATCACAACGTGGAGCATTGATACAACTTCTCTGTTTGTTACACCAATAGTAACCAGAATGACACTTTACTAAAGAAATAAAAACAGAATGTAATTTGCAATACATGATAAGAAAAAAAACCAGTTTTCAGAAAAAAAACTGAAAAAGGTAACTGCTGAACAAACATGAAAAAGTAATGTGACAGAAAAATGAGAATTGTTTCCAAGTTCAGAAGTATAGTAATTGTTAGATATATATTTTCCATTCTAATGCAATTTTTTATGTAACATGCTACCTGTCTCCAGTAAAACTGCAGTTGTGACCGTCAAATCTAAAACTGATGGCAGCAACTCTTCAACTACAGTACTGTTATTCCTTAAATATAAATACTTACTACAACTAGCTGGTTCATCTGATCCATCATTACAGTCCTTTACTCCATCACACATGTAAAGTCTAGCAATACATTCTCCTGATCCACATGCCATTTCTGTCTTTTTACATGTTAGTGTTGGTGCTACTGTTGACTTTGGTTGCTTTGTTGTTACTGGAGGTAATGTTTTTGGTTTTGGGGTGATTCCTGGTGTCAGTGTTGAACCTGTAAATTAAATTCCATGCATAATTATCTTTCATATAACCATATATTAAATCAATATAATCAAAATAGTTTTCCTACATTCATTATTATCCTTGATAGAGCAATCAAGAGCCATAACTCCATCTGTTATTTCTGTTGGAAAATTTGGAGAAAATCAAAAGTTTTCAAAAGTCAAATCTTATAGTGTGATCTTGCTATCAGTGACATTGTAAAGACATTTATAAACTTTTGGTAGCTATAATTTTATCTAATTCTTATAATTATGTGTGAGAAACAAATACTTGTTAGGACAAATATGTATCAGGATATATAATATATACCCATAAACCTTCTTATAAAAAAGAAGATGTGGTATGATTGCCAATGAGACAACTCTCCACAAGAGACCAAATGACACAGAAATTAACAACTATAGGTCACCGTACGGCCTTCAAAAATGAGCAAAGCCCATACCGCACAGTCAGCTATAAAAGGCAAGGATAATAATGATAAATAACCACCCATCATTATCAGTAAGACAAGCAATCCTTGTCAATGAAAATTTGAGTTGAGCACACTACTATTGATTACAGTAGATGAAAGATTTCAACCACTCAGCCACAGAGGCACCCTTAAGCTGACCTGACACCCTTCTATATTTAAAATAATCAATATTCTAACATCAATGAATATCTGTGAATTTGTATATAAGATTCTTTTTATCGGAAATTTGCCTTGTTTTTTTAGTTGAGAATATGAAATAAAACTATCTATAGGCATACAAAACATTGTGATAGTTGTTTGGTTATATAAATGAAGTTGCATGCATTTCAGTGATAAATTGATGCAGATGGACATGAACATGTGACATTGCTGCACTGATATGTGACATTGCTGCACTGATATGTGACATCATTATTTTCTGAAAACTATGAATGGGTTTCTTACCTGTTGGTGCAGGTGTTGTAGGACAGCCAAACTCATCGCTACCATCTGGACAATCATTGACAAAATCACACTTCCATGCATTGGGGTAACACTGATTCACAGGCTTACAGTAGAATGTATCTCGTCCACAGAATTGATGGTTCATTGGTTGGTATGGTTCTATAAAAGAAAAAAACAGGAAGATAATTTTATTGGTAGGAAATCACAATATAAACTGACAATTTTTTTCAATTTGCAGTTAGAACTCATCAGTACAAACTGATCAACTGTAGACAAAACATCAGCCCATTGCCAAAGAAAATTTGTCATTAGTATAGAGCAGGTGTAGTGTTAAAATACTCTTAACAATTCCAGTGATACCAAGATTTAAAAAAAATCAATGCCTTATATAATAAGGCACAGTGGTGTAAAATCAGTTTGAAAACTTCTAAATTGTAACAATAATAAGTTTAGCCCTTTGCTATTCTGAAAATGCAAAGCCTATAAAATTTTTGGATCCTTGATATTTTTAAAAGGTTTACCTATGGATACAATCTTATTTTATTGCTATTCTTAAAAGTCAAAGCCTTTGGATAAAAATTTTGTTCATTGCTATTCTAAAAGTTTGCTAAAATATTTGGTTCATTGCTATTCTGAAAAGGCAATACCAATTGGATAAAGCTTTGCGTCAATATTCTAAAAAGACAAACAAAGTCTTTTGGATAGCAAATTTGGTTCATTGCTATTCTGAAAAGGCAAAGTCTATTGGATAAAACTTTGGTTCATTGATATTCTATAAAGGCAAACAATGTTTTTTAGATAAAAAAAAATTTGGTTTATTGTTATTTTAAGAGGGCACAGTCTATTGGATAAGTAGAAGAAAAAAACTGATATGATAAAGGAACTGATAAAGTTATGGGAAGCTCATTCATGAAATATAAATTTCTATATGCCCTATAATGGTTGTAAGCAAACTTATTTGACCTACTCCAAAGAGTCAACTATGAACCAATTAAAATAAAATGCTTCGCTGGGGCGCAGCTTGATACGACCGCAGAGGTCGAACCCTGAACAGTTGGACAAGTATGGACACAACATTCAAGCTTGATACAGCTCTGAATTTGGATTGTTATTAAATATTTGACACAGCATAGGTTTCTGACACAGAAAGAATGTGGTCTAAGAACTTGAATTTTTTTAATTTACCTATTATGGTCCAATGTCCAAAATCAAAATACATGGTTAGATTCAGCATATCAAAGAACCCCATATATTCAATTTTTGTTAAAATCAAACAAAGTTTAATTTTGGACCCTTTGGACCTTAATGTAGACCAATTTAAAAAACGGGACTTAAAATTAAAAATCTAAATACACGGTTAGATTTGGAATATCAAAAAAACCCAATAATTCAATTTTTGATGAAATCAAACAAAGTTTAATTTTGGACCCTTTTGACCTCAATATGAACCAATTTGATAGCGGGGCCCACAAATAAAAAATCTAAGTTCATGGTTAGATTCAGCATATCAAAGAACCCCATATATTCAATTTTTGTTGAAATAAAAAAAAATATAATTTTGGACCCCAACTTGGACCAACTTGAAAACTGGGCCCATAATCAAAAATCTAAACACATGTTTAGATTCAGCATATCAAAGAACCCCAAGAATTCAATTTTTGTTAAAATCAAACTAAGTTTAATTTTGGACCCTTTGGACCTCAATGAAGACCAATTTAAAAAACGGGACCCAAATTAAAAATCTAAAAACACGGTTAGATTTGGAATATCAAAGAACCCCAATAATTCAATTTTAGATGAAATCAAACAAAGTTTAATTTTGGACCCTTTTGACCTCAATATGAACCAATTAGATAACGGGGTCCACAAATAAAAAATCTAAATACATGGTTAGATTCAGCATATCAAAGAACCCCATATATTCAATTTTTGTTGAAATCAAACAAAGTTTAATTTTGGACCCCAATTTGGACCAACTTGAAAACTGGGCCAAAAATTAAAAATCTAAATACATTTTTAGATTCAGCATATCAAAGAACCTCATATATTCAATTTTTGCTAAAATCAAACAAAGTTTAATTTTGGACCCTTTGGACATTAATGTAGACCAATTTGAAAACTGGACCCAAAATTAAAATCTAAATACACGGATAGATTTGGCATATCAAATAAATAAATGTGGTCAAAGATTTTACAAAACTAATGCGCCATACTGTGCAATTAATGATTACTTCTTGAAATTTTTCAATATTTGAAATTTGAAAAAAAAATAATATTTGAAGAATAATTCTTTTTAATTTCTGAAATCTGAAATGAGAAAAAATTGGCCCCCCACAATTTCTTTTTATCCCCCCCCCCCTTTTTCCCCCCAAAAAATTCTTTCCCTCAAGATATGGTCATAATCTCAATTCAAATTTCCAATGGAGTTGGCAACCATAATTACCCATTTAAATTTACCATAGTGCTAACTTAATCTATTTTATAATAGAATTAATAAAAATATAGTGTCAAATCTTTCATATGGATTTTTTTGTAAAAAAAAAAGATGAAAACATTTGCAGATATTTTTACTGGTCTTCCTTTATAAATATGCATTTCTTTAAACATAATTTAAAAGCAGTGTAAGGGAAGTAACCAAAACGTTGTATTTGGATTACCTCCCTTACACTGTTTTAGATTATCTTTATTGTTCATTAACCATTACTTTATACATAATTTAAAAGCAGTGTAAGGGAGATAATTTCAATGATGTATTTGATTTATCTCCCTTACACTGCTTTAAATTATGTTTTGTACTAAAGTATTTGTCCATTAACCAGGACAACCTTGTTTTTCCCCCTTTTTTGCCCCTAATTCCTAAACGGTTTGAGCCATAACCCCCCAAAGCAAATCCTAACCATCCCTTTGTGGTATGAAACTTGTAGTATAATTTCAGAGAGATCCATACACCGTTCCACAGTTATTGTCTGGAAACTAGAAAATGCTCATTTTTGGCCCCTTTTTGGCCCCTAATCCCTTAACTGTTGGTACCATAACCCCCAAAATCAATCCCAACCTTCCTTTTGTGGTATTTAACCTTATGGTAAAATTTCAAAAAGATCCATTCACTTAAACTAAAGTTAGAGTGCGAAAACCAATATGTATTCGGACGACGACGCCGACGACGACGACGCCAACGTCATACCAATATACGACCACAAAATTTTTTTGCGGTCGTATAAAAATTCAACTTCTTACCACCTAAATAACATTGCAGTCTCAGAATCCTTGTGTATGGGGTTTGGACCAATCAAAATGTCTAAATCACTGTCATTCCCATCATACAATACCATTTCTGAATTTTTGTTTTTTACTTCTACATGTAACTGGCCTTGTGGTCATAAAAATTTCAAGCATGATTATCATACACAGACTCAGAAATCAATCAATCAAAATACTGGATTTGGTGTTACGAGCACAAATTTTGTACATTTGAGTGCTGAGTAAAGTCTTATGACTGAGAGCCCTGGTGTAAGAAACAACACATCTAAAATTTGTTTTCAATAAAAAGAGAGGATGGTCATGTCATTGACACAGCAACCACAGGAAATAAGCAACCAAAGACAGCAACCACAGGAAATAAGCAACCAAAATCATTTAAAGCTAAACACACAGTCTTCAACAAAACAGGTGTCTGTACAATACATCAAGCTCTGGCCATGTGGTCACAAAAATTTTAAGTATGATTATCATACTCAAGACTCAGAATTTAACCAATCAAAACACTGGATTTGGTGTTTCGAGCACAATTTTTATACTCTGAGTACTGAGTTAAGTTTTATGACCAAGAGCCCAGAATAGTCCTGTATACTTACTGCCAGTGGCACATTCTGGTGTGAATGAAACATCATCAATAGCTACGTCTGATTGAGCCTCGTCACCTCGTACACCTTCAACAACAACATGGAATGCTTGGCTACTTCCTACTAACAAGTTTATATACTGCCATGAAGGTCCTTGATTTCCTGACTTTGTCCACCATAACTGGGTATTAGTTTCATTTGCATTCTGGACATAAACCTGTGAAAGAAAGTATATCATTTTGTTATAATATAAGCAGTAAGAGGCCATATGTCTGATGCTGAGAAAAACAAGGTACAATATCTAAATGCAGAGAAAAAGAATATAGTAGCACTACTTAAAATGCTAAGAAAAAGAATATAGCTGTACTATTTAAATCCAGAGAAAAATAAAATAGTTACACTACTTAAATGCTGAGAAAAAGAAAAAAGGTACATTACTAAAATGCTAATACAGTTGCCAACACCTATTGTTACTCTATCCTGCAGTAGAATCTCATCATCAAAGATTAACAGGCTGCAATTATCATATTCTCTTAAATAGGAATCTCAAACATACCCATATTTTTAAAGAATGTTTTCATGTAATCCATAATATAATTATTCATTTTTATTTTAAAACCAATGAAATTTAACTTGACATACACTTCAACCTAATCAACTCTTAAATTTATTCACAACTTAAAAATTGTTGACCTTGATCTTTTGTGCTTTTGTTGTTGTTTGGATAAAACCCACAACTTTGTTTATTCGTACAATGCATTAATCTAGAGAAAATAGTTTGTCTAGCCATTATCATATATAAAGATAAATTATTATACTTCACTTTAAAATTCACGATTTTTGATTGGGTCATATGAGGGAGACATTCTACTCTACCCCATGGCCTATATTCTATTACCATTCACAGAGACCCTTGATCATTTTTGCACTTTACTAAATACTGATGGTTGATGTGAACATGATGTTATAGTTTGTTAATTTCAATTCAAAATTTAAAAGACACTAATAACAGAACATTTAGCATTATAAATTAAACTACACATGGCAGAGAGGGTGATAGAGCAGATTGTTACCCTTCGAAAAAACATTGTAAACCATGGCTTTGCATGGGTTGCCAATGTTTTCTTGCAATAACAGCCAGCTCTATCACTCTCTCAGCTATGGGGTATATATATATAATATCCTCATGTACTGTAGAAATTGTTCTTACATTCAGTGGACCCATGGTAGAGGATCCGTACATGTAGTACCACATTCTAACATAGCATACACCACGACTAGGTGGGAATGTAGGAGAATTAACTTTAGCTGTGTCACCTGCTCTCATCTGGGCACTGTTTATGTACAGGAACTGACCTGAAATTATTTAAGAATATGTAAGTGCACAAAATAAACATAAACAGAGATGTCTACGGTAGTAACTTATACAGAATGAAATAAAGAATGTTTGGTATATTGATTTCACAATAGTTGACATAGAAATGTCCAGAACAGTAAATAAAAAAATTCTGCATGCATTCATTATTAATATTATTGAACAATGGAAACAAATGCATGGTGAATTACTATGATTTCAGGAAAAACTGCATGGTGAATTACTATGATTTCAGGAAAAACTGCATGGTGAATTACTATGATTTCAGGAAAAACTGCATACAAGTACTGATATCAAAATTCTTTTTTTTTTTTAAACTAAATACTCCTTGAGAACCTTATTTGTAACATTAGACAATATAATATTATATTAAATATAAGCAAGCCAGTTGTTCCATTCATAAATATTCCATGACCGTTACAAATTTTGTCCCTTTCTGAAGACCCTCAACAGATAAATGTTACATTTCAACCATAAATTAAAGTTCACCGTGTTAAAAGGTAAGTTTTCATTGGTTAAAAGTTTACCTTTAAAACATGTTTGACTGTATTACTACATCATTCGAAATATCACAATAAAATATGTTTACTGCATGAACCTCTTACCATTGTTTGATCCTAAATGATCCACAGAAGGCCCTGTGTTAGGATTTGGTGTGCTTTGTCCTAATATCCAATCTGAGAAATCGTCCTTGCTTTGAGTCCACTGACATAAATTGGTATTAAAGTTACAGTCTCCTTGTGCTGGTGCTGTAAAAAATCAAAGAAAACATTTTGTTTCCCATGTTTAAGAAGTTCTGTGGTCGAAGTTGGATAGCACCAAGAATATTATATTTCTTCTCTTTTTATCCTGTTAATTGTAATATTGTTATTCAAAAAAGACATCATCCCTAAAATAAGGTTTACTATCATTTTAAAAGATAATCGCAATATTTGGAGAAAAAGTATTTTTACAAAATAATTTGGCAAAAAAAGAAACTAAAATATCTATTGGTTTCTAGTTTTTAAATCTATCTTTTCATCATACTTACTGGTACATCCATCTTCATCAGATGAATCACTACAATCTGTCTTTTCATCACATCTATATCTTCTATCTATACACTGTGTCTTACTGGCACATTGGAATTGTGAATTTGGACAATTCTTAACTTCAACAGCTGCAAAATATTTTGACAGGAAAATAGTTAAACCAGCCATGGGAATATACCATCAGCAGAAGCTACTTGTGACCTTAGCAATTACCATAATAAATGTTCTCTCTTCAGAACATGTGTAGAACAATTAAGAAATATGAAGTACAAATTGCTCATCATAAATAAACATTGTCACTTTTGGAATAAAAATATCTTCTCATGAGATTTATGCCATAATGTTTATGAACTCACTCTTAAAACATTTTTACATAATTTTCACAAAACAAAATTGATAAATAAATACACCAACAATCTACTGTTCCTTCAGTAAAATACCACTTACTAGGAGCACAGCTGTTAAACTGTATGTCATCAATTGCAATATCTCCAAGGTAACCATTTCCTTGGACAGCTTCAAACAAAATTGTGAAATGGTTGTAACTTGGTAATGGAACCGTCAACTGTTTCCATCCCTGACCCTGGTTTCCTGTCAATGATTTCAAGACATTGTTCTGTCCTGCATTGTTTTTCAGGACAACGTTGAGTGTTCCTATATTCCTGCCGTTCATGTTGTACCAGAATGTCATCTGACATGATGGTCCTGACTGGTAGTAGATGTCGCTCATTAGAATGGCTTTGTAACCAAGACGACTACCACTTGCTTCCACGTACATGTAATGACCTGTAAAAAGGGGAAAAAGATATGAGTTTCTTGTTTAAGTACAAATGTAAGTAAAAAGAGATGTGGGGTATTACACCAATGAGACAGCAACCTACAACACAAAGTTTAAAAATCAGGTTAGAAAAAGAAACTAACAATTGGATTTATGAACAATGAACTAAAATTTACAAAGCTTAAAATGAAGAGAAAAAAAATAGCAAGTAAAAAGAGTTACAGATATATCAACAACTTTCTGCAAAATATTTGATAAAAGAAAAACAAAATTTCCTCAAATATGAAAAAAAAATTTTGAAAGATTTCCTGAAAAAAAAATATATATTCATATATTGAATAACACACCTTGAGAAGTTCCCACAGAATGATCAGTAATAGGTCCTGTGCGGCTTGTCGGTGTTTTACCACTATTTAGTTTCCAGTTTATATTGTCTCGTATTGTATTTCTCCATCCACATTGACTATTGGTACCACTTTCAAATTGACATGTTGTTCCTGGAATAAAATGCATAGAGAGTTGGCAATTAAAACAATCAGTTACAAATAATGACATTCCTATCTCAACAGTAAATATTTATGAATAAAAACATGGAATACACTATTAACTATTATCAAGCTTTAATAACCTTCATGAAAAATTATTATTACAAAGAAACCAGAAGATATTTATATTTATCATTAATCTTGCATCAACTATTTAGTTATCTTTGTTGAATGTGTTGAGAAAATTCAGGGAGACCAGTCTTGTGTCCACTTGACCTGGTTACTTCTGTTTATTGTGTTGCTAGGTTGCTGTACACTTACCACAGGTTCTTTCATCAGTGCCATCTCCACAGTCATCAATGAAGTTACATTTTTGGTCAACAGAATAACAGTTTCCATTGTCACATGTAAGCATATTGGTTCCACATGGTCCCACTGTTGTTGGTGGTCTAGTGGGTTGGCCTGGTAATGCAGCTGAAGAATAGGTTTATCTAATTTACAACATTTCTATCTCATTTAAATAATACTCATAGCGCTTTACCCTGTGTCATAAATCATCATATAAATTCATTCTTTTTATAAACTACTTACATTTTTCAAACCATTCTTGACATTGTTATATTAATATAAACCTATCTAATATTCATAAAATGTGTGATCTTTTCCTTTGATCATCTAATCTTAAGGTTCATGTGGACCCTTTGGCTAAAATGGCTGCATTTTCACCTCAAAATTTACTCTGAGTACAGAAAAACCTGTGTATCTGGAAAAGTTTTGAGGCATAGCATGCCCTAGATAAATAAAATTCAAATATATTTTATGTTTTAGAAAAATAAAAACTTAACAGAATTTTGCAGTGCACCTTTTTTCATTTCTCCAGAAGGTGCCAAAATAAAATAAGTTGGGAAAGAGGTTTGAGAACTTCCCCACTGGTAATAATTGAAGTGAACTGTATTTATTGACATGGACAATAGATGGAAAATAGATACCTGACAATAATTGGTGATTTAAACTGTGTACCTGAGTGGACCATATCAAGTGAAACTCAACTGATTGTTAATTTTATCATCTTCTGCTGGGACGAAAAAAAGAGCACTGCAAAATCCAGATAAGTTTTAAATTTTCTAAAACATACAATGCATTTGAATGTTATTTATCTAGGGCATGTTATGCCTTAAAACTTTTCCAGATGCACAGGTTTGTCTGTACTCAGAGTAAATTTTTAGGTGAAAACGCAGCTATTTTAGCCAAAGGGTCCACATGAACCTTAAATATCACTTTTAGTAGAAGTGTTTCATGGTGTCTGTTCAAAGGTTTGCCATAATATTGCCTGGAAACAAATTGGGATCAAACTATTAATACTTGACCTTTGAACCATTAACACTGAAGTTTCCTGAATACAGGTCAAATCATTGTATAGTTATTATTTTGAAAGGATGAAAGGGATTACTAGATGGTTGACTATAAAAACAACATACTTCCTATAGGTGCTTGTTCACATCCAGGTGTTAGGGAAATATCATCAATAGCAATATCACCATGGTAACCATTTCCTATTTGTGCTTGAAGGACGACCTGTAGTAAAAATGTTGTTGAATTAATTAACAATTCAGAATAAACTTTGTAATTGTCAACAAAATTAAATTGTGGTCATGTAAGCCATTACAGTTTCAGAACTTCTTCTCTAAAATTTAAATATATTTTTAATAGTACCTGACAGAGTACTTACTACTATACAGCTTTTAGTATCTAACATACCAATACAGATAACTGTGACACTTCAACAGAAATTTTGGTATATATGTATATAGAAAATCATTCAAATATTTCATAATGTAAAATTTGATCAAATGGGAAATAGAATTCTTGTTTCTCCTGGCAAAATTGCCAGATAATTTGTTCTTTGAGGATAATTCTGCTGTCTTTTTATTCCATTCACTGCTTTGTATCTGTTAGGAATAGCACACAAAGACATACAGGTACAGCCCTATGACTCTTTTCACAAAAAATCTTACAAGAAAAAATATAGTCGTAAGATCTTTTGTGAATAGAGCAGCTAGATTTGTAACATCACCCAAGTGTGAAGTATGTTTTATTATTATGACGTAGAATAAGAGAATCCGTACAAGTTAGACATCTTGTTTACACTGTGCCTTGAGAATTCAAAACCTACCACTTTTTATAGTTTATAATTGAAAAATTTAAGACATTGTTCTTACCTCAAAGTTCTGATTCATATTTATAGCATCAGCCAATAAATCATATTGTCCTCGGATCCAGTTGTCACCCTGGTTCCCTGTTATATTTCCTATCACTAAAAATCCATCAGAGTTATAATTGTACCTCTTTATAATGGCCAATGATCCAATATCTTGACCCCACATGTGATAATAAAATCTCAACTGAAATAAAAAATAAGGTCACATGTAAATCATTCATTTACAATATTGAATTTCATGTTATTTTGGAATGGGTTTTCTAAATGTATAAAGTGTACAAATAAAAAAAAAAGCTACATATGATAAACTTTTTTATTCTTTACTAAAAACCTTTATAAAATGACACACTTTTTAGTATTATATGGTACTTTTATTCTATCAACACTTTTAAAGATTAAAAATTACTATGAATACAAAATGTATTATTAGAAATTTGATTCAACAAACTTTTTTACGTTACTATAGTACAAAAATTTAGAAATATTCATAAAACTTATTTTTCTGATTTATATAAATCTGTACCTGACAGCTGGTTACACTTCCTTTGATGATGAATGAAGCCAATCTTGCTATTTGACCTGGTTTATTAGGAGAGGAACTCTCAGTATAAAGGTAGGTTCCTGGAAAAAACAATTCATTGTTACAAAATATATTCATCTTTGATATGACATGTTTGATAGTGAATTCATGCTTGTCAAGCTTCATCTTACAGAATTCTGAAGGTTTACTGAAGCACAGTATCAAATTGTATTGTAGATCTAATGCATAATTATTACTGTACTCAATAAACACAAAACAGAAAATTTGACTCACAAAAGTAACATTTTTTTTTTCAACATCTTCAATAATATTTTTTTGTAGTCTGAGTTTTGCCTATTGATTATTAGTGAGTAAGTTACAGCATGTTAACCTCAACAACTTGACTTATCTCACCTTGTCGTGATCTTGTTGTGTGGTCAGTAATTGGACCTGTTCCCTTGGAACTAGTGGAGCCTGATGATAGCTTCCAATCAAAGTCATCCGTAATGTCATTGAACCATGTCTGACAAATACCATGCTCAAAACTACACCTTCCTTTGTACACTTGATCACACGTTTCTGCCTGTTATAAGAGCAAAACATTATAGATTAAAATTTGATGTTTCACAAATATGACTGAAAGTCAAATGAGGATATGAGTAACTTTAAAAAGGTAAAATGTACAAAGTCACAATATTTCATTGAGGTAATAACTTTTTTAACTCATCACTCATTCCATATGATATTAAGCTACTAAATATAGATGATCTAATACTACTAAGTATAATAATTCTGGTGTGTCACTTTTTCAAATATTACTTGATGACCTAGTTATGACACTAATATAGTAAAACACCTTCAATATAAAAATAAGATGTGGTATGATTGACAATGTGACACCTATCCACCAAAATTCAAATGAAGTGGATGTATTATGACTGTTACTGTACAATTTTTTCATGTGTTATTTATTGCTAATGAATTCATGTGTATTCAATGTTGCTGTATATAAAAAAAGAAATATCAACATACATATAAGAATAATTTTTGTATGAAATGTATATTATCTCAAACATAACGTGACAGTTAATATGTTATAAAATCATTTAATTTTCGAAAAGGCTTTATTTGATTATAATGTAAACAAATCAAGGAACTGCTTACAATATCACCATGATTATTCAATAATCCTCTTCTAGATAGAGGCATTGGACAATAAGGATGTTAATCACAATAAAGTTGCCACATTTGTTTGGATTGGGTCATTATTTGTTATGTTTGACCTTTTATCTTTAGTTTATACTGTAAACTCACAAATTATTGCATGGTTTTTATTAATGTGAAAAATGCGACTGTTGCAAATTCACAATGATAAGAACTTGTATTCTTATATCTGATACAAATATGAATGCAGCTATTACTGAACTCATAATAATTAATTTTAAATTTGGTGGGTCATATCAAAGTTGCTATAATATATGCTCGCAACAGTTTCTGAATTTACAGTAGGTTAAGTACTCAGAGGCCCGGGTCCCCCCTTTTGTGGGAAAAATTTGGTTGATTATATAGGGAATCACTGAAGCATGACTTGACGGGCCCCCTCTTAGGCAGTCAGTGGGCCCCCACTTATGAAAATTTATGGTACTGGTGACTGGTGTTTATCGTCAGCATTATGGAAATTCTGCAATTGAATGCCCTTATCTAAAGAATGTTAAATCTAGTAACTGGAGGAGAAACGGGCAATCACTAGCATTAACGGAAACCCAGTGACAATCCCGATCTATATCATAAAAAAACTTACATATTCATCACTCTGATCACCACAATCATCAGCATAGTCACAGCGATTATTCTGATCTATACAGTATCCATTAGCACATTTGAATTGACTGGTCTGACAACCTCCTATGAATGGTTCTGGTGCAGGACAGTTAATAAACTGCAATGTGTCCAGAGAAATATCTCCTTGGAATGAACGTCCACGTTTTGCCTGTATTACAATTTGGAAATTGGAACGTGCTCCAATAAAAACAATTGCACGGTTCCATCTACCAAAATGATCACCCTCAACAGACCATAAATGATCTGTTTGGTTGTTGAAGAGGGTATACACCTCAAGACCTCCAACTGATGGTCCACGAATGAAGTAATACAATCCTAAAGCACACTGTGGTCCAGTCTGACCTATTACTGGTGTGTACAGCTCTGTATGGCTGTTAAAGGATCCAGGAGAGCTATCAGCCCACAAGTAATATCCTTGAGCCTGTCCACTCTGGTCTTTGTTTGGTCTAAAGTCTGTACCTTTGATTTTGGTAATTCCTTGGTCTATTTTCCATTTGTAGGTTTGATCTGGTGTAGCAGTTAGTGAGGAGTTGATATTCCAGTTACATAACTCATCTAGTCCAAATCCACAGGAAACCTCCACTGTTTGAAGAAGAAAAAAAAACAATAAAGCAACTACTTTCTACTAATTATTTTTTTGTTTTATATAATTGTAATTTGAAACCTTTTCTAAGTGTCAAGAAACTTATTAAAGACATAAAAAATGTAAAGCATCCATATATGTGTGTCTTTTGTTACTGTTGTAATAACAACTTGTGTATCAATTTTTATAGACATGAAGGACAATTTAAAGGTAGTCAAACTCCAATTTTAAGTATATCACACACAAAAAAAAACCCAACATAAACACAACAAAGATAAGTAGAGCATCTGTAGTAAACATTTGTGATGGTATTTTGAAACAGGAAAAAAAAACCAATGAGTACTTAAGAATTTTTCACATCTGTTTATGTATAGAAAAAAACCTATCTGACCTTTAACGTTTTAGAAAAAAAGAAAGGTTTTTTAAATGCCTTAATATGGACTAGTAAATCATTTCAATTTATTTTAATCAGATTTAACTGTATAAAGAAAAATTAGAAATACTCACCACAATTAAATTCATCTGACCCATCGTTGCAGTCCTGTTGAAAATTGCAGACTCTATACTTTGGTATACACTTGTTTGACTGTTGACACTGGAACTGTGTATCAGGATCACACTTAGGTACAGGTGTGGTCATTGCTCCCTGAGAAGGTGTAGGTGTGGTAGCTGGTGGATTGGGCAAGCCTTCCTGGGCATATTGACAACCAGGTGTGAAGGTCAAGTCATCAATGGCAATATCACCAAGGTAACTGTCACCGACCTTGGCTTCTATGATAATCTGGAAACTTTGACTGACATTCAGTGGTATCTCATGCCGTTCCCAGTATGCTCCCTGTTCCTGAGCTCTGGTGAAAAGATCTTTGGTTGGTGAGCCAGAGTTGTAGATTCTATAATAAACCGTCAACGTATTTACATACTGTCCATACATGTAAGAGTAGAATCTCATACTACAATCCTTTCCAGTTGTACGGTAGAATGGCTTGGTTATTAACCAAGCTTTCTGATTGAATTTTCTCCCAGAAGCCTCCATGTAAATATAATGACCTTTACTGGTTCCTGTTGTATGATCCCATAAAGGTCCAGTATATGAAGTTGATGTTGCTCCAGAAAATAGTGTCCAGTCAAAATCATCATCACCATTACTACTCTGTATCAGGTCTCCAAATCCCATCTCAAAGTTGTATTCCTTGTATGTTCCACAATTAACTTCATCTGTGCCATCTCCACAATGGTCAGTCAAGTCACAAACGTAATTCAAACCAATACATGCTTTGTTTCCACAGGAGAAATGTGTTTGGGTGTTGCAAGTTGAAACTGCTGGTTGCATGCTGCAGTCTGAAAACTTTATGTCGTCGAGAGCCGTACCTCCACTATATGTAGTGGCTGTGTCAGTGAAGAGGAGATTGAATGGTTTGCTACGGTGACCAATACCGACTGTAATTGTATGCCACTGGTCATCTGTTCTGCGCACAAACTTTGATAATCTCCACAATTGTGTTTTAACAGTCCCTTCAACTACATATAGATAAAGTGTTCCAAGGCTCTGTCCATATGCATAGTATGAAAACATCACTTTACAATCTGCATTAGCTACTGTGTAAGTTGGACTCCTCACTTCAGCTTTTTTGCCACTTGGATGACCACTAGTTCCGTCATTTATAAACAGGAAGTGACCATTTTGATTTCGTTTTGTAGCATCAACTGCTGGAGCCACAAGTCTTGAAGTGTCACCACCAGTTCCAACTTGCCAATCAAAACCATCTACTTGAGTTTCATTAAATCCACAATTTCCTTGTCCTCCTTCAAATGTACAGTCTGTTGGACATCTCTTCTCATCACTGCCATCATCACAATCTTTATAGAAATTACAAACTTGGCCATTATTGATACATTTGTTATTATCACACTGGAACTGTCCTGCTTGGCAGAGATTTGGTCGTGGTGTCGTCATTGGTTTTACAGATGGAGTGACAAACTTAGGTTGACCACACCCTGGTGTGAAACTTATATCATCAATCGCTATGTCACCTGCTACACCTGCTCCAACAACGCCCTCAATGATGACCTGGAATGGCGAATTAGATGATAGTACTACTTCTCTTCTTAACCATTTGTTTCCTTGCTGTGAGGATATAGAAGTGAGCTGTGATTTTCCCGTACTTAGTGTATTTTGATAAACATTTAGAGATCCTATGTTCAGTCCGTACATATGATACCAGAACCTCATTGAACACTGACCAACTGGTGATGGCAAGTACAAACCAATACTAGCCGTGTCGTTCTGCTTTCTAGGTCTAGATGATTCTATATATAGATAATAACCTGACCTTGAACCTGTTGTATGATCCTGACTTGGACCTGTTCCAGATGAAGAGGTAGGGCCTCTCTTTTTTATCCAATCAAACTGATCATTTTTCAGCTGCTGCCAGCCACACATTGTGTATTCAAAAGAACACTGGTTGTATCCAGAACAAAGGGAGGTAATTTCATCTGAACCATCACAACAATCATTCTGAAGGTCACATCTTAAGTTCATTGGGACACAGTTGCCACTGAGACAAGTGTACTGGTTTGCTGTACAAGATCCTGTAGACTGAGGTGTTACACAGTTACTGAACTGAAGATCATCAATTGCAATATATCCAGCTCTTTTACCATAACTTATGGCTTCTATTATGATGTGAAATTGTTGGGCACAAATAGGTAGTGCCACCTGAGCTTGTTGCCATTGTCCATTTTGTTTGTTCAAAGCACTATAATAAAGTGAATATAATGTGCTTTCTGAGCCACCAGATTGAATTATAATACGGAATTGTCTAAATCCATGTCCATGTATATTGTACCACAGAGAGAAGTTACACATCTTTCCAGCTTGATGATACAAGGGGCTATTGAGACGGAATATATTACTTGTGTCATTGGCTATTTTTCTTGCTACTGCATATCCTCCATTTGTTGTAGTAGGAGAAGTGTGGTCACTGCTTGGTCCTGTATTTTGTGTAGGGTTACCATTACTCGTCACTGTCCAGTTTCCTTGATTATTATTTGCCCAATAACATGTGCTGCCACTGCTGAATGTACAAGATGAAGGACACATAGATTCATCACTGTTGTCACCACAATCATTCCTAAAGTCACACATTTTGTTGAAATCTATACAATTTTTATTACTACATTGCCACTTGCCCTTTCCACATGGCCCTGGTGGTGTTACAACCCATGGGAGTTTTCCCCTTGAAACCACCTGACATCCTGGAGTGAATGAGACATCATCAATTCCAATGTCACCTTTGTAACCTTTACCTCTGACCCCTTCTATTACAACTCTAAATGGTGATGAACTAGATAGTGATACTACTGCTCTTATCCACATGTCAGCTTGAGAACCATTCTTTGTCCACAATAAGCTCCTTGGTCCAGTCTCATAATTTTCTACATACAAGTTGAGAGCATTAATATCTGCTCCATACATATGATAATAGAACCTTATTTTACAATTATTAGAACTTGGAGAGAATACAGGACTCTTCAATCTCGCTACATCTCCCATTATCCTTGGAGAAGAGGCCTCAATGTAAACATAGTGTCCTGCAGTGCTTCCATACGTATGATCAGATCCTGGACCTGTACCAGCTGTTGATGTTTTCCCTTGTCCATAACTCCACTGGAAGTTATCTGTATCATCTTGAATCCAATTACAAAGATCCATTTCAAAATTACAACGTTCAACATAATTTGTACAGTTCTTTTCATCCGATTGGTCCCCACAGTCATCTGAATAGTCACATACATAGGATAGATCGACACAAGATTTTCTTGCACATGTAAACTGATTGCTTGTACAGAATGTCGTTGATGGACCCAACCCACAGTTTGTAAAATGGAAGTCATCAACAGCCATATCTACTGTTTTCCCTGAATGAACAGCTTCCAAAACAAGGTAGTATCCAGGTTGTCGTCTGCCAATGCCAACTGTTGCAATATTCCAAGTGTTACCATGGTTACCAAAAGCTGACCATACTCTGATCCTGCCAACCCTTGCATTGTATTGAACATTTGCAGGTACCAAGAAGAGTTGAAGTGTTCCTGCAGAATTTGTGTTCTTGTAGTAGTAGAAAGTAAGTTGACACAAAGAATTCAGGCTGCCAAATGGTGGTGCAACTAGTACAGCTTTTCCATATGATTGTCCAGTGCCTGCATCCACATACATGTAATTACCGATGGATGAGCTGCCATAAGTGTGGTCTGTCCTTGGACCAGTGGATGTGGATCCATTATGTCTGTCCCACTGATATCTTCCTGAACTCTTGTCTACCCAACCACATGTTGAAAATTGGAAGTTACACTCCTGACATTGAAGTTCATCAGAATTGTCCCCACACTGATTGAGGAAATCACATCTTAAAGTTGCATTGATACATTTGCCATTGGTACACTGAAACTGTCCTGCCTGACATTTACCAGATGGTGCCACTGTTGTCACAGAGCCTGCAGGTACAGTTGATATTGTTCCCATGTACGGTCTACAATTGGTTGTAAATGATATATCATCTATGGCAATATCACTATAAGCTGACTGACCAACAGTTGCCTCTATAATGAACTGGAATGGTGCTGTTGATGAGACAGTGATCTCTCTTCTTTCCCAGTATTCTCCTAGATTTCCTGTTCTCCTGTATCTTAGCAACTGTGCTCCATTTATGATAGTTCTTGTATAGATTGCCAATGTATTTACGTCTTTTCCAAACATGAAATAATAAATTCTCATTGTACAATATGGAGTGTTTGGCACTGCTTGGAAGAATTGACTAGCAAGTCGTGCCTTTTGTCCTGGCTGTCTAGGTGCAGATGTTTCAATATAAAGGTACCGTCCAGAGTTTGTATTCAGTGTGTGGTCTCTTGCTGGACCAGTTTTGACTGTTGGAGTGGTTCCTGCTCGCTTTGTCCAATCAAAGTCATCATCCTGTAGTTGTTGGAATTTGCATAAACCAGATTCAAAGTTACATCCTGGGTAGGCACTGCAGGTTGAGATCTGTTCATCTGTATTGTCACCACAGTCATCAGTGTAATCACAAACACGATTCTGTGAGATACATGATCCTCTCTGACATTTGAAAGTATGAGTTGTATCACATGATGTACTAATGGCGGGAAGTCCACAGCCCTGGAACTGTATGTCATCTATAGCAATATCTCCTTGTGTACTGAATGATCTGCGTGCATCAATAATCATTTGAAAGTTTGTATCAATTCTACCAATTCTGACTATAGCCTGGTTCCAACGGTTGCCTTGATCTCCAGCCAAGTTCCAAAGCCTTGTATTGGTTGAGCTTCCTGATGTTTTGGAGTACACATACAAGTTTCCAATCCCAGTTCCATACATATGATACCAAAATGACATCTGGCAGGTGCTTGCGGATTGTTTTAACATGGGACTGGTAAAGTATGCATGGTTGTAAAATCCTCCATTACTTGCATCCACATACATGTAGTATCCATTTGGTCCATTTGTGGTATGATCTGTTGAAGGTCCAGTATTGGAATCTGGAGTAGCACCTCTAAATTTTAACCATGTAAAGGAAGTCTTGGAGCTGTTCGTCCACAGACATGTCTGACCATTTTCAAATGTACAATCATATCCACATTGCGTCTCGTCTCCACCATCAGAACAATCTTGGTTGAAGTCACAAAGTTTGTCACTACTTATACACTGTTGATTTCCGCCTGTACAGGTGTATGCACATGATGATGCAGTTGTTGTTGGGGGTATAGCTGCACAGCTAGAGTCAATGACAGATATATCATCTATAGCAATATCACTAAGGTAACTACGACCAACAACTCCTTCAATGTAAAGAATATATCCAACAGAAGCTGAGGGTGGTATGGTCACCTGGGCTTGTTTCCATGCAGTACCTTGTTCTCCTGTCAGAGAAAACACTTTTTGTTTCTGTTGTCTTGGTTGCCATCTATAGACATTGAGTGTTCCCATCCCAGAACCATGCATGTTATACCACAATGTTAAACATCTGCTTGAATTAATATTAGGAAACCATGGTGAACTAATGATAGCATTGTCACCAGGCTTCCTTGGTGTTGAAGCTTCTATGTATAGGTAAGTTCCATATTGTGTGTTCAAAGTGTGATCAGCTGGAGGTCCAGTACTTAAAGTAACAGTTTTACCATGCACTCTCTCCCAGTCAAACTTGTCATTTCCACGGTTTTTCCATTCACAAGTATCATGTTCAAAGTCACAGCTTCCTTTAGGTGGACAGCTTCCTATTTGCAGCATGATGTCATCCAGAGCAATGTCACCTTGATAGCCATTACCAATAACCCCTTCAAATGTTATCCTAAATGGGGTACCACTCTGGATTGTAAGCTGAGCTGGAAACCAGTCAGGTCCATGGTTATGTGTAAATGTCCTCATAGGACGACCTACGGTAGTGATACCAGCTGGTCTGATGTAGATTTTCAGTGCTCCTACATTTCTGCCATACATGCTGTACCAGAATTTCAGACAAGAGCCACTTGTAGGTGGATAAAGTGGTGAGTCTAATCGAGCTTTGTCATTCTTATGTCTAGGTATAGATGACTCAATGTAAATATATGTTCCTTCATTTGTCTGGAAAGTGTGATCTGCACTTGGTCCAGTTCTATTACTTTTAGTCCTTCCTGTATTTAGAGTCCAGTCAAACTGATCACTTTTATCTTGTGTGTAACCACAGAGGCCATCTTCAAAATCGCATACAGTTGACTGTGGACAATCTCCAGTGTTGAATGTAACATCATCCAGTGCTATGTCCCCACTGTAACTAGTTCCAGCCACACCTTCAAACACAAGCTGTTGACCAAGTCCTTGATTTGTTACATGAACCTGAGCATACTTCCAGTCTAAACCTTGGTTTCCAAGTCGAGTCCACACTTGACTCATCACACCACCATTTCTCGAGTAGACATTCAGTCTATTGACATTAGCGCCATACATATTGTACCAGAACTTCAAACACACACCAGATGATCGGATGTTGACATTGGGACTTATTATTCTTGCTGTACTATTGGCTGCTTTCCCTGATACTTCTATATAAACATAGTGTCCTGCTGAATTCTGTAATGTGTGGTCTGATATTGGTCCTGTTTTTGCCGATACCGTTGATCCTGTATGCATTGACCAATCAAATGTGTCGTTTTTATCTTGATTCCATAAACATATACCATTTTCAAAGTTGCAATCTATAGCTGTTGGTGGATATGGACTTCTGGATGTAGATGGTGGGTACATTGAAGTAGTCGATGGTGGTATCTGTGCACATCCATACCTAGTGAAGCTGACATCATCAATAGCTATGTCTCCAGTATAATTTCCTCCATACACTCCTTCAAAGATCAAGTTAAACTCTTGTGTAGAAGAGACAGCAACTGTTGACATCATCCATATATTTCCATGGTTACCAGATGAAGACCATATCAAGTTCATAGATGTGGTTCCAAATGTCTGTTTGTATATGTTCAACTTTCCAACACCTGCTCCATACATGTGGTACCAGAACTTCATGCAACCACTGGTTATTGGTTTCATAATATCACTGACCAACCATGCCTTCTCACCAATGGTTCTTCTAGAACCTGATGTTTCAATGTACATATAATGACCTTGAACAGTTCCTAGGGTATGATCCACATTAGGTCCAGTCCTAGAACTTCGTGTTCCACCAAAATCTCTCTGCCAATCAAAATCATCTCCTACTATAGCATTGGTCCATCCACAGGTATCCTGTTCAAAATTACATGTTCCTGCAGGAGAACAAGAACCATCAGTAATCACAACATCGTCAATGGCAATATCACCCTGGTAACCAAGACCTCTGACCCCTTCAATCAAAACTGTATAAGGTCCATAATTGTTTAAGTTGACTTGTCCATGCCTCCAAATGTTTTGCTGGTTTCCAGTTCTTGACCAAATTTGACGGGCTTGTGATCCATTATTTTGGATGTAGATATTCAAAGATCCAATTGTCTTGCCATACATGTGATACCAGAACTGCATACACTTAGCCTGTCCTTGAATTGTAGGAGTTGTTAGTACTGCTCTGTTATTAGGTTGTTGTCCTGAAGTTTCAATATAAGCATAGTGACCTGAGATGGATCCATATGTGTGATCATACGGGGGACCAGTGCCCCTTGACGATGTACCATTTACACCTATTGACCAATTGAAATCATCAGCAGTACTCTGTTGCCAATCACAGAAACCACTTTCAAAGTCACACCCTGGTTTTAATGGACAAGGTCCAGCTGTGTAGGTTAGATCATCAATTGCTATATCTCCCTGAGGTCCTTTTCCAACACTTCCAATAATAGACATTTTGAAATCTGTTGTTGATGAAATGGTTCTGGTGGCCTGTACCCATTGGTCGGTTTGTGTTCCTGCTTTAGACCAGAAAAGAGTCCTTCTACTTGATGTTGTGACAAAAACTTGTAAATTTCCAATAGTAGGCCCATACATGTAGTACCAGAATGAAAGACAATTACCCTGGGCTGGTGTGGGTGGCATCACTGGACTGTCTACTACAGCGTTGTTTCCTCTCTTCCTTGGAGAAGATGTTTCAATATATATGTATTGGCCCTTGCCTGATGTATGGTCTGAAGGTGGTCCAGTTCCTGGGGACGGTGTGGAACCACTCTTTAAGGTCCACTGGAAGTCATCATCGATAGCTTGGGTCCAGTTACATATTCCATTATCAAAGTTACAACTAATATTAGGTGGTGCTGCATTCTGGTCACAGTTTACAAATGAAATATCATCAATTCCAACATCATCAGTAGTGGAGGCTACAAACGACCTTGCAGGAAGGACACTAAGTTGCATTCTAAATGGAGAAGTGATGGTTCCAAGTTTTTGTCCAATATATGCCTTTCCGAGGTGCCAGCCTCTTCCTTGGTTACCTTTTATTACATTTAAGTTTGTTATTGTTCCATTTATATTAGCAGAGACAACCAGAGTTCCAACATTTGGACCAAACATGTCAAAGTAGAAATACATCTCACAAGTGCTTGCTGATGGGGGAAGCAGTGGACTCTGGAGTAACGCCTTACTGAAGAATACTCCCTGTGAACCTTCTACAAATACATAGTGTCCAGATGGTGATCCCTTGGTGTGGTCCACTGGGGGTCCCACTATTGATCCCTGGTTTTGAGTAGCTGAGTGTCGACTAAAATTATATCTTCCATTACTTAAATCAGTCCAGCCACAAGTTCCAGACTCAAAGTCACATGATCCACAAGTTTTGAAATTACCTTGTCCATTTGAACATTGACTAGGAGTAGGCACAGTTGCTGGAATCGTAACAGCTGTTGGGAAGATGACATTTCCTGCCTTGATACATCCTTTACTGAACACCACATCATCTATAGCTATGTCTCCATAGACAATTCCACCCACTGTTGCTTCAATGATAATCTGGAATGGATACTGACTGTTTAGATTTATACTTGCTCTGTCCCATATATCCCCACGATTACCTGTCTTGGTTAGAAGTTTTGTTACTGGAGTACTGCCACCATTTGTTCTCATGTAAACATTAAGATTACCTACTGATCTACCATTCATATTAAAATAAAAGACTAGGTTACAGTTGGATGAAACTGCTTGGAATGGTGTACTTAGAAGTCTAGCTACATCTCCTGGCTTCCTTGGACTTGATGTTTCGATATATATATACCCTCCAGTTCTCAGTCCAGTGGTATGGTCTCTTGTAGGTCCAGTGCCTCTTGATGGTGTTGGTGAGTTTCTTCTTGTCCAGTCAAAGTTATCTCCCTTGCCCTGACTCCAATCACACAACGATTGGCCAAAAGAGCATCGAGAGGGGTAACCTGAACACTGTGTTTCATCACTATGGTCTCCACAGTCGTCAGTGAAGTCACAAAGTCGGGTGTTGTCAACACAAGAACCTCTTTGACATCTGAACTGATTGGTACCACATGATGCTTGTATTGGGGGCAGTCCACAGTTGACGAAGGCAACATCATCAATAGCAATGTCTCCAAGAACTGAATAACTTCTTCTAGCCTTGAACTGTATTATAAAATCTCTTGATTCTCTGCCAATATTTATTGTAGCTTGCTGCCATGAATTTCCCTTATTTCTTGAAAAATACTGTAGAACAGTAGATTGACTTTGAATGACCTTGGACACTGTAAGTGATCCAATAGAACGTCCATACATATGATACCAGAAGGACATCTGGCAGGTTGCTGCTGATTTCCGTAGAGTAGGAGTCTGTAAGGTTGCATAAGCATAGGTTCGGCCAAAATTTGCATCCACGTACATGTAGTAACCTTTTGCTGTTCCTGTGGTATGGTCACTCTGTGGTCCAGTGTTGGCTGTTTCTGTTCCATTGTTATGTCTAGTCCATCTGAAGGATCCTACACTTGAGTCAATCCATCCACATTGTGAAGCATCAAATGTACAGTTTCCACAGTTTTTCTCATCATCACCTTGGGGACAATCTTTGACAAAGTCACACACTTTTAGGGCCGAGATTGCAGATCCACCCGTACAAGTATACATTTTACTGGTCAGTGGCACTGCAGGACAGAATCCACTCTGTATGGAGATGTCATCAATAGCTATATCACTAGAAAATCCACTACCAATCACTGCCTCAAAAGCCAATGTGTATTCTTGTGTACTTGTCAGGTTAACTGATCCCTGGACCCACTGTAGTCCCTGGTCCCCTGTTACAGAAAAAAGACTGAAATGTTGATTTGGTACTGTTTGTAAGCCTATTGTATCCTTGTACAGATTTAGTGTTCCCATTGTGTTTCCATGCATTAGGTAGTAGAATGTAAAACAACTGCCTGAAGTTTTAGGTAGAACTTCTGACCGTAAGCGAGCTTTCTGGCCTGGAAGCTGAGGTTTAGATGACTCTATGTACAGGTAATTTCCTGAAAGAGAAATAGTAAAATTGAAAGGTTTTTGTTTAAAGATTTTTAGTTTTTTTTTTCAATAATTATTAGTATGTGTCAGATTTTAATTCCTTATTATTTGAATAATTGTTTGGTTAACAATTATAAGTGTATGTGTGCTCTCATTTATGTCCTTGTTAGAAATGTTAAAACATTAACAAACAGCTCATGTGGGCAATCCATTAAAAATAAAAAAAATAACATAAAATAACTAATAAAAATCAACTTTGGAAACTTACCATTCTGGTTTCCTATGGTGTGATCAGCAGTTGGTCCTGTCCCGGAACTAACTGTTCTCCCCTGATGTCTAATCCAATCAAAATCATCTCCTATTATGTCGTTAGACCAAGTACACAGTCCCTTCTCAAAGTTACAGTTGCCAGGAGGGGGACATTTGCCATCAATAATATTGACATCATCAATAGCTATATCACCTGAGTAGGTACGACCACGAACAGCTTCAAACGCCACCTAAAAATACAAAATGTTTGTCAATACCAATGTACTACCACAAATAGCTTCAAACGCCACCTAAAAATACAAAAATGTTTGACAATACGTATGTACTACCGCAAATAGCATCAAATGCCACCTAAAAATACAAAAATGTTTGACAATACTTTCAATTTAAAAATTATTGCATGGTTTTAATCATTGCCAATAATGAGACTGAATGAGTATCAATAATTAGAACTCGCATTCTGAAAACTGATACATATAACTGTATGCAGATTTTCCTGAAATCTCAATAATTAATCTCGCATTTTAGACCATCTCTACTTAATAAAAAATATAGCTCTATTTAAGACAGTCTTGAATTTGGACATTGCTAGATGATTATAACAAATCAGAAGCAAAAATGGACATTCTATTGAAATATATTTTAAAATTATATATGATTTTTAATGGAAGAAATGTTATAAGTATTTGCCAACAGCTTTATAGTTTTAGAGATTGTTGTTTCTGTTTAAAATTTGTATAGACTAAAGGCAGTTTAGAGCTACAACTAAAGTATGAATTAAGGAAACATATTGAAATCTACTATTTTTTTGGGGATGCTTTAACTGTTAAACATATACCCCATTCTCCTTTAAAATTTTATTCTCCTAACTTTTTTTAATATGACATTTCAATGTTCATCTCTTACAAAAGTAAAATACCTGATAGGTAGAAGCTGTTACTAAATTCACTTGTCCAATCCTCCAGATGTTGCCTTGGTTACCGCTCCTGGTCCAGATTGGTGGTACAAACTGTCCTTGTTGATACATTTTGATATTTAATGTGCCAATACCATTACCAAACATGTGATAATAGAATGTTAGACATCTGCCATTGGTTGCTGGGTATTTGGGAGTTAATAGTCTGGCTTTATCACCTGGTACCCTTGGACGGGATGTCTCAATGTACATGTAGTAGCCTTTAAATGCAAAAAATAAAGGTTTTCATATGTAATTAATTCAAAAAAAGAAAAAAAACACTTTCATATACAGTAATTTTCTAGCATTTCAGGAGACTGATGTTTCATGTACATCTTATTGATATTCATTCTATTTCAATTAACTTCACTAATAAGAGCTTTGTCAGGTTGATTTCACAAAGCTATAAACAGACCATGTAAACAAAAAGAAAAAAAATTAAATAATACATCAGAAAATGATAAATTAAGCTTTTTGGGTTATGATGATTACTGTAAACCAACTTATTATGGGCAAAGTTTTATTTAATTTTTAGCCATTTAGAGCCAACTCTCCGGCTTCTTATTTTCACGATTACTAACTTTATCACACAAGAGAATATTGTGTTTTGACATATCCACAACAATTTACATTCATGTTATTTCTACTTGCAAAAGTATGGAACATAAATTGCACACAAAAATTAATTAGTTTACAGTTATGGAATATTGAATATTAGGTTTTTCTAAAGGTTTTCAATATCAAGAACTTACCGGCCTTAGTACCATAAGTATGATCAAACTGGGGACCAGTATTAGCTGATGCTGTTTTTCCTGAGGCTCTTAGCCAATCAAAATTAAGTGTATCACTTGAATCCTGGGTATATCCGCATAGGTCAATTGTCTCAAAGCTGCAGGTGCCTGTTAAAAAGGAAAACAAAACATAAGATTACATACATGGTATAAGCAGTGTTCTAAATGTAATATTTTTCCAAAATTATATTATCATAGATCAAATGACCAATAATATGGTCACTTATGACCAAAAAAACAAGTTCACAATGTATGTTTACATATTTGTTTTTAACAACAATAATTTGAAAGTATCACAAAAAAATTAACTCCACAAATAATGCATGTTCACAATGTATGAATACACATTGGTCTTTAACAACAATAATTTGAAAATATCACAAAAAATTTACTCCACACAGTCAAAGAGACAAATAGTGCCGAATTAAGAAAACCACTGTCCACAAAAAAATTATATGGTTGCAAAGTCATCACATACTATCATTTCAATTTATGCCATTTTTCAGTACAAATGTAGTACGAAATAATATGACAAGACAAGCGAAACTTTTCACAAATGTTATGAGAAAAAATACTAGTAAGTCATGAACATTTCAGCATAACTTACAATCAATTTTTATTGAAAGAGTTTTGTGAAAAGATCCCCTGCCCATCAAAGGTTGAAAATCAAAGACAACTTTTAGCATTTCTACAGTATGGCAGATTAACAGGGTAAAAGAATGCAGTCATTTTAGAGTACACTTACTTGATGGTGGACAAGGTCCATCATTCATTGATATATCGTCTAAAGCCATATCACCTTTGTATCCCAATCCTAACACACCCTCAAAAACAAACTGCAAAGAAAACAAATTTCCTCATGAAAAATCATAACAAGACAAAACAAAGAAATAAAGATGAAATTAAGGTTACAATTCAGTGGACTCAAAAATCATTTGATTATTCAAATTTAAAATTCATAGTAATTTATGGGTTTACCTTGTCCAGCTACTAAATCAACCATAAAATTTTGCATATATTTTTTTTCTATGTTATTAGTCTGATTTTTTTCAATGTGAATAAGTACCTAATCAATTATTAACTTTTTCTTCACATTTATTATAAATTCACAAATTTAAATTAAAACTTCTCTTAGATAAAAATCCTGTTGTGAAATGAAAGTTTGTAAAGTAACCATAATCTTTTCAGTGATAAAAACACTTACAGCTTTGTTAACTATGAAGTTATTTTGTGTCATAAATTAATACAATATATCCCTTGTTTTCTGTTAATCTATATTACAGGTAGACTGCCATAACATACATCATAAAACAATCTACAATGAAGACTAAATCTTCTCTTTTCTTGCTTTTTACTTCAGCAATTTTGCATAAAATATGCTGCCAAGCAACAAATACCTGAACATTTGCCTGAGTCTGGCCTGATACAGAAGACAATGAATGTGGAGTCACATAAACCTGTCCATATCCCCATTGGTTGCCTTGGTTTCCTTGCTTTGTCCATAATGGAGTTCCAAGAGTTGTCCCTATAAACGAAAAAAACCACATGAATTTTCACTAAAATCAGTGCAGCTATCTTCTTACATATGTTTTTGTCGAAATTGGCAAATTATAAAAGTTCATTCAATATAAAAACAATAATACCCTTTATAACTGAACAAATACTGCCATTCTGTTGTTTTTTCTACTGTTTTCAGCCGATACATATGAACTGTTTAAGGTCACTTGATATACTGTAAACCGGGAAATTTTCGCGCCGTCTTCATTTCGCGATATATTAACAAAATCTAGTTTCGCGCCGTTTTGAATTCGCGATATCCCAGTGGCCTATATAAATATTTAAATAAATACTTTAGAAAGTGAACAGCTTTACATGTAGACTTGCTACAATTTCCTTTCTTTTATTTCTTTCTTACTAATTTATATGTTTACTGAAAACTGCCAGTATACTGATTGCCCTCGGAGAAAAGCAGGTGTCAGTATAATTGAAGCTGTAAAATTATTAAAGGGTAAAATTGAAAGAAAATTAGGAAGAGACATGTAGCAAGTCTACTTTGCATGTATTGTAATTCAAGTGATAAAATCAATCAGAAATCTTTTGTTTTCGGTTCATTAATGTTAAAGGAGATTAAAAGTTTGCCTTTAAAAACACATACACAATAAACAGTTAAGAAGACCTAATTAAGAGTGAATTAAATGCTGTCAGGATTAATGCTAATTAATTGATCTTTTAATCTGATTAATCTGTGTAGCAGATACAATGAGGTAATGATTTTAGAACTGATTGACAGGTCTGTAGGAGTGTTGTATACAAGACAATATCATATTGTCCGATTGCTTTGGATGTCTTCCATGTTTTAAAAGATTAATTTGAGTAAAAGTCAGGATTTCTATCATTGCTTTTAATTTAGAAATAAAGTTATGATTTGAGGAATAGATCTGTCGTATTAAAACTCGGTGTTATACAGTGGTCTTATACATATCCGATTCATATATGTTCATGAATGGTTTTCATCTTATGAATAGAGTTTCCTTGAAATTTTTGCGATCGTTTTATTTTCGCGTTTCAATTTTTACCGCGAATATAGCGAAAATAAAACTGTCGCGAAAATTTCCCGGTTTACAGTATTTATTCAGGGGAGCACATTCCTCCATCTTTTTCAAAAGAGTTCAGTAGCTGAAACTAAATAACCTCACATGTAACTTGGGTATAGAAACATGGTTACCTGAACTTTAGGTTAACTACTTTTAATCAACAATCAAACTATATAATGGAGTCCCAATGATGTATATCATATACAATTAAGCCCCATTCCCGAAACTTAAGAATAGGAGAATATTGATGTTATATTTGCTGGAAAACAAAATTCGTTATTTCTAAGCAAGTAATATATGACAAATATAAATAAAAGTTGATGTTGGGAATGCTTGATAAAAATAAAAAAGATTAACAACATAACTTTAAAAAAATAAACATGCAAAAATCTTTTGTGAGCTAATTGTATCAAAAAATTTTACCTGATTTAGCATAGAAGTTCATTAGATATATATTTTCTCCGTACATATGGTACCAGAACTTGACACACTTTCCACTGCTCATTATGAACACACTCGGACTTATTATTCTGGCTGTATCATTTCGTTTTCTTCCAGATGATTCTGTGTAAATATAGTACCCTGAAAAATATAATCAGAATCGTTTTACCATATCATATTCACTACTTATAAGAAAGCTTTAAAAGAGTTATCCAAACGGTTTAATACTGTAACAATTTCCCGAGGAGCAAAATTGCACAGTTCAGAGCAAGCACTAAATTTTCCTATTTCAGGGACATTAAAATTATATAAATTTTTAAATACAGATTTATATAATTTAAAATTTAAAAGTATAATGCATTCTCCTATTTTACAGATTCCAAAATACTCTAGATAATGAAAAAAATTGCCCCTGTAAAAAAAGTAATATACATTGCTTTAGTATTTAAGAATGTAAAATGCAAAATAGGAACTTTTATAATTGGATAATATTTAAATGTTACCTGCTGAACTCTGTGTGCTATGGGAAAATATTTAAATGTTACCTGATGTACTCTGTGTACTATGGGATAATATTTAAATGTTACCTGATGAACTCAGTGTACTATGGGATAATATTTAAATGTAACCTGCTGAACTCAGTGTACTATGGGGTAATATTTAAATGTTACCTGATGAACTCTGTGTACTATGAGATAATATTTAAATGTTACCTGATGAACTCAGTGTACTATGGGATAATATTTAAATATTACCTGTACTATGGGATAATATTTAAATATTACGTGTACTATGGAACAATATTTAAATGTTACCTGATGAACTCTGTGTACTATGGTCATATGGAGGACCTGTTGAGACAGAAGATGTAGTTCCTCTTTTTATTGTCCACTGAAATTGATCAGTTTGGTCTTGAGTCCACTGACAAATGGTATTACTATCAAAGTTACAATCAACATTTGTTGGAGCTGAAATAAAAACATAAATACAAATATTTGATGTTATAAACATTGTTTAAAAAATCTTTAACTGGTTACAGTTTGATTCAAACAAATATTAGTAATCATTAATAATAAATAGAGTACATCAATTTTTTGCATTCTCAAGTTCCAATTAAAAGTAACTCCTCCTGAAAGGAGAGTGCTACACACTCTACACCTAAAGAACATTTGCAACGAATCCATAGGTGGTCGGTTGCAAGGAGAAACTTCCACCCCTATCGAGAATTCTCACTTTTTCCAGCCACAGGCCAAATTTCCTGTCCTCCATCCTGATGGACCCACTTTACAATACTTAATTGACTTATTTTTTATTTTGATCTTGTCCTGAATCTGCATAAATTTAAGCAAACAACAATCAATCAATGATGGTAGCGTGAAAATAGTATGGTATGCCATAAAAATGACCTTGTTTGAAAAAATTCCAGTGTTTGAATACAGCAACAGTGTGGAAAACATTAGGATTTGATCACCCAGAGAAGTGATTTATATAATATTTTTCTATTCATACTGATATACATTTTACATTAAATTATGTTCTTTTTCAATGCTGTAAGACTTAAGAATACTGTAAATTCAGAAACTTTTGCGATGTTTTTATTGTTGCAAGGTGTTGCAAAAGAAATAACTAGCAGTTTGAATTTAGATATCATTACTTGTATGCATCATTCATGAAAAAACATTAATTAAACTCACATTTGTGCCAATAGCCGAACAATCGCAATAATAAATGCACACAATAATTTTGTATTCTGTGTGCCTGAATACAAGTACCAGCAGTTCAACTATGCTTCCATGCTGTTTTTTTTTTATATTGAAACAAGTTTAGTTGATCTTACCATATGTAACAGTGGTTGCTGGCATCATGGTTGTTGTGGCAACAGTCTGGTTACAGAATCCAGTATGGACCTGAATGTCGTCAATAGCTATATCACCAGCATATCCTCCTCCAACTTCTCCATCAAAGGTCACCTTCAAAATAAAATTGATGATACTAGTATCAAAAAGGCATTACAATATGAAACAAATCAGGAAATATTTAAAAATTCAACTTTGGCATTCTCATTAAACCAAAGGATTCAAATGAGGTGATTGTTTTTAATGACTGCCTTACTTTAACTGAGCCTAGCATGACATTTTTTCAGTAAGTGAGAAGTATATTTTCATGTGTTGTCATGCTAAACATATCCTTATCATAATGCAAAGAATAAGAAAACAGGAAGTAGGTGTCTGACAGATCAGAAAAGCACTCACACCTTATAACTCATCTTTGTCAAGCTCCTAGTCAAATTTTGTTCAGTAATTCCTGGGAAAAGTGTGACAAAAATATGTGTTTTCATTCAACATGTTGAAAAAAATCAAAGTATAAGCAAGCATGATGTAGGTGTTTAACAGATTCATAAAAGTAATTTAGACTTGTGCTTGTTTCTATGGAAATGTACCTGTCACAGCATTGAAGGATTGATTATGTGCACTTGCTCTTTTTCTAAGGAAATCTACCCGACACATTTTTGAAAGATGGGTTATGTAACTTGTTCTTGTTTCTATGGAAACCTTACCTACCACATTTTTGAAGGACTAGTGATGTAGACTTGTGTATGTTTCTATGGAAACCTTACCTGCCACATTTTTGAAGGACTGGTGATGTAGACTTGTGTTTGTTTCCATACATTTCCTTGGTTTCCAGTAGCATTCCATAACATAAGTGTTTGAGTCTGATCCGGTTTGTAAAGTCTTAATGCTCCAATATCTGTAATAACAAGTTTTAACTCAGTTTGGTTATTAGTATACTTCTTTTGTTATTTTTAGAAAAGAAAGGATATGAGATATCCATCCATGACACAAAATCAGTACATGAACAGCAAAAAACATAAAAGCAAAGGAACAGGGACTTTTTTATGTTATTTTTTTTAAAAGAAAGTATAATCATTGAAATAATTCATGATAAACCATTCGAATGTCTTTTATTCAACAGTTGTTAAAAGATCTAATAAGATTTGAATAGGAACATAAGAATTTCTATTAACTCTTTTAGTCCTTCATTGGAAAGATAAATATTTCTCCTTTATAAACAACTTATACATAAGATGGAGGTGATCCTGTTGGTATCTGCGGGTTGTTTATATAAGTTTATGGTCTAAGGCAAAGTGAGAGTTTGTGGCATGTAAAACTGTATAACAAATCCCCCTCGGTATACTGTAATAATTCAGGAAATCTGAACCATGTTTTTTAGTTGCTGTTTGTCTTTGTCTGTATGTCTGCTTTTTTTTAGAGGGGAGGGGCCAGGTGTTGGGTGTTTGATGTGATATGTTGTACTGTGGGGTATTTCCCCCCTTTTTATGTATGATTGCTTACCTGCTCCATACATGTGATACCAGAAAGAGAAGCAGGAACCAGTTGTTTTTGGGAAGTACTGACTGTAGAACCAGGCCCTATCTCCACGGGTACGACCTGATGATTCAATAAACATGTAGAATCCTTGATCTGTGCCTGTTGTGTGATCAACTGATGGTCCAGTATTAGGGGTCAAAGTTCCTCCGGTTGATCTTAACCAATCAAATTGATCACCTACACGAGTGTTCAGATAACCACAAGTGTCAGATTCAAAGTCACAATTTCCAGGTGCTGGGCATGCTCCTGGAATCACAGCCACATCATCAACAGCTATATCTCCTTGGTAACCATTTCCAATTACTCCTTCCAGGATGACCTAGAAATTTTGGTTGATATTAACTGTCTGTGTCAATCATTATTACTGCTAGAATATTTTAACTCATTCTAGTAGGAATTCATTATCATTCATTAGGTACTATAATTCATGGATTTCAAGGGTTGATTGATCGATTGATTGATGTTTGTGCTATTTCATGGCGGTCAGTTTTTATTGGTGGAGGAAGCCGGATTGCCTGGAGAGAACCACTGACCTTCGGTAGGAAAACTGACAATCCTAGTCAATTAAGATTGGAGTCGAGTGCACCTGCCCTGTGAATGATTAGAACTCATAACCTCAGTGTTGACAGGCTAGTGATACAGTAGTACGACTACTTAGACTACTCGACCACCGAGGCCCCTTTCAAGGGTTGACGTTAACCAGGAATTTAACAACAAAGTTTCAATTTAATTTCCATTTTAAATTTATTTTGATTCAATCTTTACCTGATATTTTTGAACTGGATTGAGTTGAACAGTAGCATAATACCAGAGATCTGGTTGATTTCCTTGTTGTACCCATACAATCTTGTCGTTGTAGTTCTGTTGTCTAAGGTAAACATTTAATTTGCCAATACTGACACCATGCATGTGATACCAGAAAGTCAGACATTCCTTTCCACTTAAGTTTGGAATAAACATTGGACTAACAAGGCGGGCTTTATCTCCTAATCGTCTTGGTGATGAAGCCTCAGTGTATATGTAATAACCTACGAATAAAATGATCAAGATTTAATTCACCTATGTGATACTTTTAAAGGTAAAGAGGAATTCAATAATTGATAAAAAGATTTTTCTTGAATTTGAAAAGACACCAAAGAGTGATTCTTAGTGATAGCATTCAGTATAAATAGTTAAATTTGCAAATGCCAGTTTTATAAATAACCAAATATAGCTTCATTCTTGGATTCCTCATTTTATGGACCGAGTTTTGGCATGTTTCATTTATATTCATGGTTACCAATTTTGATGGTTTGAGGATAAATAGCATTTTCTAGGATTTTGGATTTCATTGGTTTTACAAATTGTACATACAAACTATAGGAATTTTATACTTTGTTGAACTTTTAAAATTTGTGGTCTCTTTGTCCACATCAAATGAACAAAAATTGGTATTTCACGAATAATATAGAGAGACTAATATTTGACGAACAAATCAACACCAAAAACATAAGAATTGTTCTGCATGGACCATAAACTTTCACAGTGAAAACTAATAACTTACCATACTGGCTTTCTGTTGTGTGGTCATACAATGGGCCAGTACCAGTTGAACTGGTACCATTCCTATCTCTCTTCCAGTCAAACTGGTCTGCTGTCAATTCCTGTGTCCAATCACAGATATCTGCTTCAAAGTCACACAGTCCTGCAGTAAACACAATTTCATTAAATGTCAAAATCAAACAACATTGTATATAAAATGAATTTCATCTATAAATATGATAACACCTTGTATTATATACCAATGGCAGTATAAAATTAGGAGATGTGGTATGATTGCCAATGGGACAATTACCCACCAGAGACCGTATGTTGTGGATTTAAGCAAGCCCATTTTATATGCTTTAATTCTTAATAGTAAAGACATTTTTGTAACTTTCTTGTTTTAAAATATTACCATTCAAATTTGTAAAAAAAATATTGTTAACTGATATTCAAAGTTTTTACATCTCAATTTATCAAAACAAACAACTTTGAATAATGTAATTCAATAAAGCTTCTTTTGAAGTTTAATTACTTGTTGGTGGACACCTGTCTTGAACCATGCTGATATCATCCAGGGCTATGTCTCCTTGCCAACTAACACCCACAATACCCTCAAACAGGATCTGTAAAGTGTAAAAAAGGTTACTATAGTTAATTAGTAATCAACATGAAAATTAAGATATGTAAAGTAAAAATGGTTACTATTATTACAAAGTCATCCTGTGAATTTACATGCACAATATCAAAAATAAGATAAGTCAAGTAAAGATGCATATTGCAAAAAGTACTTTTTTCTGTTTTACTTAAAAAGAATTTGAAAAAAAACTTTTTCCAAAAGAATTGAAACAGGAATCATTGCTTCATATTTATTTTGCAGTTCTATATAACTGGATTTGGTGTAAAGAACTCTTAGTTGATTTAGTGTGTACTATTTAGCATACAAACCTTAAATGGCATTGGACTGGTAACCGTTCTGGTGGCTTTTCTCCATACATTTCCTTGTGTTTTAGATGTGGTCCAGATCATTGACTTGTTTCCATCAGAAGTTTGTTGGTAGACATTGAGTGTGTTGACATGGGAACCAAACATGTGATACCAGAATGTTAAACATACTGAGTTTGGTGCTGGTCGCTGTATACCAGTAGATAATACAGCTCTGTCACCACGATGTCTGGGTGAAGAGGTCTCGATATAGATATAATATCCTAAATACAAATGAAAAAAATATAGGCTTAAACCAAGAAATATCTTGAGTTTCTCTGAAAGGATATACAATTTATAAAGCCTAAAAATACAAATTATTGTTACTACACTAACAGTTGAACCATTTTTCTTATTTTTGCCTTTTTTAAATACCAAAAATATAATGGCCAACAAAGGGAATAATTTCTATTCCATGTAAACTTAACACATATACATGTCGTTGTGCAAAAAAAAATCAATGTACTTCTGACTATGACTTTTGGGACATTTTTTTTTCCAATACAAGGTAACAGGGATGCAATTAGATATATCCTTCTTTGCTTAAAAAACTTAAAAGAATAAAAAACTCCAAACATTTATATTATACCACATTCCATATAAATATTTGGAAAAAGTTGTAATACTGGTGTCTGATCCATTTGTCATTTTGATCATTAAATATGTTTAAACTATTCCATTGAAAGAAATGAAAGTAAACAATATTTAACTGTCCATTTCAGATTTCAACATTTATATGATTAACAACCACACATTTATTAGTTAGAATTTGTGCTTTATCCTAATGTTACCTGTTCCAGTTGTGTGATCTCTATCTGGACCAGTCCCTCTGGTTGGTGAAGCTTGATTAGTTCTTGTCCAATCAAAATCATCTTTTGTATCTTGGAAATATCCACAAAAATCTGATTCAAATGTACAGTTCATATCTACAAAACAATAATTTCAGCAGTTAATTTTTTGTATAGAATTACTTTCACATGATTTAATAAAAGACAATATAAAATGAATATCAATTAAATAGAGATGACTAAAAAATCTTAAGATCAATAACAATTTCTGGATAATGTCAATCAACAGGGACAGTCACAAGCACTGCTAAGGCTCCAGACGAAATCTAAATAGCTAAAAATATACCTATATTTGAAAGTATATAACTCATAAAACTAGCTAACCATTTTAACTGTTAAAGCACTAGTTCAAAATTAGGAACTATGTCAGTGGTCATCTTTTTTTCTTATTGTTTTTCATCCTTTTTAGAACTTAATATTGGTGAAATAATTAGGTAAATTCTCTAGAATTCATTTCCAACTTTTTCCGATTTAGAGTAAATAATATATAGAGCCTGATAATGGTGTCAATATTTGCCTATCCTTGAGGACTGTATGTTGACTTCTAGAGGTCTTTTATATATAGTTGTGTTGCTAGGTTACTGTCGTATTATCATTTACCTCCTTGTCCTCCTATCCATAAGAATTTTATATGCTTTTGAAGCATATATAAACCTTTTGTAAAAAAGACAAATCTGAAGTGTAAAATATGTTACATGATCTGTTATGTGTTTCATACTTTTATCTGTGTAAATCTGTGTAGGACTACAGTCTACAAAATTCACATCATCAATAGCTATATCTCCATTGGGTACATTAGACAAGGAACCAAATCCTTTGTTAGGGAAGGCCTGGAATCTTAGCTGTAACATAAAAATACAATTGTTTACATATAAAAATGACCTTTGTTTTTGTTTTCATTGAGAATGTTTATATTCAAATGCAGGGAAACAGTTAAAGTTAATACATCATGTCTTGTTATTTTTCACTTCCTCTATTAAGAAGCATTACGATGTATAATATCACATTATTTTTTATACTTACAAAATCATGTAAAATCTTACATGCAAAAATGTAGTGCTAATAATATGTTGCAATAGGTTTGAACTGGATACATTAATTATTTTAAAGTTGATTTAAAATTCGCATTCATACAAGTAGAGTGCATCAACAAAGGATTTACAGCCTCATTTTCAGACTCCTGAACTTTCACCCAAAAAACTAACCTTGTAACCTGCTGCCAGTTGACCAATGTCCGCTGAGGCATTCTTCCATCCACTGCCTTGGGAACCAGTCTTGTACCAGATCAGAGTTCTTTGTGTTGGTTTATTAGAGTTGACAACATACAGCTGAACATTGCCTGTATCATAATAGTATAAACATACAAAAATCTCATCTAATGTCATTCAAATTAATGTAAATTTATTTGTGTGCTTTATTTTTGTGATTGTTGAAATATGGACACCAACTGTGATTTCAGGAAATGCTGAATTCAAAAGTATCAAAAATTAAAATGCAAGTTTTTTTATTTTGCAAAACTTATCCAGTGGCAATTTTTGCAATAATAAAAAGGTCACAAAATTGCAGAATTATATATATATATTTATATATACGCCTGGTATTTCTTAATCATAAGAAATCCGATGGACAAGGTATAATTTACAGTTGTCACTACACATAGCAGACATACATATATATAAATTTACAGTGATTGTATGCTTCTAAAAATAGAATAGCATCCTGTAATTATACTGAAGAGATGAGTAGATTATCATTCCTGTACACTTAGAAATACTTTGTGTATTGCGTTTAAGATGTCCTTTTTTTAATTCCTACGAGAAGGTAACACCTCCCGAAACGAAAGCTGACTTTTATCAGCTATGGTTAGAGGAGGGGACAAGGCGTCTGGACAATGCTAGGTAGTGTTGTCGTAGAAGTATGAAGTGAAAAGTACAGAGCCAGCCCCCGGTCGGGGAGGAAGTAAAGAATCAGATCTACTCTGACATTGTTAGGTTGATTTTCTAGGCACTTTATATATATATATCCAACGCAATCATAGGTTTGAACGTTGTTTTCAATTTAGACTTGTATATATATATATTATTTTTCAGTTATATTTAGTTTGCAGAATAAATTTTCAAATTAATAATATTTCAAAGAGAAGCTTTGATTCTAAATGAACCAAAGTTCAAGTCTTTGGCCTGTTATATATCCAAAAAAGGTGGCAACTGACATCTTGTTAATATTTAAATTTGAATCTGAATGAAAACATTCCCTGAAAACAAGGCATGAGAAACTAAAAATATTTCTATTTTAAATTTTTATCCACAATAAAAATAAACTTATAAAATGTATAATCTTTAATTTGATTACCTGCCAAAGCCCCGTTCATATTGTACCAAAATGTGATACGACAACTTGCAGCAGTGGCTTGGAATACAGGTGTGTCCAGGTAGGCTCTGCTGAAAAAGGTCCCAGTAGATCCCTCCACCAACATGTAATGTCCTGTAAGTTCAACATTTCAAATAAATTATTATATAACTGACTTTATCTGAATTTGTTTGGTTGGAAATTCCTGTTCTTTTAAAATCTTTAAATAAATGTAAGGTTTTTCTTCTTCAGTTTTTCACAATAGGTTGTAAAATAAGAGATTTTGCTTAATCAGGTCCAAAAAAAGCTTAGCATACCATCTACAAAACTGACCTTGTGCATTATTTGTGGTGTGATCACTTGATGGACCTCCTGTTCCTGGAGAAGAACCTTGGAAGATATGCCAATTGTAACGTCCAGTACTGGAATCTTGCCAACCACATTGATTTTTCTCAAAAGTACATGATCCTGTGTAAAACATACTTTATTAAAGTGTATGAATTTTAATTTTTAAACATTTAACTTAAATTTTCAACAATATCTCTCTTACACATTGTGCAATTAAATTTATCAAAATATATTCAAAAATAAATTGAACTAGAATAAAATTTTGTTTTATTTAAAGAAAATTTATTCCAAACAATAATATCATCATAAATGATAGAAAGGGAAACAGTCCATAAACATGAGGAGACAACAATCTTCAATTACAATCCATATTCAAGAGGGGACAGCCATCTTCACTTGATCTCATCTGATTTAGTAAATTGTCATATAGGGTAATTTGCATTATTCGAAAGGGAGACAACTTACCACAGTTAGCCTCATCAGATTTGTCTGCACACTGGTATGTAAAATCACACAATTGGGAATTAGGTATACATTTCTGTCCACTGACACATCTAGTACTGTTAGCTCCACATGGATTAGGAGTGGTTGCTGGTCCTGGGGTGCCAGTTGGTATTGTACCTGCTAAAATGATAAAAAAATACAGTGAAATGAAAAGGTTTTGAAATAAAAGTTTCTTTTAAACTCTTAATACAAAATATTTTCATTGAAACTATTTGATATTATATGAAATCCACATATTATTTGTAAGAAATATAATTATATCAAATTATTAACTTTCAATAAAGTATTCTTTTGGTCCTTTTTGTTGCTTTCAGGCCAACTTTGTATTAGGTTTTAGATTTTCAAATATTCAGGACTCTAGCACCCCTAATAAACAATACTTGTACAATTTTTCATATGGTGCACTAAAAAAAAAATATTCCTTGACCATTTTTTCACAAACATTGACAGGAAGGATTACAAATTTGCACCTTCCATAAAACATCTCTTTCTCTATATTTACCTGAAACCAGCATACATCCATCAGAGAATGACAAATCATCAATAGCTATATCTCCTTTGTAACTACTTCCGACCACACCTTCTACTAACACCTGAAAAATGGTAAGAAATGAACATGAAGGAAATTATCGTCATACAAAAAAATAACTCTACAAAAGAAATACAGCTTTTTTGTTTATATAAAGAAACATACTGACAATCTGTGTACTAAAAAATAAGATTATTGGAAGAATTTCAGCACACTTACAGCTCTTATCATAATGCTAGCAAGTTAAAGGTTTGGTTGGCTTGCTTGCTTTGTTTGTATTAATGTTTGCTCAAGCATTGTAATTAAGATTGACATCTGAAAACAATATATAAAGGCAGAGTTAAACTTGTATACTTTATACTTAAATTTGATTGGACACTATCAAATAATCAAATTTACCTATATACAGGTTTAACTCTGCCTACTTATATTGTTGCAGATGCCAATCAGCAAGCAAGGCAAGCAAGACAACCAAACTCTTACTCTGCATGCATTAGGAAATTGACTGTAACTGCAGCTCCTCTCAAATAAATCACTTCAACATGTTAAGGTGATAAATAACAAAATAATAAGTGTAGAGTTGTAGTTTCATGAATCAAACATCAAATAAAATAATCTAATTTCAAAATTATCTGACCTGGAATGGATTGTTTTCAAGTAATTGTATATCTCTCCTCTCAAAGAAATCTCCAACATTTCCAGACTTGGTCCATATCTTTTTAAGTGGTCCTCCCACAGCTGTTCTGGTGTAGACATTCAGTGATCCAATACCACTTCCAAACATGTGGTAATATAGTCGGAACTGTAATTATAGACAATAATAATATACTTGAGACTGACTATTTAATAAAAGACAATTATGGCTAATATCAATTAATAATGACATTCGCAAGTAGAAAAATAACGCAAATATGAATCATCCCAAGTATGTAAAACTTGGATCTTTCCTTATTTTACTATATCAAGTAAATTTTACAATCCTGAAAATAAATCAAGTAGGCTAGAAAGGGCTAAACGTGAAATAAAATATCCATGAAAATATGTTACAGTATATAGATTCTACCACATCCCGATTGATTATGATATTTAATGATTACTATATCTATCCACTGGAGATGGTTACAATTTCAAAATTTAACTATGGATTGTTGATAAATTTTGTAGAATCTGTTTTTCTGATGATTTTAAGTAAAGTGCAATGTTCTGAACAGATATGCCGGAAAATTACAAATGACAAATTTAATGAACATGTGTTGTATCTAAATTTATCAAACTGGTAAGAACAGGTTTAAATGCATACGAAATTAATATGCAGTCACTTGAGTGCTTGGTTAACCATGAAATCATAATGATCTTTGTTGATTACCTATAATTAATGTTTGTTGAATTGTCTTTCAGCCAGTTTAGTTATGGAATAGGCATCCACTTACATCAATTATTGTTTCTTTTTTTTGACAACAGATAATAGTTTTTGATTCATTAAAAAAATTCACAATCTCCTATTTTTGTTTTTGTCTTTACACTCAATTAATATAGGTGTAACATGTCTAATCTAGCATTGGAGGTCAGTTTCCTATGTCTTATAGTTAACCATGCATCAGTTTTAATTCACATTTTCGGAATCTAACGTATTCTGGTTAATATTTCAAAAGTGTAAACCAAAACGTTGAGATTGATTAAAAATGTCCTAAACACAAAGGTAATTCAACCAACAACGTCAAGTTTTTTTTATCTTTTTGGGATACAAAAATTGAGATTACCCAGAGTCCTTTACGTTCAGGAACAGGAAATTGACAGCAGTCTATTTTTTAATTTCAACCCAAGTAAATAAAAACTTACTGTGCAGACTGAGTTTTGATTATTTGTATTGATAGCTATTGTTGGACTGACAATTCTTGCTACGTCACCGGGCTTCCTGGGTCTTGATGATTCTATAAACATGTAATATCCTAAGGAGAAAAAAAGAACTGTTTAGTAAATACAGAAAGACATGTTTAAATTATCCATAGTAACTAATTTCAATTTCATTGATACTCTTTACTTTAATATACATTTGTGAGTTATCTGTACAAAAACTCCTTCATTAAATATTAACTGTTATGCCTTCTTATCTAAATGATCTTACCATTAGCAGTCCCTTTAGTGTGATCTCTGGATGGTCCAGTACCACCGCTAGCTGTATGGTCAGTGGCCCTTATCCAATCAAACGTATCAGTTGTGTCCTGACTCCACCCACACAGACTGGTTTCAAAATCACATCTCCCAGGAAAGTTAGCTGAAGTATGAATATAAGAAACACTTAATTACATGCATTTAAATCTGAATAATTTTCAAAAGCAATCAGAAAAAAATTTGAATTCACTGAACTCTAGATGTCTTTGTGGGTTTTTTTGTTGGGTTGCTGTATCATTAAGTCTATATACTCTACATCTTGTTTTCATATATATAGAACTATTTCTTTACTTTCTTTCATAAAAATATATAACATGAATATAAATCAGATACACAACTTTACAGTAAAGTGGATAGAGAATGTGATATGAACACCACACTAGCCTGTACCTATGTAAGGGAGATAACTTATTCTTGTCACAAAAAATACACTGCACTGTCAAATCTTATTAAGGTAGATCATAAGTATATACTTTTTGAGATAGAATTTTCTTATACTTTGCCAAAAGAAAGATTTTACTATGCTTTTTTCAAAAATATAATAAAAAGTATGGGTCACGTGCTATTTTCCAAGCTATGAGTCATTGAAAATTGCCTAAATTTGGTTAGATTGTTCATGAAAAAACATATTTGTGTGCATAAAAAAAATTCTATGAGATAGAATTTTGAAATAAATTGTAAGAAGACAGGTTTTATAATATGTTTTAAAAAAATAAAAAGAAAAAATGGTGTCACCGAACTTGTTTTCTTGCTATAAGTAAAAATAAAAAATTTCCCTATCACTCCAGTATATATTTTTTACTAAAAGAGTTATCTCCCCTAAAATGGCATATTTGAAAAAAATGATTCAAAAAACACAAAATTTGATATTTGTTTAAATATTTTGAATAATACAATAAATCACCAAGTTTTCTTTATATAAATAAACAATCTAACCATAAAATTGCAAATCTGTCTCCAAATTTGCAGATTTGGGCAAATAACTAGACCAATTTTGTACTGAGATTGTACAATCCAAGATGGCGGTATACCATGAATCTACCTTAAGTTAACACAGGTGCTACAAAATAAATGTGGTCTAAGCCACTAAAATGACTGTAAAGAAAGGGAATTAATCTGTATTTATGAAGGGCAGATAACCTACCACAATTTCCTTCATCACTGTTGTCACCACAGTCATCAGTGAAGTCACACAGGGTATTTTTAGATACACAAGCTCCTCTGGTACACCTGAACTGACTGGACAGACAAGATTGCTGTACTGCAGGGAAGTTACAGTTCATCAGTTGTATGTCATCAAGAGCTATGTCTCCACGCACATTAAATGTTCTGCTTGCTCTATATGCTAACTATAAATATGAAAAAAAAATACTTGTAACCCTAAAATGACAAACTTTCCAAAATTAAATAAATTCAACATTGTAGCATGTGTAGTAAACTATTTCAGATACAGCATGATTACTAAATACAAAGTATAATATAAAATGTAATATGATAAATGTAAAAATAAGTTTGATTATAAGAATGGAATACCCATCATATCTTTTAAGGATAAATTAGACAGAACTATTTACTTACACTGAATGGTTGAGCTACTCTACCAATATCTACTATGCCCTGAATCCATTTGTTGCCTTGGTTTCTTGATTGCTTCCAAATCTCTGTGTACTTATTACCAACTTGAATCAAAACTCGCAGCGTTCCAATACCTAAATAATGATTATTACGTTTAAACTGTTCTTCAAAAATTCTTTCAAAATTAGAAAATTGTAAAAACTAAATTACATCTGCAAAATGACACATTATCTTATTTCTCAATATGAATATTTATTGAAAATGCAGAATATGAACACCTATACCATCCCAATTTTCCAAATAATAAAAAAGATTGCAAAAATTTAAGAATTTACAGTACTTGATTTCACTGTTCAACTACATTTACATGAAACTACAGTACTGTCAAAATGTAATCTTACTAACCTTATCTATACATATGGTACCAGAAGTTCAGCCGACAAGTAAAAACTACAATATTGTCAAAGTGTGACCTAACAAAGTTTAGCTAATAGGTAGAAACTACAGTACTGTCAAAATGTTATCTTACTAACCTTATCTATACATATGGTACCAGAAGTTCAGTGACAAGTAAAAACTACAATATTGTCAAAGTGTGACCTAACAAAGTTTAGCTGACAGGCAGAGACTGCATTTCTGTCTAAGTGTGACCTAACAAAGTTTAGCTGACAGGTATAGACTGCAGTACTGTCAAAGTGTGACCTAACAAAGTTTAGCTGACAGGCAATGACTGCAGAACTGTCAAAGTGTGACCTAACAAAGTTTAGCTGACAGGTAATGACTGCAGAACTGTCAAAGTGTGACCTGACAGGTAGAAACTACAGTACTGTCAAAATGTGACCATACTAACCTGATCCATACATATGGTACCAGAAATTGAGCTGACAGGTAGACCTTACTAACCTGATCCATACATATGGTACCAGAAATTGAGCTGACAGGTAGACCTTACTAACCTGATCCATACATATGGTACCAGAAATTGAGTTGACAGGTAGAGCTGCAAGCTTGTAACAGTGGTCCATCCAATTCTGCTGTACTTGTAAATGATCCTTGGTTGGCATCAACATAGATGTAGTGACCTAAGCAATGAAAATAAACTTAAACAGCATTTAAAAAAATCATCTTTTATTTACATGGATACTCTCATCATTCCTGTCAACCTATGAAAATGAAAATGCAGGTCATGACCTGCATTGAAGAATAAAATTTCAGGTCATAACACGTACAAACTTTTTTAAGCTGAATTTAAGTATTTAGGGGACATTTTTTTATATTTTAAAACAATCAGTATCCAAAACATGTTCCAATGGTTAAATATTAACTGAAAATAATTTAAAACTATTATTGTTGCAATGCACTTATAACTTTGATATATTGTTGTTTCATAAAATACTTTAACAATTCAAGCCAAGTTCACCAGTCTCAAGACACTCAGTCTTCATCTTTTTTTTTTAACTCAGTCTTTATCTACCTGTACAGTTTTATGCAATTTTTAAAGATTGGTTGATGTTAGAGTATAAAAAAAAGTTAAACATTTAAAGGAAGTAGAGATGAGAAAAATAATTTTCAACTATTTATTTTCTAATTGTACTGAGGTAGAAAAATAATGAAAAGTAATATAGGGGGAGGGTTGAGATCTCACAAAACATGTTTAACCCCGCCGCATTTTTGCGCCTGTCCCAAGTCAGGAGACTCTGGCCGTTGTTAGTCTAGTATGTTTTTTAATTTTAGTTCATTTATATGTTTTGGAGTTTAGTGTGACATCCATTTTCACTGAACTAACACACAATTTTATTTAGGGGCCAGCTGAGGTCCACCTCCGGGTGCGGGATTTTCTCGCTGCATTGAAGACCCATTGGTGGCCTTCGGATGTTGTCTGCTCTTTGGTCGGGTTGTTGTCTCTTTGACATATTCCCCATTTCCATTCTCAATTTTATTGTAATACATATTTGCATTCAATTTGTTTTAAGATTTAATCTTTTTTACAAAAATAAACATAAATTTAAGGAGTATGTTTTGAAAGGTGACAAAAAAGGGGAAGTAACTCAAATTTTTTGTGAAACAACTTTGAAATACACAAATTATTTACGACCTAAAGCTATGGTAATTGGTGTTAATTAACAGTGTGTTTTTCACCAAAGCTGTCAAGTGAAGCCATGCACTAAAATTGGTCACTTAATTTTTAATTTGAGTTTACACAGCTAGTTGAACTTCTTGTCCAGGAAGAATTACGTATTTGCCGGTATTTCAAAGGAAATTCACTTATGAAATCAGTCTGAAGGCTTAAGAATCCGGGTGAAAACGGGTCATTTTTGGAATTCTCAAGTTAATTAACGACCCATCGGGTATTCCGGGTGAACCCTCAGACTTGTGAAAATCTCTGGTCACACCCGCAGGATACGGGTCAGTTGACAGGTATGTCTCATCTTTAATTTTACACTGTTAACCTACAGAAACAATCAAAATATAGAAAATGTGGTTGGGAAAATGCTCTGAACTAATTACATTCAAAAATGCATAAAGAGTATTAGTCATATAACCAGGACAGTACTAACCTCTTGAATTCCCTATTGTGTGGTCAAATGCTGGTCCAGTATTGGCTGTGGCAGTTTGATTGCCTCCCCTAGACCAGGTAAAGGAACCAGTTCCAAGTGTAGCCCATGAACAGAAATCAGTCTCAAAATCGCATGCTCCTGTAATGTTCAGAAAACAAGGTTTTATTCAGAAGCATATATTTTCTTATTTTTCCATATATCTATTTTCAAGATTATCATTATAAGAATGCAAAACACTTCTTACCTGCATGTACTTTCCCTGTTGTAAATCTAGCATTAAGACTTTGAATTGCAAATTACATGAAACTTCACCTATAATTAAAAATATCACTACATAGCATATTTCTTAGTTATATAGTAATATCAAATATAAATAACTGTTAGAAACTTACCGCAATCACTCTCATCCATTGCATTAGGGCAATCATTTTTGAAATCACAAACTTTGTTCTTTGGTATTGTCGACCCTTTTCCATCTTGGCAATTGTAGGTTCCATTAGATGGTACTTCTGGTAACATAAAATAATTATATTCAAACATAATGCAGATAGCTAATATGCAAAAGCTTAAAAACAATCTTTATAGGTCTTCATTGGTCATCACTTCAAAACATTAAGATGTAAAATTTCTTTTCAAAATAGAGAAAATTTAAACTAGTCTATTTATTTCAATTCAGAAATTCCCTTTTATATGAACCTTTTGCACTCAGACTACTGAAACTATGTTTGAGCAGGCTGAAGACAATACTTTAAAAAATCCAATGTTTGATTTATCTTATAAATAAATGTAACAAAAAAAATACTTAAATTTTACATTTAAAACTTAAACAAGTAAATGAAACACAAACATAAATCTAAGTATGTCTACGATAAAAGGCGAAATAATATTTACCTGTACTACAACTGAAGGGGTCAAGGACAAAGTCATCTACAGCAATATCTCCTTTGTAACTACTGCCAACAGATCCTTCAACCAGTATCTATTAATAAATAATTTCATTTTGATTCTTTGGTTCATAAGAACTTTTATTTCTGATTACGTTTTTATACTTTTTTAATAGTATTTGCTTAAAAAAGGAATTGGAACTTTAGTCAACTAACGTCTCTAACATAAAAGTATAGTGTTTACTCTTACATAGATCTTTAAAGCAAACCAACACTTGCAAGAACTTAAAAACATAAACCTAATAATGGTTGAAAATATGCATTTTTGTGAATTTTGATTTTGTTGCAGCATTTTGGATAAATGAGACTTGAAATGCACTTTAGGTTTGTTGAGTTAAAAAATCTTTATAATTTTACAATGTTTTTTTGAACTTACACCCTAAATAAATACTGCCAATTTTAGAGACGAAATTTTGGTATGAATGGCAGTATAGCGGAATATATAATCTGTCATTGTGTAGCTCTACAACTAGTATGAATCATACATCAATTGAAACAGAAATACAATGTATGTCTTTAATCAAAAACTGAAAAGACTGAAAATTCTTTATACTAAAACAAGCCATATGTGTCAAAGTATTATCAGTTCTGTAATAACAGGTTTTGCTGTACATTAACTCACAGAGAAATCTTGATAAGCTGTTTTTATTGGTACAATTGCCTGCTGCCAACTTGCTCCTTGGTTTCCAGCTATTGATTTCAGTACTGTTTTGGTCCCATCACTGTACATGTAAGACACATTGAGTGCCCCTATACCAACACCATTCATATTGTACCAGTATTTAAAGCAGTACTCTGCATTAGGAATATTCTGTGATTGGAGAATTGCATTATCACCTTGTTTTCTAGGTCGACTGGCTTCGATAAACAGATAGTTTCCTACAATAATCATTATATATAATTATTATGAATATCAGAAAAGTCTACTGGTTTCAATGTACAGAGTCCTATAAAGTCAAACAATTTATTTATCATTGTCATGTGTATAATGGTTTCAATGTACAGATAGTGTCCTATAAAATTACAAAACTTAATCTTTGTTGTAATGATTGAAGTTATGAGCAGATAAAGTACTACCAAATGAATAACATATTCTATTACTGTCTGGTCTCAAAGTACAGATTTTTTCTCGAATACACCATAAATACAAAATGGCTTGCTTATGTTTAAGGGTCTTATAGCTAAGTATTAAGTATTAATATGTCATATCTTAATCAAAATCTTTTAAAAAAAATTAAATTGTAATGAACTGGTTTCATTCCATACCTGCATTATTTCCCAGTGTGTGATCTCCAGGAGGACCAGTACCAACAGAGGGTGTACTTCCTCTCCTTCTAATCCAATCAAATTTGTCATCTTGTCTTTGTACCCAGCCACATAAATCTTTCTCAAAGTTACATGTTCCTGTTCCAGCACAAGCACCATCTGTCATTTTAATGTCATCTATAGCTAAATCCCCTTTGTAACCACCTCCTCTAATTCCTTCGAAAACAATCTATAAAAAATAAACCATTTTTATTTTTAGCATCAAACTAACTAGCCACTCAATCAACTATTAACTGTGATATAGCAGACTTGCGCTGAGGCAGCTAACATCAATCATGGCCGTGGATATCAAACAACTAGCTAGCTACTCACTCATGTAGTCTTAAATTTATAGATGAAAGAAGTAATCTAGTTTAAACATTTGATATTATCCTTGAAAAGTATAATAAAGAGGAAATAAATCCTTGAAGTATTTAAAATATTACTACTAATTTGTAGAAATCTGTTTCACCTTGTAGTTAGATTGAGACTGGATTGTTGTCTGTCCTATTTTCCATTTATTTCCTTTGTTGCCCTGGAGTGTTATAAGTGGGCTAGCTAGTCTGTTATATGTACTGACATACACATTCAGGGTACCTATATCACTACCATACATGTGGTACCAGAATGTCAAACATTTGTTGTTGGTTGGTGGCAGCTGTGGAGTTGACAGTCTGGCTTTGTCACCTTGTACTCTTGGAGCAGAGGATTCAATGTACATGTAATGTCCTGAAAATAAACATTTCTTTTAAGCAAAAACATCTCTCAGAAATGAACAATTTAATTCCTGAATGATGATGTTGAATTTTTTTAAATTCTTTTTTAAAAAACAAAATGATGCAAAAAAAAAATATTATTTAGTACAGCCATTTACTTTTTCATATAACTGATCATTTTATTATTTTAAGCAATTTTTTCATATATAAAAAACAATACATAGTTGTTTAGAGAACCATTGTTTTAAATATGATTTTAGTTTTACATCACAGTATATATTGGTATATGGTAAAAGAAACAAGAAAGATTAGCAAGGAGCAACTTTGAAACATAAGAACTTTAATCAATACATAAGGACAGCCTAACAGGTAACAATCTTTAGAGAGTTTCTGTTTTTTGTCAGGGCATTTTGTGGACTTCATCTGAGTTGGTCAACTGAACATGACAAATTTTGTTTTTTATTTGAAACTCCTACCCTGTGATGTTCCATACGTATGGTCAGATGGTGGTCCAGTGCCACTAGAAGATGTGCCACTATTTCCTCTAGACCAATCAAAATTGTCATCAATGGCTTGTTGATATCCACAGATGCTTGATGTTTCAAAGTCACACACAGCTGAAAATGATATACAAAACATTTGAATATATGTGAACTTTGATTGCATTGTATCATTCTATATCCAGTTTTAATGGAAGGAAGCTTAATGAATATCAGGATTATTATCCAATATCTAAAATATACATTTTACCTTGATTTTATTTTTTGCATTTATGCTACTTAGATTGACAAGTGATTTTTTTTTTATTCCCTTCAATATGATCTAAGATATTTATTCCTCTTGACATCAACAACTTTCACGGTTCAAAATTATTTGTTTCATTGTTTCCATCGTAATTATGAATTTGAAAGTCTTCCATAACAGCTGACATCTCATGCATCCTATTTTCAATAAAGCACCTATCACTATTAACTCCTAACGCAGCATTTTTTGTTTTGGCAAATATATTTATACAAAATTTAACAAAAATATGATCTTCTGTCTGCTTGACTTACATGCAGCAGTCTGACATGGTCCATTCAAAATATAGATATCATCTAGAGCTATGTCGCCTTGGTAACTGGTTCCTGTGGCTCCTTCAAATATCACTTTGTCTCCAGTGTTAGCAATAACATCCACTTTACCATTGATCCACTTGTTTCCTTTGTTACCTGTTTGCTGCCACATAAGAGTTCTCCTTCTTCCCTGTTGAGCATACAATGTGAGCTTATTGATATGAGCTCCATACATATGGTACCAGAATGACACACATACAGTTGCAGTGGTGGATATTCCAGGACTGATTATCCTGGCTGTCTTGTTACTATTGTTACTGGCCTCAATATAGATGTAATAACCTACAAGGAATAGAAAAACATACATTGAAGATCATTATTAAACTGAATTAAAATAAAAATCTTTGTGGTGTACCGACATATTCAAACTAATTTCTGATGGATCCTGTACAGAGAACGGATACTGAATTCTAGATTGACAGCTGAAAAAACTCAAATATTGAAGAATTGTCTCTAAAGATTTAACAACACCAATGTCTATATGTATGCCTTTCTTGTTAAGATTTAGACTTCAGTATCAATGGTTAAAAATACTGTTTCCAACCGATGAATTTTATTTCTCCTTTGATCACCTTTATTTTTATTTGTGTAATTAAATCCATGGACTGCCTCAAATACTATCTTTTAACTGTCCAATAGACGTCAGGACACTCTGTCCCTTCAGCCATACTTGTCCTTTGTTACCAGAGTCAGCAAATCATCCAAAACTATTTAGATTTTCATGAAAATGTGACAATCATATCTACATATGATGGAAGTTACTATAAATTTTCATTCATATTACACCTACTGAGTTGAAAAAAATTGATATCACAAAAAATGCTCAAGGAGGAGCACACAGACAGATTGACAACTTAAACCAAAATGGCTCCAACATCAGGCCATTATTATAACTGGATGTTTGATTTTCAAAAAACAAAATGACCTTTAATTCCTATTAAAATAGCTTGGATGGCAGTTATAGTCAACATGTCTTCAAACTATCAGATACTATGATTTACCATTAGTATTTAGTGTAGTATGATCAAAACTAGGTCCAGTGCCCACACTTGATGTTCCTCGGTTTTTCCTAATCCAGTTCAGAGTGTCTGTGGTATCCTGTACATATCCACACAATCCACTTTCAAATGTACAGAACTGGAGAGAAGCTGCAAAATAATATCAGTAATTAGAAAGGCCAATCTAAAACTGACAAATTAAGTATATAAACTATCTTAACCTCTGGTTAAAGATTTGGTAATGTAACTACATTAACTATCCTAACCTCTGGTTAAAGAGTTGGTAATGTAACTATATAAACTATCATAACCTCTGGTTAAAGAGTTGGTAACGTAACTATATAAACTATCCTAACCTCTGGTTAAAGAGTTGGTAATGTAACTATATAAACTATCATAACCTCTGGTTAAAGAGTTGGTAATGTAACTATATAAACTATCCTAACCTCTAGTTAAAGAGTTGGTAATGTAACTATATAAACTATCATAACCCCTGGTTAAAGAGTTGGTAATGTACCTATATTAACTATCCTAAGCTCTGGTTAAAGATTTGGTAATGTACCTTTCAAGTTGTGCATTATCTTACCTGTCAACATTGTAACTTTTGGACAACTATAAACAAGCAGTGTATAAGAAATCAGTAATATACTTGCAGATATATGGTGATTTAAAATAAAATACATTTCCCACATATTCCATGCGATCATTTATTAAGCAGTATACATTCAATACACTACTTTTATCATTTATCTATATCACTAGTTTTACATGTTTTATGATTGATGTTAGAATATCTTTGACTGTTGCTTGTCTTTGATCCTTTATTTCATTTATTTTGGTAATGATCCCAGCAGTAGTCTAGAGTCTGACTCCACTAATACAGTAACAATATGTCTTACCTTGAGTAGGTGTAACCGTTGGTTGAGTGACCCCAGCAGCAGTGTGAAGAGTCTGACTCCACTTATACAATATATCTTATCTTGAGTAGGTGTAACCATTGGTTGAGTGACCCCAGCAGTAGTGTGTAGAGTCTGACTCCACTTATACAATATATCTTACCTTGAGTAGGTGTAACCGTTGGTTGGGTGACCCCAGCAGTAGTCTGTAGAGTCTGACTCCACTTATACAACATATCTTACCTTGAGTATGTTTCACCGTTGGTTGAGTGACCCCAGCAGTAGTCTGTAGAGTCTGACTCCACTTATACAATATGTCTTACTTTGAGTTGGTGTAACTGTTGGTTGAGTGACCCCAGCAGTAGTCTGTAGAGTCTGACTCCACTTATACAATATATCTTACCTTGAGTAGGTGTAACTGTTGGTTGAGTGACCCCAGCAGTAGTCTGTAGAGTCTGACTCCACTTATACAATATATCTTACCTTGAGTAGGTGTAACTGTTGGTTGAGTGACCCCAGCAGTAGTCTGTAGAGTCTGACTCCACTTATACAATATATCTTACCTTGAGTAGGTGTAACCATTGGTTGAGTGACCCCAGCAGTAGTCTGTAGAGTCTGACTCCACTTATACAATATATCTTACCTTGAGTTGGTGTAACTGTTGGATGAGTGACCCCAGCAGTAGTCTGTAGAGTCTGACTCCACTTATACAATAGAGTCTGACTCCACTTATACAATATATCTTACCTTGAGTAGGTGTAACTGTTGGTTGAGTGACCCCCGCAGTAGTCTGTAGAGTCTGACTCCACTTATACAATATATCTTACCTTGAGTAGGTGTAACCGTTGGTTGAGTGACCCCAGCAGTAGTCTGTAGAGTCTGACTCCACTTATACAATATATCTTACCTTGAGTAGGTGTAACCATTGGTTGAGTGACCCCAGCAGTAGTCTGTAGAGTCTGACTCCACTTATACAATATATCTTACCTTGAGTTGGTGTAACTGTTGGTTGAGTGACCCCAGCAGTAGTCTGTAGAGTCTGACTCCACTTATACAATAGAGTCTGACTCCACTTATACAATATATCTTACCTTGAGTAGGTGTAACTGTTGGTTGAGTGACCCCCGCAGTAGTCTGTAGAGTCTGACTCCACTTATACAATATATCTTACCTTGAGTAGGTGTAACCGTTGGTTGAGTGACCCCAGCAGTAGTCTGTAGAGTCTGACTCCACTTATACAATATATCTTACCTTGAGTAGGTGTAACCGTTGGTTGAGTGACCCCAGCAGTAGTCTGTAGAGTCTGACTCCACTTATACAATATATCTTACCTTGAGTAGGTGTAACCGTTGGTTGAGTGACCCCAGCAGTAGTCTGTAGAGTCTGACTCCACTTATACAATATATCTTACCTTGAGTAGGTGTAACCGTTGGTTGAGTGACCCCAGCAGTAGTCTGTAGAGTCTGACTCCACTCATACAATATATCTTATCTGAGTAGGTGTAACCGTTGGTTGAGTGACCCCAGTAGTAGTCTGTAGAGTCTGACTCCACTTATACAATATATCTTACCTTGAGTAGGTGTAACCGTTGGTTGAGTGACCCCAGCAGTAGTCTGTAGAGTCTGACTCCACTTATACAATATATCTTACCTTGAGTAGGTGTAACCGTTGGTTGAGTGACCCCAGCAGTAGTCTGTAGAGTCTGACTCCACTTATACAATATATCTTACCTTGAGTAGGTGTAACCGTTGGTTGAGTGACCCCAGCAGTAGTCTGTAGAGTCTGACTCCACTTATACAATATATCTCACCTTGAGTAGGTGTAACCGTTGGTTGAGTGACCCCAGCAGTAGTCTGTAGAGTCTGACTCCACTTATACAATATATCTTACCTTGAGTAGGTGTAACCGTTGGTTGAGTGACCCCAGCAGTAGTCTGTAGAGAACATATGCCAGCATTGATACTGATATCATCCAGGGCTATATCTCCTTTGTAATTAGATCCACGGACTGCCTCAAATACTATCTTAAACTGTCCAATAGATGTAAGGTCACTCTGTCCCTTCAGCCATACTTGTCCTTTGTTACCAGAATCAGTAAACAGAGTTTTATTTGATGTAGTGGTGGTTTGTATCACATTCAAAGATCCAATGCCTAAAATAATCAATTGTAAAAAGGTTTGAATAATGATAATCTATAGCAGTATTATCATGAGTGTTCATATACAGCATTCAATCTTTAACTGTATTCAGACCTGGAACATATCTACAGGATAACAAAACTAAGTACTCTACAAACAAGCTGTATTTCACCAAATTTAAAAAAAAATAATAATAATTCAGAATGGCATACACACGAGAAGATTTAAAACTTACCATATTGTATAGACACCTATTTATTGTTGGAGACTATGTTGAACTCTAGAGGTCATTAGGTTATTTTCTTTGTTGGGTTGCTATCTAATTAACATGTAGTTGAAGTTAAGCATTCTTTCCCCTTTCACCTTAATTCTTAATAATGAGACAAACCATTTGACTTTGGTGAGCATCTGACTAATAGCAAACATGCTAATCAATACATATATATGCAGAGTTAATTCTCGCTTAATGATTTGATATGTTTCTATTTATTACACTATGATTCCAACAATTAAAAATTGCACATTATAACCAAAATCAGTAATTGGTTGTATACTCTTTTCTTTTAACAATTTTTTAGCCATAAATCGGATAATTAATATATTCTAGCAAACAAAGCAAGCTTATCAAAATTCCTGGGATGACACTTGAGTAAAACAATGTAATTCTGACCCAAACCATTCCAATTAAGCCATCTAAATTTCAATGTCTATATAACTGCTGTCTGTGTAACAATTTAAACAGATTTAATCAGTTGAATTAAAATATGTAAACATATTTGTGATAATATTTAATAAAATCTAACCTGATCCATACATGTTGTACCAGAATGTCAGACAAGCACCTGTTGTTGGTTGTAATGATTCACTAACAAGCCAAGCCTTGTCACCAACGTTTTGAGGAGTACTACTTTCTATAAACACATAATGTCCTACAAAAGACAACATTTAGATATTATTGATTTCAGGTGATAAAAATAAATAAATTTCAAATAACTATAAAACCATTTATGACTGCAACAATAGATATTTGCCTATAAAGTGCAAGTACACATAAATCCTATCATCTACAATATTAAAAAAAACAACAAGTAGATTACAGTACTAAAGTAACACATAACAAATCATAAGCCTTGTGTCTTTGATGAATGTTTACCTTTGGCAGAATTTATTGTGTGGTCATTATTAGGTCCAGTGTAATATGATGGGGATTTTCCAGATCCCATATCCCAGTCAAACTGGTCTCCTTGCTGAACATTTGAATATCCACAGAAACCAGTTTCAAAGTCACATGTTCCAGGTTGAGCACATGGACCAGCAGTAATAGAGACATCATCAGCAGCAATGTCACTGGAGTAACTGGATCCTCTAACACCCTCAAGTACAACCTAAAAAATAAATTAAAACAAAATTCTTTATGCAGATCAAATATTGCCAAAACATATCCATTTACTTGCTTATCTAAAGATTAGCCTTAAATTTGAACAGCAATAGCAAGGTAATGACAAAATATTCCTTCATCTAGCAAATGACCTTTCCTTTACTGCAAATAACCTTTACTTTACAGCATACTGGACATAAAGAAAACAGCAATCAATCCATCAGTCCTTTACTGCAAACATTTGTTGGTAATTTAGTGTCCCTTAATGTTTCATTTATATGTTGTCTCACATACAGATCCAACAAGTAATGTCTATTTCAATTGAATTTTATAATTTCATAACTTATTATATTGGTATCTTGTTACAGTACAGTCCGATGTACAGGTTGGCTTTAACTTTAAGACATACAAGAAATGCCTGTCTTAAGCCAACCATCTATAGTCTAGGAGTAACACTTGTTCACATCTTTAATGTCTTCATTGTGAATATCCCTTCTTATAGATTTATTTTGGTAAAATGTTGCAAAAGTAACAAAAATAATTGATCACTTCAAATTTAGACATTTCCAAAGAATAGAAAAAAAAAACATTCTTCTTCAGTATAAAATCTATAATAGTTAACAAGCTATTCAAAAATTGTATTATGTTCTTAGAGACAAGATGGACCATTAAACTCAATCATATGAAACATTACATAATACAAAAATTTAAAATCTTACCTGGAAACTACCAGCAGTTTTTAGTGTCACCTCGCCATAGTTCCATTTGTTCCCTTGGTTACCTGATCTTGACCATATTGGAGTACCAAGGTTGCCACTTGTGTCAGCAGCGTAGATATTGAATGTTCCCATAGTTCTTCCGTTCATATTGTAGTAGAATTTCAGACATTCTCCACTAGTCTGTGGGTATACTGGACTAAGTAACCTTGCTTTATCATTTGGTCGTCTGGGATTGGAGGCCTCAGTATATATGTAGTACCCTACAAACATAAAATGATTTTAAATTATGGTGCAAGAACTTTACTTCCTAGTAAAAGTTAATAAAAAAGCACTTCAAATGCAGAAAATTTACTATAAACAGGATAACTAATTATAGCAGAGGGATTAATTCCATATTTCTATTAAGATTTTTGAAATATACTGATTGTAAATTTGTTAACTTTGCATGGCTGTATATTTATTTATTTATAAACAATATTATATTTTATAAAGAAACAGAACCTAGATAATCGAAATAAAATGTTCAAATATTGAAACTGTAAAAAATATCTAGCAACATGATAAGAAGTGGCAATAATCTTTCTGTAATAGTTAAACTAGCACAACTGAATAAATCAAATATCTTCTGAAAAGGTCCCCCAACAAATTGTATAGTCATCATGTAGTGCTGTTTCTGTAGCACTGATGTAATTAAAATGTCTCTTCAAAACAAAACCTTTCCATGTAAAAGACTAACCTGCTCCTGAACCAGTGGTATGATCAGCATATGGTCCAGTTCCTGCTGTACCTGTTGTATTAGCATGTCTCATCCAATCAAAGTCATCCGTTTTGTCCTGTGTCCAGCCACAGAATCCATTCTCAAAATTACAGGAAGCTGAAATTTCAAAGTAATCATAATTTTAACATTTTTTTCTTTTTCTTTCCACAGATAAGTTATTTATTCTACCATAATCTTAAATTCATTATAAGGTATCTGGACTTGGTGATTTTTGTATTAGAAGCTGGAAGAGGTTTTCGTAAAGATCTTTGAAAATGTACTAAATGTCTGATTAGACGAAATATTAAGCAAACTCAGAATTTCATGCTTACAATGTTTTACAATACATTTGAAATGACAGAAATTGTCAAGGGTTTAAAAATTAGATGTTTTACAAATGACCATGTGAAATTTAGTCAAGTCAGATGAGACAACAGTTGGTTCTCAAATAGAAACTTATGAATGTTTAAATTAAACTTGAGTTGGAAAGAGAGAGTGGCTGGGTGAAAATAAATTCAGTACATACTTCCAGGACTCTGATTAACCAATGAAGAGTTCACACAAGGGACACTATCCATGTTAACATCATCTATAGCCATATCTCCTGCCCAACCTGCTCCAACCATTCCTTGAATCATAATCTGAGCAAAAAGAAAGTAAACAGTCATTGTTTATACCAGTATGTAACTATTTTAATCACTTTGTGTGCAGATCATTTTCATTTATAACACTTTATGTTGTAAACATAAGGTTCTTCATTTTTGTCACATTGCAATTTGACATAAATTTTATGTATCAGTTCTTCCATAGCTATAGGTAGAAATGACCCTATTGCCATGTATACACATCTTTGCGTACTACTGTTGATCTTCTTTTATCATGATTCATTAGAGTTACAATTCAAATGTTTTGATCAACAATGTATGATAATTGATAACTACCCTATGTAATGATAAATTATTCAAATAGAAAGACAGATGTTAAAGGCATTATTTACGAGGATTGTGAACTGTGAACATAGTTATTCATCACATATACCTTAAATGGCAAAAATTAATGCAATAAACACTTAATTTATGAAGTATATCTTATCAAACCAATTTTCATTCACTGAAATAGATCTGCATTCTATTCAAATTTATACGAATAAACATCTACTCCCACAATTATACTACACTGACCTGATAATCTGTATTACTTGTAAAAGTAAAACTAGCTTGTTGCCATTTGTTTCCTTGTGTTCCAGTTTTCGTCCATCTTTGAACATTTCTTCCTTGTGATTGTGTATACACACTAAGACGACCAATTTGTGGACCATACATATGATACCAGAAAACAAAACAGTTACCGGCAGCCAGTGTTGGGGCATTGACCTGTGAAACAAGGACAGCCCTGCTCCGTAGTCTCTGACCTGATGCTTCAATGTACATGTAGTAACCTGAAACATGTCACAAAAAAGTTGGTCACTGAAAAACATCATTAAGAAATATCCTCTATCACATGTAAGGATGAAACTTTTCATTTTGTGCATACATCCTCTAGTTTAAAAAAAAAAATATTCAAATTCAGAAACTTTGCGAAATTACATTTCAAATTCAGATCACTTTATTTGTATACAGAAGTTGCTAATATCACAACTGATAGGAATTAAAAACCCAAACTATGCATGTGTTAACCAACCTTCTTTCAAGAGGTCAATTATGTTACATATTTATTAAGAAATATTAGGTTTAGACATAATTTTTTAGATGCTACTGGGGTTAATCTAAAGTGAAATCATATGAAACAATCTTTTTGACCAGAGCAATGGTAATACTATTTCAAATAATTATTTAAATAACTGTAGAAAAATCAAACTGACTTGATGCAAGAAGATTGGTAATGGCATGTATGATTTGTGGTGTAAAATGCATATATGAATAATAAGTAGCATTTAACCGAAACAACCCTCCATGGTATAATTTCCTATCTATTAATTCATCCTCACTTAATCAAGAAATCACATACCTGTTCCACTATGATCTCCTATAGGTCCAGTTCCACTACTTGGGGTTCCTCCATTACTTCTGGTCCAGTTAAATTGGTCTGCAACACTTTGGGTCCAGCTGCATGTATTAGTGTCAAAATCACAGAATGGACTTCCAGCACCTGAAATATCAAGGTTGTTAAAAGTTGAAATGATTTCATGCAAAATTAGGTGACTGCTGACTGCATTAGACAGGTGACTGTTGAAAAGAGTTAAATAATATAGAGAAAATGTTTGGGAGGGTCTGAAAGTGACCATTTGAGATAGGTGACCGCTGAAACGAGGTGACCGCTGAAACGAGGTGACCATTAAGGCAGGTATGACTGCATAAATCATTTCAGTTACAAAGTGTTTTTTTTTTACCCACATACTGAAACTTCTATCTCATTCCTTTTTATCTGTTTAGCCATACAAAACTTTGCTTTTTCTTTTAGTCTTTTAATGTCTTGTGACCTTGAAAATTGAAAAGAAAGGCAATCAATATCAAAGGGACATTCAAACACACAAGTCAAAAATAAACTGACAACTCCATGGCAAAAAAAAGACAAGAATACTAACATCAGAATTATGTTAATAACACATAACTACTAGATATAAATTTGGAAATCTATACTTTGTATATAATAGGTTAATCCTAATATTTCATAGGAATGTTCCCTCATTTTATGCAAATGGAATTAAAATTGTCTCTGAAATAATATCTTGGTCCCTTTCATTACAACCTGAGAGTATATTTTAAAAATCATCTTAATTAATTTACAAAGACCATACCATATGAAGAAACATCAGCATCAGAAGGTAATGTCTGACAGCTTCCATCATTCAGGGCAAGGTCATCAATAGCTATGTCACCTTTGTAACTCTTTCCTCTAACTCCTTCAATCAATATCTATAAAAAAAGATGGAAATATCTAAGGTACTATTCATGGATACATTAACAAAACATCAGAATTTAAAAAATGACCAGCTATAAAAGATATTCTCTTATAAGAATCCATTATTGCAGTACTATTCAAAATGCTTATGTGAATAATTATGATTGTTATCACAGATATTCTGTTGTAATTCTCATGATTAATTGATTGGTGTTTAACACCATTTTCAACCCTATTGGCTATTTCATGGTGGACAGTTTTTTTATAGGAGGAAGCTGGAGCACCAGAGAGAACAACCCACCTTTGACAGGAAAACTGACAATCCTTATCAATAAAGACTGGCGTGGAACACACCTGCCATGTGCAGGGTTCGAACTCACAACCTCTGGGTTGACAGGTTAGTGATACCCACTCAGCCACCAAGGCCCAGTGTAATTATTATGTATTTCAGAAAAAACTACAGAATGTACATTCAAGGAAATATTATTAACAATTTTGTACCTGATATGGTTTTGCTGTGTATTTTGTTGGGATGTTCATTTGTCCATTCAACCATACATCACCATTATCACCTTTCTGTTGCCATAGCAATGCTTCTGTTGATATTGTATCTGACGTTTGGTTAAGAAGAATGTAAATGTTCAGTGTATCGACATCTGCTCCATACATATGATACCAGAATACAAAACAGGATCCAGTCTGTTTTGGCGGGAAAACTTCACTGGCAAATCTTGCCTTATTGCCTGCCACTCTGGGATTACTTGTTTCAATGTACATGTAGTATCCTAGACTGTTTCCTTTGGTGTGATCAGTGCTGGGACCAGTAGAGGAACTAGCACTCCTTCCTCTGTGTCTCAACCAATCAAAATCATCTGTTTGAAGATTTTGGTAACTACAAGTGTCTTTTTCAAAATCACAGAATCCTGAAATTACAAAAATTTTAGATTGAAAAAGGCTAGCATAAAGTTTAATACTATCTATAAACAAATCTTTGTACTGTACCTAAATCTAGTAATTCAAATTATCAAAGACTTTTCTTATACATTGTTACAGCAAATTTTGGAAGATCACACTTTAAAAGTAGCAATTTCAATAGGAAATTAGTTTCAATTTTGAAAATAGTTTACATTGAAAAAAATTGTTACAATAATGGTACAATGATAACTGTAGTACTATGGAAACTCTAGAACTAAAATAGGGAAAGTACTAGGCAATGCCTTACCTGGTGCGTTACAAGATCCAGCAGAAATTGAGACATCATCAATTGCTATATCTCCTAGGTAACCATTTCCTCTAACACCCTCAAATACAATCTGAAATAAAATTAATGATTCATTTTACTATTCTTAAAATTAGGATCCTCAAATGAAACAATCTCAGAAACATGATAGCCATAATTTCAAAGTAACACATTTCTTACATTACTCAGGCTCATAGTACCTAAATTACTCTAAATAGGAAATTTATCATAGATGAGAGTTTGTTTTTAAATCCAATTATTTGGGCGTTTTTACCTGTGAATCTTTCAGAAGATACTTTGATTCTTGTTTGCAGAGGAACCAAAAGATCTTCCTTTTGGCTTCAATACCAAGTAAGGTTCTTGAGTTATATTGAAAAAATTTTCCTGCACTAATTTTGGTCTTTTTTTAGTAACTTCACCTTGAACACAGATATAGTGACTTCAAAATAAACAGGAATCTTCCTCTAATTATATATATATATATTTAGGTAAAATAAAGTATTTGATTTATCATATGAAAACCAAGATAAACGAAGGAATGATGACCTGACAGATGGATAGGTAAAAAGTAAAATAACAAAAAAACGAAACTCCAAGGAAAATTCAAGTCGGGAAGTCCCTTATCAAATGGCAAAATCAAAAGCTCAAACACATCAATCGAATGGAAAACAACTGTCATATTCCTGACTTGGTACAGGCATTTCCTTATGTGAAAAATGGTAAACAAACATTACTTACTTTGGCTATAATTTAACGCGCTTGACCTATGGCTTATGTCAATATAAGTTTTGAGGGTTAATGAATCATTGTACCCTCATTACTGGAAGTTATCAATACATCTGTAGTATGATATGTCACATCTTTTTTTTCTAATTTGGATTAATATGAAGACTTAAATAAAAGGCAATTTTGCAAACAAGATGTACCTGGAAAGCTTGTGTAGGATATAGAGCAACTTGTCCAATCTGCCACTTATTTCCTTGGTTGAAGTTTCTGTTCCAGATAGAACTGCCTGCCTGTTGTGATCCAGTGTTCATCATATAGATATTCAAAGCTCCTACATTACGTCCATACATATGATAATAGAATTTCAAACACTGTGGAGAATTAGCCTTTGCTGGGTAAGATGGTGTGATGAGGTGGGATGTCTGATTTGGTCTCATTGGAGATGATGATTCCATGTACACATAATGTCCCTGTCTTGTACCAAGGGTATGGTCAGCAGACGGTCCAGTCCCACTACTTGGTGTACCTCCTGCCTGTCGTTTCCAGTGATATGTGTCAGTAACATTGTTTACATATCCACACTGGTCATTCTCAAAGCTACAAGATGTACTTGTGGTGCTTGCTAAAATTGCAAAAAAATGACTTCTTTTTTATGAGGCTTTAATAGAAAGGCACAATACTGAGGATTCATGTAAGAAGAAAATGACAAAATCTCAAACAGAAAATCAGTATAAATGGCCAATATAGTAATGCTAGTTTTTCTTAGAATCCGACGACAAATATTTATGATTAAAACCTGCAAACCCAACACTTCTGATTTTACACTAATACTTAGTCACAAATGATACACACACACACTTTATTTCTGTGTAGGCATAGTCATATTGATTTCCCCTTGTTTTTGTATCTGGTAAAAGTTATCTCCCTTTATGAGATATTTTAGAGCATTCTATACATTTTATAAATCCTTTGAAAATAACAATCTCTCTACTTTATTTACTTTTTACTGACAAAAAATCATTATCAGCATTCTTGTAATTGTGAGTTAGAAATATGTAATTCATTTAACCTACCTGTATTACATGAACCAATAGCCATTCTGATGTCATCAATAGCTATATCACCACGGTAACTTGTTCCACGGAGTGCTTCAAATATCACCTACAAAATTTAAAGCAAAATTTTTCTCAAAAATACCTAAAGCAATGCAAATGGCATTCTTATAGAGAACAGAATTTATAAATAGTAATTACAAAAAATTCTTGCTATAGTAGTACTTGCATGAAATTTTAGAAATAAAAGACAAAACTTTTCAAATAAAGAATAAAATGTTACCTGGTAAGATCCTGCAGGGTTAATTGGTACTTTGCCTTGTTTCCACTGGTTTCCCTGTGTTCCCTTGCGTGTCCATACTGGGTTGGACAATGTTGGTCCCAGATTACCAGAGGCCTGCACATACACATTAAGTGTGTTGATGTGAACACCATACATATTGTACCAAAAGCTTAGACACCTTTGTTGAGAGTCACTGATACTAGGGGAGACAATCCTGGCTTTATCATTGACACTATGACGACCTGACACCTCAATGTAAATATACCATCCATTTCCTAAATTTCAATAATAAAATCATTTAAAAGATCATATCTTTTACATTTAAAATAATACACGGAAACATCATGCATATCTTTTAAATGTCTCTAGAACTGTACAATATTCCAGTTCAATATGCAATAATACTACAATTGCACCTTAGGGTTGTTCCATTAAAACATACATGGTACCCAGGGAAGGCACTTTAAAAATGGGGTAACCATCTATAGAGGCAAATTAAAATTTCACTAACATTTCCACTATGCAAAAACATAGATAGACACCATTCCATAGTTGAGATTTGGAAGTACCTTCCCTGGAACAGTCTTAAATAGGGATTTCAGTATATTCAGATATAGGTTAAGTAAATATAAAAAAATGCTAATATAAGTAAACTACCTTGCCAAATGTTCATTCGCCTGCCTAAAGTCAGGAACTTTCTCAGCAGTTGTCTTTGACATGATTTTTTTTGGGTCATTTATCGAATTTGGAGTTATTGGCAGATCATTGTCAGTCTCTTGTTAAATTTATTCACAACTTTTTAATACTTGGGGCAATTTAGAGGTCAACAATTCATATAGAAACCTGTCTATTGTTGAAGAACCCAGGTTTACCTCTAGATGTCTTTTGGTTTCTTGTCATTGGGTTTCTGTCACAATGACAGACACCACATATCTTGTTTATTTAATAAATATATAAGATGTACATGATTATATATGACGCGTTTAACAAGATCAGAATAAATTGAGGCGAACAGAATTTATAACTTACTAGTGCCAGTAGTGTGATCAACAGTAGGACCAGTTAAAGAGGAACCAGTTGGACCTTGTGCACGGGTCCAGTCAAACTGGTCTGTTTTATCCTGCTGCCATTGACACAGTGGTTGCTGGGTGTTTTCAAAGTTACAATCATACTGAGTTGGTGCTGTTAAAAAGAAATGCAAATTTATAATGAATTACAATGTCTAACAATAAACATGGATTTATGAGATGAAAAAAGAGCATAAATAACATTCTAATGAAACGTTGAAACTAAAAATGTGAAATGAATCGGAAATTGTACATGTCATTATGATATTTCATGGCCTAAAGTTCAAAAATTAACACTAACATTTACATTAATTTAGCTTATTCCATAATTTCGTATACTATACATTAATTATTAATCTAAGAGTTCATAGTTCATAACAGTTCAGTTTATCTTACTTCATTATTCCTTGACAACACCAATAATTCATTATTCCTTGACAACACCAATAATTCATTATTTTGTTTTTATCATTTATTAACACAGATTTGTCTAAAGTTTACTTACGTGGTGTAGTTCCAATAGATGGTGGAATGGTTGTCATGACAGTAGTACTGGATTGTGTACTTGGGTTAGCATTGCTTGGTTGTACTTTAATAAAAAAACAAGAATTATAAAAGTGCAAACAGATAGAGATTTTGGTAAATAACCCTTAAAGACATTTGACTTTTCAATTGAACTTTCTTTCACATAACTGGGCAAAAGATTAAAATTTATATAAGGTCTGAAAAGGACCCATCTTTCATATAAAAAGTTCAATAACCTGGGAATGGCAAACAAAAATTATCCTAATCAGAAATGAGCTTCGTTTCATCACAAATTTTGAATGTCTATGCAGTAAATCTGGCACGGATAGAATAATGCATTAAAAAAACGAAAAAAATCCATCCTTCTTTTCCAAATAAACAAAAAAGGCAGTCAAAATTAATGATTTTTAAAAGCAATTAATAAATTAAAAGGAGCATTGACTACATTTTTTACACAGTGAATCAAACACTTCAGATACCTAAACAACCCTGAATACTTACATGTACATGCATCTAATGTAAAGGACACATCATCAATGGCAATATCTCCTGAATAACTTGATCCCCTAATTCCTTCAAAGATTACCTACAAAGACAATATATCTTAAAGAAGTCATATAGTCTACACATGTACATATATTCAGTAATTAATGCTATCTTAATTTATACACCAACTATCATTTAAGCTAAATTGCTCGGGGGGCCACTTCAATCATTTTTAGGTAGAGATGAGCAGCTGAGATATCCAGTACCCCATCCTTTTCACATATTTTAAATAACCGAAAAACATAACCTATCATATATTTTTTGACAAAAGATACACCCGTAGCCGTCATGATTATGCTATTTCATAGAGAGGTAAATAGATTTGACAAATATCTTGTGTATTTCTGTCTGTGGTTTTCATTGCATCTGTGAAAAATATCAAAATCTGATTAGTTTCAGAAACATTTGATTTAGTCAGCAACCTTATGATATATTTCATCTTAATTTCTCAACCTTACCATATATTTTTAAGTTTGGAAAAGTTGCCTATTCTAGAGGCTCATCCCTACCACTCACTACATAGGAAGAGGCTCTCCTTAGCTTCATTAACCTAAACTTACTATTGAAAGAATTTTCTGACAAACTTACTGTGTAAGGCATGCGAGATGGTAGAACTACATTGACTTGAGCTGAGTTCCACTGGTCATTCTGATTACCACTGAGACTCCATACAGTCTGATTAGAGTTGGATATCTGTACCAGTACATTCAAAGTTCCAATTCCCCTTCCAAGCATATGATACCAAAAGTGTAAACACTTGTTTGGGCTTGGATTAAACTGAGGACTCTGTAACCATGCCTTGTCTCCACTTACTCTGGGTGCACTTGATTCAATGAAGGAGTAGTGTCCTATAGAAAAAAAAGCAACCCTTTCTTTCTGTCAGCCTTGACTAAAACATTTTAGTATTACTGTGGATTCATCTATTTTCGTGGATTGAGCTTTTACAAAATTCGTCATTCATTGAACATTTAAATGGGTGGTTCACCTGTACCCATGAATTCCAGGAAAATTGGTATTCAACGAATAATAATGAATCAACAGTATTACAAAACAATTATAAAAAAATAAATAAATTTTCTGATAAAAAAAGTCCTGATACATCAATAAGATATAACTAGTATGAACAGTGGTTAAAATCTTTACCCAAATCAACCAAATTTCTCCAGTTTTTGTTAATCTCATCAGAAATAAAATCAATAAAAAAATCAATTATATGACATAAAACTTGGCTATCATACCTGATCCAGAACCATCATTAACTGTATGATCACCCGTTGGTCCTGTATATCGTGAGGCGGTCTTTCCTGTTCCAACCAACCAATCAAACTGGTCTCCTTTTATATTATTCCAAGAACAAAAACCTTTTTCAAAGTCACAATTTCCTGAAAGAAAAATAAATTGGTCTGTTTACTCAATACTGTATATTGTATATATAGATGAGAAATAAAACTAGAGCAAAGGCTTGGTTCTTAATTCTAACAAATAGCTCACTCCATTTAATCCACAATGAGCAAAAGTCAAAGGTGAAACCTTCTTATATATATAAACATATGCAAAATAAAAACAAAACAATGTGTAAAATATTATTTGATTAACATGCATATTTTTTTCACACTGATATTACAAAACTAAAAACCTAAGATTCAAATGTGTTATGAACTTCTTTATTACATTTGAATAATTATTTTGGTGTAAAAACCATTTTCAGACATTTGTTCACTGGCCTTTTCAGTTCCAGTGTTTTCTCTCTCAACTACAGTATAGATTGTACAGTATACTATGGCTTCTGTTTAACATGATAACAGGAAAGGGTCTATCAAGCCTCCTACTGACTTATAGTTTTTTTTGTTTTTTTTTGTTATTTCAAATTCAATGTATTTTCTATGACAGAAATCTTATGGGTTGAGTGATGCCAAAATCCTTACAAGGACATTTTGTGACACTATGGATTAAGGTATTAATTTTAACAGATATCAACACAATAAGTAATAATTAAATTATAAATCATTAGATGACTGATAGAATGCCATACCCAAGAAATGAAAAAAAATTCTTAAAATAGAAACATACTGTGGATTCATTTATGTTCGTGGGTACCAATTTTCGTGGATTGAGGAATGCCTGTATTTTCGTAGATATTTGATTTCGTGGTTTTGCCCAATGTTGCATACAAGCCTATAGAAAATTTACAATTCGTTGAACATCTAAATTCGTGGTTCACCTGTACCCACGAAATCCACGAAAATTGGTATCCAACGAATAATAATGAATCCACAGTACAGAAATTTACATTCTTTGAAAATATAACAATTTTTATTGCATCATGTATGTATGTATCAATGTCGCTGTCTGACAATTCACTGCTACAGACTCTAAAGGACTATGGGTAATATCCTATTTCATACCCGAAATGAAAATATTGTCATCTCATTGGTTGAATTTCCATTAGGAGGTTGTTGGCCAATCATGATGCTTTTGTGTACGCTTTTGAAAATATTACCCAGAACACATTATATTCTTTAACAACGAATTGTATTCTACATTACCTGGCAGAGAACAGCCTCCACTTGAAATAGATACATCATCAATAGCTATATCACTGTCGTAACCGGCTCCCATGACTCCCTCAAATAACAAGGTAAAGTTAGTTGTTGACTGTAATGTAGCTTGTCCCAGAATCCATTTGTTGCCTTGGTTACCAGTTTTGGTAAAAATTTTCTTTGTTGAAAACAGTTGCTGAATGTATACATTAAATGTTCCCATACGAGTTCCGTACATGTGATAATAGAATGACAGACAGGATCCAGATGTTATGGGATATCTTGCACTCATTAGAACAGCTTTGTCTCCTGGACGTCTTGGTGCACTAGCTTCTGTATACATGTAATGTCCTGTAAGAGGAAAACAAGAAATAAATGAATTGTAACTTGCATAAGATTCATATTTCAATCAAGCCTTTGAAAGACTGTTATATTTTGGTTCAATATTCATTAATGTGATAAATAATTGTTTTTTACTTGGAAATAACTTTTCTTCTATTTAACTCTAAAACTAGCACACAATAAATTACACATGAATTGCAGTGTTTTGAAAATTAAATCTATTTTGATTTAGGAGGGAAAATTGACAAAAAAACTTGACTATAGCACAAATGTTGAAAATCTGAAACTGGAATTCCACAAACAGGTATAAAGTTTTACCAGCATTGGTTCCATAAGTATGATCAGAGGAGGGACCAGTTCCTCTACTTCCTGTACGACCAGCAGACCTAGTCCAATCAAAAGTGTCCACTGTAGACTGTTTATACCCACAGATCTTGATATTTTCAAAGTTACACGTGGAGGACGCTGAAGCAAAAACAAAATTAGAAACAATTATTACTATATCTATTCAATTCAAATATTTTTTTTATTTTTACATCCATTCTAGGTAATATTTTGAAATGTATGTTAAAATGAACCAATGCATCACATGGAGCAAATGATGACTTGTTGATAAAAAGTTTCCCATAACTCTTTAATGTACCATAATTGATAATGTGATTGTTAAAAAAACCAGAATGTAACTTGTTAGAAGAAATTTTAAAACATGACTTTGAAAAATTCATTTTTCTTCGATTAAATCTTGAACCAGCAGGTAAGTAGTACAATGTATATCAGTATGCATCTTAATAGGAATAAAGATCCAATTTTCTTTAATAGTACCAGTAGTTTCAGATATTTTTCATTTTAACCAGTCATAACAAACTCTAGTATATATCAATATATGAACAAAATGGGCATTTTTTTAAAAATAGTCATGATATTATTGTGCAGTATAATTTATTTTTCACAAGAATATGTTCTGTAGAAAATGAGAATAGACCCAGATAGACAGACATAAAGATAATATGTTTTGTAATACACTTTTCCTTGATAGATGTGTACTACATAAAGGAATATTTGAACCCGTTCTTAAATTTCAAAGTGGCATTTAATTTACTGTAAATATAACTGACCCCCTGACCTAAACATAATAAAGTTCTTACATGTTGTTGCAGAGCAGGGTGAGAATGAGTATGAAATATCATCCAATCCAATATCTCCCTGATAACTGGTACCCCTAACTCCTTCAAATACCATCTGGAATGGAGTCTGACTGACAATATTGACTTGTGCCTTGTTCCAACGGTTACCAAGTGTACCAGTGTGTGTCCAGATTGAAGAACCCAGTTGTCCATTCTGTTTTGTGTACAAATTAAGTGTGTTGATGTGAGCACCATACATATGGTACCAGAAGGTTACACAAGCTCCCCTGGTTGGATTAATATTAAGGGAGATAATTCTGGCAGTATCATTGGGTCGTCTGGGTGAAGAACTCTCTATGAAAATGTAGTGACCTGTTCCTGAAAGAAATCAAAACAGATAAGTTATATAGTTGAGAGATATGAGATACATAAACAACAGTACAATATTTTTCAATTAAATTAAGTATATATGGATGTGAATTATTGAAGCTGCCATATTCAATGATAAAAGACACTCAAACATTTTTAAAATCTGTCAAGCATCAGCAGTTACAAAAATAATTAGTTAGTAATCTTGTAACTGTCAGTTACTGTAACTTAATAAAATTATAACAATGTTTTTAATATTGCAAAAAATGGGTCAATAGCGATTTTCCTTAACAAAAGTTTGGCAATCTCATTAATTAGATCTGGCTTTATAACAAGTAATCAGTGATAAGCAATAATAAATGCACACATTAATTTCAGAGTTTAAAGTGTGTTCTATTGGTTATATCAGAACTGCAGACTCTTTAATATTTGACTTGGTTACTTCATTACTACCAGACTTTTATTTCATTGTATCATTCATAACTTACCATTCTGGAAAGTGTGATCATTGGTAGGACCAGTTTTTCCTGTGCCAGTTGGACCACTACTAAATGTCCAATCAAATATGTCAGTCTTGTCTTGGGTCCATCTACAAATTCCTCCACTCTCAAAGTTACAATCATAAGGTGTAGCAATCCCTGGGGTGGTCATTACAGTGGAGGATGGTACAGGTGTTGTTGGTACGTATGAGGACGCCTCTGGTGGCAGAGCTATTAAACAAAGAATGTATAATATCATTAAGTTCACTTTCACACTAGTTGTTATCCCATAGAAATGGCAAAAAATAAGCAAACAGTGTTGTTTTTGTACAATTTAACTGTATATTACTTATTATGATTAAAGTTACGAAAATATTGAGCTCGACAAAAGTTACCACTAATGTTCTGTTTTCTTGTGTACTGCATGTAAAAGCTACTTTCTACATATATTTTAAGATAAAACAACTTACTAGGACAGCCTGTATTGGTTAAAGTGATGTCATCCACAGCTATGTCTCCTTTGTAACCATTTCCTCTAACTGCTTCAATTATCAACTGAAATATAAAACAAAATGTGGTCAATATCAAGCAAAGAATTCTGTTCAGACCAGTGCTCAGGGCCATCTTAAATTTCCAGTGAGATGTGAGCGCATTTGAAGGCACACCTATGATTTTAAGATAAGGAACAGAACTTAAAGCCTTTTTCCATTGCCTTTAGCTTTGTCAAGTGGTAGTAAGGATTTTGAGAAAGGAATTGATACACCATATCCTTTATTTTCCATCATATTCAATATTGTAAGCAATTAATGTCTTTTTTTATAAACAATTAGACCAAAAATTTATATCCAAATGTCCCAGAATGATAATTTTCATGATATAAAGTACATTCATTCTTTCAAGTTCAAGCAAAAAATATCTATCAATAATTCAGCATTCAGATTTTAATGTTCTGAAACAAAGCACACGTTTTCGGTCTTTTTGAAAAAGGTTTATTGATTGATTTTTTTCATAAAAAGATCATGTGATAAACCATCAAAATGAAGACCCTAAAAAGCAGTTTTTCCTAAAAGCACAATTACTATTACACCAACACTAACTAAAGTCAATCCATGATATTGTATATTAAGATATTATTGTGAGGTCTTTATTAATACAAATAATGCAACTGGGGAAGAATAATAAGAATAATAAGAACTTGCATTCTGATATCTCATACATATATCTCTATGCAGATTTTCCAGAAATCGCAATAATTAATCTTGAATTTTTGTCTATTCTTTGAACATCGCAATAATAATCGCAGGCAATAAATTCTGAATTTACAGTATTTTAATCAACTGCAAAGTATTAAAAGATAAATGAACATACATAGAATGGTACTTTGCTGGAGAATGTGGTCCTTCCTTGAAGCCATGTAGCCCCTTTGTCACCTTGTAGATCCCACACTTTGAAATTAGAACCATTCTGTGGCTGTATCCATACTCTGAGGTTTCCAGTGTTGGGACCATACATGTTGTACCAGAAGTTTATACATCTAGCTGATGAAGGATTAAACAACTGACTACGAAGTTGTGCCCTGTCACCTGGACGTCTAGGGTTAGATGCCTCAATAAATATATACTGACCTGTGAATACAACAACAAAAAAAAGTTTTAACATGTTGTGGAAAAAATTCATACTTTCAAAATATACAAAAATATTCAAAATGTCAGATACTTGAGAGTTTGGATAAACATTTGCTTACTTTTCAAATGAATAATTTCTGCCAAATTTCAAACATAACAATTGTTACCTGAGTGAGTTGGTCCTGTTTATATGATCTCTTTTATGTCCTGTGAGTGAAGAAACAATTTTTTTGAAACGCTCTGGTTCCCTTAATATGATATTAACTGAGTCCTTTGAGTATTTCTAAAGAAACAGATCCTTTTTAACATGTGGTGGTTCCATTTTTATAGTCTGTATTAGGTCTTGAGAGTATTTTCTAAAGAAACAATTTTTTTACCTGCACTGGTTCCCTTTGTATGATCTGCACTAGGTCCTGTGAGAGTACTAGATGTTCTGCCTTTCCCAAGGATCCAGTCAAAGTTATCTCCTGCATGAACATTAGTCCAAGTACAAAGTCCACTCTCAAAATCACAGTCCCCTGATATGAGAAAAATACAACTTTGTCACTCTTAAGTTTTAAATGTAAGAGCTGACATTACTGAGGGTCTCACAAAAGTGTTGGTGTGTGAATAGACAGGATTAAACTAATGTTACATTTCCTGATGAATTTTAACAAAAATTAAGAATGTCAAATGAGGAATCCCGGCATTTGAGGAGATATTGAATTCCAATTTAGGTCATGAATAACATAGACTTCATAAAGACGTTTAAACTTGTAAATTTATAAATTAATAAAATGTATTGGAAGGAATTATTGGTATTGTGTTGTTTGTAATGCAATAATTGCTCCCTATCTGCTGCTAATAAAGACCAGAATGGCTTACCTGTGATAGGACAAGCTCCCGCTATAGTGCTAATATCATCTAATGCAATATCACCCTGTACACCATTTCTACGGATACCCTCGAACACAACCTGTTCAATAGTATAAAATGATGAGTAGAAAGAAAGACCAATGAATGTCATGTAAGTATTGAAGAATTTTTTAATAAACTAAAAAAAATAATCTTGCTTTTCATAATCAAATATTCAATAGTGGCACATTTTAAATCTATCCATTAGTTTAACAGTTGTTTCTTCAGAATGAAATCTTGTATGATATTAACCACTAGATTTTCATTCTGGGTTACCATGCGTTGTTGGGATGCTGATTAATTGATTTATTGTTGTTTGCTTAATGTCCATTGGCAAATATTTCATAGATATTCATGACAGTGGCAGATCCAGGGGGGGTTCCGGGGGTTGGAATCCCCCTTTTATTTTGATGATCAATACTTTTGTATGGGGACATATGGTTGGAACCGCCCCTGCATAATAAGAACATATCAACACTAAATACAGGAGGTAGGTTCTGGGAAGTGAGTTGACCCGGATAAAGGACAGACAACTGACATTTACCCCCCTATTTCTATTTTGTAATATTATGAATACTCACATTAATTAATTAAAAAAACAGAATAACTTTGATTGTTGAAGAAACTTACATTGAAAGCTTGTGGTGACTGTATAGTTACTTGTCCTTTGATCCAGGTGTTCCCCTGATTAAGTGACTTGCTCCATACAGCATTTATAGGTAATGTTGAACCAGTCTTTAGATAAATATTCAATGTACCAATATTTTGTCCATACATGTGATAGTAGAATTGTAAACATGTAGGTTGCGTGAAGGTCACTTGTGGACTGATTAACCTGGCTTTGTCACCTGACACACGAGGAGCACTTGTCTCTATATACACATATTTTCCTGAAAAATAAATAAGAATCTTTTAGTTTTTCATTACTTTGTTACTATTTGATTGGTCAATTTAAAGAAAACCTTTAGATTTTGTTATCTATCAGAGTTTTATAAGAGTAAACAAGGATAATTTGGGCAAACTTTCTAATAAAAAGAAGCATTTTCTGTACACAAACATTTTTGAACTTCTGATGTATATTTTACCTGAAAACATGAAAGATAATAAATACAATAAAGTTAACATGATTTTTGAAACAATATTTTCAAAGTTTGTCTCTGTATTATACAAAATAAAACAAAATCCTGACCTGCAGATGTTCCAAAAGTGTGGTCAAATTTGGGTCCAGTATTTGTTGAGCCTGTACTACCCTTCTGTTGTGTCCAGTCAAATACATCTGTCTTATCCTGGGTCCATCCAGCACAAAGAGATGAACCTTCAAAGTTACAAGCTAGACCACCTAAAAAATAAATACATTACTTGTAAACTATTTTTAAATAAATGGAGAATGTGTCCATGAGACACAGATGATGCCCCCTGCTTGCATATAACGTTATAAAGGGACATACATACCTCAAGAACGTTAAAAGTGACGCAACCAAAATTCGAAATTGATCTGTGTTTTGTGGTAATAAGCATTATGTATAAGTTTCATAACATTTGGTTGAGGCAAACTAAAGATAGAGAACGGAAACTAATTTTGGGACATAATGATGCACAAGGGTAACACCAAGGGTCCGGAAATGGTCATATTTGCCAGTCATGTCCTAAGATGAAAGCTATATGTCCTAAACGAGTAATTGGGATTTAGGACAAATTTTATTTTTTTAACAGAAATAATTTCGGTCATTTCATTGACTTAATGTTTGAAATCGGGTTTCTTAATCGCCATTTTCCACTTGTGATCACTTGTTTTTGTTTATAATCCCTTTCCTGTAATAAAACTGCCACTTCAGTAGTTTGATAATCCTGAGGGCCCTCCTAATATCTATATCAATGCCTCCGGGAAACATTGGCTAATGAACGCTAATCACTTTTACCTGTGGTTTTAATTCACACCTGACAATTGGTCACATTGATCACAAGCTCAGAATAATATCTTTAAGAAATTAAAATTCCCTGACAAGTGTATTCATTATTTAATTACTTTCAGCAAAGACAATCATCAATTCTGATTTAAAAATAAACCTTACTTTAATTGACGTAGAAAAAAGTATTTTTTCATGAGTAACACATGTGTTTTATTTACTATGTAATACGCATGTGTGAAATTGTCTTCAGCAAATTAATTATTTAATCGTAAAATGCAAATTGATTTCATGCCAAAATAAACGAGTGCAACTATAATCTGATATATTCAAACACTTTTAAAGGTCATAAAATAAAAAGAAGCCGGTGATTTCCTGTCAATTTGATAAACAAAACGAATCCTGGAATTGAATCCGGAATTATTGGATCTTTAATATTATCGCAAAACTTCCGGTTTTAATTTTGTCAAATCGAAAGAAACGTAAGCAATGTCTGAGAATTAACCATTTTGAGTCATTAAAATTATTTCAATTTTAAACTGTTGCCTTCCCTAAACTGTTCTTGAAGGTTTTTAGAAAAATGGTAAGAAATTTACTTAGTAAATGCGATGAAACATCAATACAAGTTCGTTGATGCTATGAATCTAGTTTGACATCGACAATTTGAAAGGGGCACCAACTTTTCAATCATCTCAAAATGACCGAAATTGTGTGAAAAAATTTCCAGATCCTTGGGTAACACTAAATGCCCCCTCAAGCGTAGCAGGGGCATAAAAATCATTGATTTAAGGTGTGAACACAAAGTTTTGGGCTTACAACAATCATCATTTAAATGAGAATCATTGTATTATGTTGAATATTTAAAATCACGGTCTACCTATACCCCAAAAATCCACTTAAATCAGAACTCAACAAATAATAATAAAAAAAATGCAGAAAAAAACCTACCGAAAAATCATAAATAAAGTCATTTTTTAGGGGGACATAACAGAAATTTTATTATTATACATCCTCCCAATACATTCTTCATTTTTTGGACCATACCTGCTGCCTGACATGTTCCTGCTATCATTTTGACATCATCAATAGCTACATCACCACGGTAACTTCTTCCTACAAGTCCTTCAAACACGACCTGGTACTGAGATGTCTGTGCTGGTACCTGAACCTGTCCTTGTTTCCAACTGTTACCCTGAGTACCTTGTCTTGTCCATAGAGCATTGCCATAATTACTTCCAATCTAAAAATATGATATGGGATTGTAAGCTATCAAGATGTCATTTCTTAATATACAGGAAGTTGGGAATTCTATGTCTAGTCATGATAGAAACATGCAATTCCAATGGTTAAAAGAAATTACCTAAATTCCATCACAACAACAATCCTTTGAACTAATAATCAATATATCAATTAACCAAACTTCATCTTGAAAAGTTTGAGGGTTAAAATAATCTAGTATTTACCAATAACTAGAAGATTTCCGTGGTTTTCAAATGGTCTAAAAACTCATTTTAAGGGCGATGTTACCCTTTGACATTTCCTCTTGGCACCTATCATATTGAAATCAGTTTTTATTATAAGGAATCTTTCATGGTCAACTTAAAATGGAATGTATTCTTCCTTTTTTGAAAGATTTCATATGAAAATTCTGAATAATCTTAAGACCATAAATGAATGAAACAGCACAGAAAGTAAGGAAATGTCATTAATTCTAAAAGGATGTTGACTACTGTAACAGATCCCCCATGTATCTATAAATTTTACCTATAACCCTGGTTCCCTTATTTTGTTATAAATTTATTACAAAATTTGACTGAGCCAAGATAGGTCTAAAAATTCGTAAGGGTTCCGCGGAACCCAGTGTCTCGCCTACTTTTTCTGTTAATCGCAGGCTCAACAAAAATGAGGAAGTAAATCAATAAAAATATTCCTCTTGATACTATCTTTTGATTGTAAGAACTTTCTGTCCAAGTTTGGTAAAAATCCAGGATAGTGTATGAATCTAATAAATGTTTAAAAACTTTATCTGTAGACTGAATGTAATGTTAACTTGAAGAAAACAAAATTTCCTTCTAGATACTAGCATTTGATCATAAACAAGCTTCTGTTAAAGTTTGGTGCAAATCCAAAATAGTATAAGAAAGTTATTAAAATTTAAAAAACTTTAACCACAGAGTGAATGTGTTGTTTCCTGACAGGAAATCTAAGTCCATTTAAAAGTAAAATACGGAAAAAATGGATTTATTATTTTACAAAATTTCCTTCTAGATACTAGCTTTTGATCATAAACATGCTTCTGTCCAAGTTTGGTACAAATCCAAAATAGTATAAGAAAGTTATTAAAATTTTAAAAACTTTAACCACAGAGTGAATGTGTTGTTTCCTGGCAGAAAATCTAAGTCCATTTAAAAGTAAAATACGGAAAAAATGGATTTATTATTTTACAAAATTTCCTTCTGGATACTATCTTATGATCATAAACAAGCTTCTGTCCAAGTTTGGTAGAAACCCAGGATAGTTTAAGAAAGTTATTAAAATTTTAAAAACTTTAACCACAGAGTGAATGTAATATTTCCCGGCAGAAAAACTAAGTCCATTTATAAGTAAAATACGGAAAAAATGGAATTTTATTTTTACAAAATTTACTTCTGGATACTATCTTATGATCATAAACAAGCTTCTGTCCAAGTTTGGTAGAAATCCAAGGTAGTTTAAGAAAGTTATTAAAATTTCAAAAACTTTAACCACAGAGTGAATATTTGTGGACGCCGCCGACGACGACGACGACGACGACGCCGACGGAATGTAGGATCGCTATGTCTCGCTTTTTCGACTAAAGTCGAAGGCTCGACAAAAATGAAGTGCAAGTTTCCATTGTTTTTTTTTTTTATCTTTTATGGAAATTATGGCTTGTTATAATACCCCAATACCCTTACCTTGATATAGACATTGAGCATGTTGATGTTTGGTCCATACATGTGATACCAGAACTGTAAACACTGCTGCTGATTGGCTGGAACATTGGCTGATGCCAGATGGGCACTGTCATTATATCTTCTTGGGGCTGATGCTTCAATATACATGTACCATCCCTGACCTATGAATTATCAATAAATGTTAGTATTTTTTTGGGGGGAGTGGGAATAAACAAATGATAGAGCTTCGTTGTAATGAAAAACAATTGAATGTCGATGCAATTATAGGCATACCAAATCTTAGAGAAGACAACTGAAAATAGCATCCAAAATTTTCTCAGGCCAAAGAGTAACATGGTATGTACCTAAGCCTATTTCATTATAATTTTCACAAATTTAAAAGACCATTAAAAGATGCTGGCCTCTGGACTGCAAGCTGACAAATTTTTGACAGAGATTTGAATCACAGTACTAGCTGCCAAAAAAAGATGGATATCTCATTTATAATTTTCCTTACTAAATAATATTAATGGTAGCAGGCTTAGACCATCTGTAAGTGAATGCATATCAATATAGATTTGACTGGATTCATGATTTTGAATTAATTAAAAAAAAAAGTCTGTACATTCAAAATTAAACTTTATCATTAGCATAAATTTTTTCATTTTAATTCTTATTTGAAAATTCATTTTTGCATATTAAAATAATGTTATTTCTGTACCCATTGTTCATAAACAAAACTATTCTTACAACAAAAGCTTCATATTTTGAACACAATGAAAATAGAACCACTATATTATACCATACCTGTTCCTTTAGTATGGTCATTTGTTGGTCCTGTTAATGCTGAACCAGTTGGTCCCTGAGCTCTCGACCAATCAAATTTATCATCCTTCAAATTGGTCCAGGTACAAAGGTTATTTTCAAAGTTACAATCATATGCAGACTGGGATACTGTAAACAAATTTCTACTTTTACTTTTTTTTTAATAAAAAGCAACTACTGTAAATTCAGATATTATTGCATGCATTTATTATTGCAATTTATGAAAAGTGGACAGCAGTGGGAGATTAATCATTGAGATTTCAGGAAAATCTGCATACAGATATATGTAACAAATTTAGAATGTGAGTTCTTATTATTGCAATAATCACTCATTTGCATTATTTGAAAAACTTGCAATAATTTCTAAATTTACAGTAATAGGCAATTAAAATTACAACTTTATTTCATATTTTTTAAAGAATTTAAAATCTGATGTCAATATACCTTGCATTAAATTATTGTTAATGTTATGCCTTGGACCATGTTAGTATAGGGCTTCTTGTAATCATTGCTTGTCTAAACCATGGAAATGTATTTCTCTCATCTTAAACATAAACCATTACAAACTTTTAATTCTAAAATGCATAAAATAAAACCAATTTAAAATGAAATAAATACTACTTACCAAATGGAGGGTTAGTTGTTGATGCTGGTAGTGGTGTGGTTGTTGGTGCTATCTTTGGATTGGCATTTCTTGGATTATCTAAAAACAGAACAAACATATACATTATTGTTAATTTTGTTGCTTTTTCTTTGACTTTGAAACAGTTATTCTTTTTTTGAAGCTCTTATTCAAAATCTGACAGTTACTTCATTAAGTTTCTCCTGTAAAATTGTTGTATGTCACAGCAATTATATCAAAAGTATTGCTATCTGGATTTCTTCCACTATATATTGATTCAAAACTTAGTACACGTCTACTTTTTCCCATTTAATCACATTTGAAATTCTTAATATTTACTATGATGAAGGAAAATGTTCAAACTTATAGCATGTATTTTTGTGATGGAGACAGTTACTCACATCCACAAGATGATTGTGTGACTGTTACATCATCAATGGCAATGTCACCTTGGTAGTTTGTGCCTCTTATTCCTTCAAATGTTAGCTGCAATAACAAAGATATACTCATAACATTAACAACTAACAGGAGAATGACTCAAAAGAGTTACTGTTAATAATCCAATTATCATATGGTAAGAATTGTACAAACTTAAAACAAAATTATCAACCCCTTATAAAATCACAGGGTTAGATCTAAAAATTTTCAAAACCAGATCAACATTTCTCTTACTTGTTATAAAGAAAAAGGAAATTTTTTTGATGTCTAGACACATTTATGTTCTCAAAAACAAAAGAGATTTTTATGATGTCGATATGTTAATATATCTATAAATATATGTTAATACAGTGCTGCAAAGAACCTCAGAAATAAGAAATCTAATAGTTACTTCTTGAAATGTGTTAATTCACTGACATTTTTTCCCAAATCAAATGATAAAAAAACATATTCAGATAAGGCATATGGAAATATCATACTTAATTTCTTTTTGAGATAAAGTTACCTGATATGCTGATGTTTGTGTGGGGATAGGTACTTGACCTTGTACCCACTGTTGTCCTTGATTACCAGATAATGTCCATAGCCATGTTCTGGAAGCACTATCATTGACATACACATTCAAAGCTCCTGGAACAAAAGAGAATGTTATTTTACAAGAACTCAAGGCTATTCCAGAAACAATGTAAATGTGAATGTGTTTGATTGCAAGCCTTTTTATCTCATATCCACCATTTACAACCAATGTAAAGGTGGGCGTGCTTGATTGCAAGCCACTTTTTCTAATATCCACTGGCAACAGGAAATCTAAGAACTTACTTTAAAGTTGAGACACACAAAAAATGCTACTGTCAATTCAGAAAAAGATTTTTAATTGATTGTTTTTGGCTTAAAATAATGAATGAAATTTAAGGCAAAAAGCATAAGATCTAAAAATAGTAGCCACAAATTAAATATTTACAGCTTAAATACATTGATTTAAGACAAATCATAGAAAATTTCAGTCTTAAAATTATTTCCACCAAAACTTTAGTCTAAGTATTGTAACACCTATAAAATTAACTTCTGAATATATGTAGTATTTAAAAAGAAGTCAAAACACATGTATCTCATTCATTACAATTAAACAGGTCATCAATAACATGTTTTTTTCACTAAATCTCACCTGTCATCCCTTAATGAAATTTTATCTTGAATGTTTAGATTTCAGAACGGGTAAACTGTTAGTTGACTTTTTTGAATAACATAAAACGTAATTATAATTATTCTTAATCATTAACAAGTAAACAAAAAAGCTGTAGCATACCAACTCCATTTCCACTCATGTGATACCAAAACTGCATACAAGCTGCATTCTGTGAGAATGGGAAACTGGTACTGATCAGCCAAGCCTTGTCTCCTTTCACTCTTGGTGCTGAGGACTCAATGTACATGTAATGTCCTACAAAGTCATTGTGCCATTTTATTTACATCAAGGTTCAGCTATTTCATAGATTATTCAATTAAATCTTATAATTAGCTAAAAAGTATGCAATAAATATGCAGCATAATATGTTACAATGACCATATATAATTTTCCAAAATAATTTTATTTATGTTTAAGGCATATTTGTTAATTTAATATAGTCCAAAAATTATAAATGAGTAAAGAAAGCTATACAATAATAAACTGTTAACACAGAGGTATGTCTTGAATGAGTAACCTAATCACAAACTTTAATAATTGTTGAAGCAACCAACTATGTAAACAGCAGAAATAAATCTTTCTTCAATGGTTTCTGTAATAGGCACCACAAAAAGTAAATTGTAGCATTAAATAAGGAACAATCCTTACCTAACAAAGAACCTATTGTGTGGTCAAAGTTTGGTCCTGTTCTGGTACTGGAAGTTTGTCCTTTCTGTCTCAGCCAATCAAACTGGTCACCTGAATTTGTGTTAACCCAATTACAAGTGTCTTTTTCAAAATCACAATCACCAGGGTTACCACATGCCCCCTGGGTAATCTGGACATCATCAATACCAATATCACTATACACTGGATTTCCTATAATTCCTTCAAAGACAACCTACAATAGGACCAAAAAGATTCAACTGAATATACTCTTATTAAACAAGCAATTCTTATTCTAAATTTATTTTACCGCTCAAACTGGTAAAGATGTTAAAAAACTAATTTTATTGCTATTGGTGAATTTTTATTTTATTTATTTAAATTTTATGAATAGCTGTTTTAAAAAAGGCAAATGTAGAAACCAGAACTGCTATGTTTGAGCACAGCTAAATTCAAATTAAAGTCACCTATGCCATATTATTTTCAATACCCTACAAAAGGTATAGGTAAAATTCAAATTAAACAGTTCTGTTTCAAAAAAATAAGTTAACACCTGAAGATTTTTTGTGCAGTACTTTCCTTTTCTCCTTGATTTTGATATAATATTGAAGTATCAATAGAACAGGGAAAAAAAAGATACAGTTTATTTATTCATGACACAGAATTCAAACATTCACCTCAACAAACACAAAGTAAAGATACAGCAATTTTATTTCTATTCTTCATCTCAAAGTCTTTACCTTATATGAGGATAAATAATTGAAGAAGTAAGGATTTTTTAAAAATATTACAATTCTTTAAAACTGTTTTGCTAGTATAGACATTATTGCTATTTGGGAATCAGTGACGCTTGACCTGAGAAACTGGAACTCTTGAACTATTGACGTCATACAACAATCACTTTTTCATTGTGCCATCAGACATTTTCTATTTGTGACGTCAAAATTTTACGGGATCCTTTGTGATGTCCAGTAATGGCGAACAAATAGCGATAAGGTGTATTCATTTCACAGAAATCAAATTAGAACAAGATCATATCAACAGAGAAATAATTATCTAGACTGCAAGATAAACCTCACCTGCCAAGATCCTTGTGAAGTGACAGTAACTTGAGCATTCTGCCATTTGTTAGCTTGGTTTCCAATCTTTGACCAAATAGGTGTACCTAATGCTCCACCTATCATGGCATATACATTCAATGTTCCCATTGTTCTACCATACATATGGTACCAGAAAGTCAAACATACTCCTGAAGTTGTTGGGTTGGTACCACCAATCAAACGGGCCTTTTGGCCTGATCGTCTTGGTGAAGATGTTTCAGTGTATACATAATATCCTGTAATTGTAAATAGAAAAAAAACCTTTTAAATAACATTTTAACTTTGTTGAGCTAATTACTCCTCTATGAAATTCATAAATGAATCATTTAGCTATTTCAATGTTATCTTATCTTAAATATATATTTTAACAATATAAATCTTCTTTTCACAGAATGTCTATGTTGTGTATTGTATTTCACTAAATTCTAAAATAATACCTGGTTGTGGATGTGCACTAATTTAAAAATGTATAAAATCTATGACAACTTTATAAATAGACCTTATCGCTATTTGGAAATCTGCACTGTTTGACCCGAGAATCTGCGCCACTTGAACTTTTGACGTCATCCAACAATCACTATTCCTTTGTGGCGTCAGACAGTTTTTATTGTGATGTCCAAATTTTTCGGGAACCTTTGTGATGTCCAGTAATGGCGGACAAATAGCGATAAGGTGTATTCTAAGTAAGATATAAACTGACCTGCTGATGTTCCATATGTGTGATCATTTGATGGTCCTGTGCTGCTAGATGCTGTTCTTCCATTCTTTCTTGTCCAATCAAAATCATCATCATGAGCCTGAGTATAACCACACAATTTACTATCTTCAAATGTACATACTCCATTGATTGTTCCTAAAATTGTAAAAATATGAAAAGAATTATAAATTGAAGATAAGATTTTTGAGTAACTATTATAATTGGTTTAAAAATATAGCAGTAATTCTGATGAAAATGGTCAGTCAAAAATGTACAAACAATTAGAAGTGGTATATTGATTTTATTTTTACAGTAGAATTCTTTTAAAGTATTAATCAACTAAATGTCAGAAATTTCTTCAGCTAAACTTCATTTCCTTTGATATACAAATTTCTTCTTCTTATTGCTATGAGTGTCAAGATAATAATCATATGTTTATATTACTGACTTGAACTTTTCTGTGTTTTATCACATATTAGTATCTGACTACTGATCTGAAATTTGATTAGTTTAAGAAAATTGTTCTTAAGAAAAATTTTGATTGTATTTAAAAAATTCTTTAAAGAAATAAAATTAAATTCTTTAAACAAAATTTCAAACCTGCACATGATCCTTCCCTAACAGTGATGTCATCAACTGCAATGTCTCCCTTGTAGCTAGTTCCGCGGACACCTTCAAACATTATCTCGTATGTAGAGTTTCCTTGGATATCTACCTGACTTTGGTACCATTTATTACTAAGGGTCCCAGTATGAGTCCAAACTGGTTTTCCTAATGTTGTGGCGAATCTTAAGTATACATTCAGTGCTTTGACATTTGAGCCATACATGTGGTACCAGAATGTCAGACATTTTGTTGTCTTGGTTACAATGTTTGCACTGACAATCAGAGCTTTGTCATTGGGTCTGCGTGGATTAGATGTCTCAATGTAGATATAATACCCAGCAGCTGTTAAGAAAAATGTATTATATTTTACTTATAAAGTTCAATTACTTTAATTTATTGTGTACAAGAAGAAAATTTAGTCAAAAGGACAACCATAATTTTTTATGATAATCCTTTCTTAAAAACCATTCAATGTGGTTAATAATCAAATAATTTCAACTGAAATTTTTTTATTTTTATTATCTTTTGTATTAAAAATATAAGATATAAAAGGACTAGATAATGAAAAAATAATTTTTTTGGTCATTTTTAATAGGAAATTTTCAGGAAATCCCAGCTTTTGTAATTCACTGTACTATTGAGTACACAGTAAATTTTATAGAAGTTAACTGTTCTGTAAAATTAATGGTAACTGGAAAGTAAAATTGTGCATGCTTTCATTGTATGTTTTATCTATATGTTTACAGCAGTTTCCTTGATACTTGAAAATTTTCCATAATGTGCATCACTGATTTTAGTGCAGTAAAAAAATCAACAGACTGAAACTGAATTTATTGGATTTTCACTGTTCCCCCTGTTAGGAGTATCAAAAATAACTAATACAGACTTCAATCATTCACATTAACTGCATCTTTTTAGCAAAATGTCAAAGTGAAGGTCAATCTTATGAAATCACCAACAGACATAAAACTACTAATTAATCATTATTTTGAATGATATTTCTTCACAATGTGCCCTTGGGACTTTTAGGGTACCCAAAAAAGTCTCTTATCCAGTTACCTATCCTTTTCATTTTAATTAGAAAAGAAGAATATGAATGAACTTCTATCAGTATCTTTAAGTTTGAACTTTTCTTGACATCTTGACAATAGAAAGGTTTCAATATGACATAATTAGAGCTTAAGTTATTTCCCTTTGCCGCCATCTTGGAGGGGTAAATGATTGATTTCCTATTTCACTAACAAAATTGAAACATGCACTACACACAAGTCTGATAAGAGATCCTTAAAAGACAAAAGTGATGCATCAAGCAAGGTTAAAAGAAATCAAAATTATTCAGAAAACAACTTTTTCTGAAGTCTAGCAGTCAGAATAGCAACTTGAATTTGGCTGATGAATTTGTGCAGTATTGAGTTAGACCTTCAACATGGCAACAATTCTGGTTCAAATTGTGCCAATCAAAACCTATCGATATGCCTTTAAGGTAGAGTCATTGTATACCACCATCTTGGATTGTAATATAGCATTAAACAATCAGTCTAGTTCTTTGCTTAAATCTGCAAATTTTGAGACATATTGGCAATTAATGTGTATGAAAGTTTATTCTAATAAAAAAAAAATCAGTACTTTATTGCATTATTTAGCCTGTTTTAATAAATACCAAATATTTCTTTTTGTTTGAATCAATTTTTCAACTTAACTGTTTAAGGGGAGATAACTCTAATAATAAACATTTTTTGTGAACCCTGATGAAAAATTTCATTTTCTAACTTGTAGCAAGAAAACAAATTCAGTGATACCATTTTATCTTTTTATTTTCCTAAAGCATAATACAAAACCTATCTTTTCTTATTTTATTTCAAAATTCTGTCTCGACAAAAAGTATTTTTTCATGAATACGCAATTTTGCTCAACTTGTAGCTTAAATCATATTTGTTATCAGCAACTGTAAATATTCAGGAAATAACTTACAAGTGCCTGTAGTGTGATCTGTGGTAGGTCCTGTTCCAGCAGTACCAGTACTACCATGGAAACGTGTCCAATCAAACTGATCCCCTCCATTAGTCACCTGAGACCAGCTACATAGATCCTGCTCAAAGTTACAGTCATATTGGGATGGTGCTTAATCACAAAAAAAAAATCAATGCATATAAAAAATTAAAAAACTTTGAAAACACTAACAAAGTCAACACGTCCAGAAATCTTTAACAATATAAGATTAAAAAGTGCTAGCAATTATATATTTAACAGGTAAATTTCAAGTAAAAATATAGATTTTTACAATAGAAAAAAACTAATCCACACAAGATCATATTTCAAACAATATTTTTATATTAAACAAGAATAAAAAAGAATATGCATGATATACATCAGCAACATTTAATACAACACATAAAAGCTGCTAATTTATTAATTATTTATAATTTGCTTAAAGTCCAGTGGCAAATATTTCACGAATAAATTAGCTAAAAGCTTCTAAAAGTCGACATATGGTCTTCAACAGTAGTCAATTGTAAAAACAATAGACAAAGCTCTTTATCACAAAAATGTGAAATTAGGAAAATAAAATAAACCAACCAGAAGATGGCACCACTGTTGTTGTTACTGTGGGTACTGGTGGCAATGTACTTCCTGTCATAGCATCTATAGGTATCACTAAAATAAGGAAAACAAATATATTTAGACAAATCTTATTAAAATTAAAAACTAATATAGATATTCCAGATTTTGTTTCCTCCACATTAATTTTTTGCAGAAAGAAAGACTGTCATGGGATATATTTTTATATTTCTCAAATACCTACTGAATTGTGTTTTATCAGTGAAAGTAACCAAATTTACACAAGGAATAAATAAAGACTTACAAATACTTAAACATCTAATATGCTTTTATTTCTGTTTGTCAAAATAAATATACTGAATTTTATGAAGCTTACCACAGAGCCTATGATCAATTTAAGAACAAATTACCTTCAGTGTAAAATGTAAAAGTTTTTAAATACATTTTTGTGTGATCAGAATGAACTTTCTACATTAAAAAAAAAAACCAAGTGAAACTGCTAGCTACTGCTCACTGATGATACCCCCACCGCAACTGGATAATTTTAATAGTGTAAAAATATGTAAGCGTTTGGTAAATAGGAAGATGTTGAGTGATGAATCTGAAAATGCATCATACGGTATAGCTTACTTATATAAACCCTGAAACCAAATTTCAGAAATCCTTATGATGTAGTTCCTGAGAAAGATGCGACGAAAAATATTCATGGGACGGACGGACAGACGGACAGACAGAGGTAAAACAGTATACCCCCACTTTTTTTAAAGCGGGGGTATAATAACAGACAATAAATATTCTTCTTTTATCATCCTTCAATCTATCTAACCTTGACCTTCCCTAATCATCCTTCGTACCAAACTATATGTAACCTTGACCTTCACTACAGGTAAAGTCTTCCCTATTAAACTATATTACCATGACCTTCCCTTATCATTCTTCATATCAAACTAACCTTGACAACCTCCTGTAGTAAATGTTATATCGTCAAGTGCGACATAACTATTGGTTGCTCCCTGTGAACTGAGAGTAAAGGTAATCTGGTAGGATCCATTTATATTGATAATTGGAAATTGTCCTGCTTGCCATCTGGCTGGGGTGTCAGAATATGACCTAATCCACAATGGTACTGAAACTGAACTCTGAAAACATAAATAAGTTTTGAATTGTACATTCATCAAAATATTTAAAAGATGATCCTTAGTATCTAAGAGGTTACAGATGCAGATCAAAAAGGAGAGCAAAAATGTGATAATTAAAACTCATATTGCTTACAATTTTACACTACAAGATGTGAATGGATTACCTTTATTAATTAAAAATTAACACCAGTTTTCCAAAATAAACATCAACTGATTTTTATAGTTTGTTCTAATGTTGAGCTGTTACACCACTTTCCAAGGTTAGGGTGTGTTGAGAGCTCACAAACATGTTTAACCCCGCCACATTCTTTATGTACCTGTCCCAAGTCAAGAGCCTGCAGTTCAGTGGTTGTTGTTGGTTCATATCTGTCATATTTGTTTTTCTTAAATTGTTTTGTTATAAACAAGAAATGATTGAAACAGGATGCTGGGGACTGACCCTATACGCGATTCAAATGTTCGAGACATGACGAACAGGAATATAGATGGTTTAGGGATGGGGATCTCGACCATTTACAAGATATTAGAACATTGGGGAGGGGGGGGGACCACTGGGGACAGACCCTATACGTCATTCAAATGTTCAAGACATGAGGAACAGAAATATATATGGTTTAGGGGTGGGGATCTCAACCATTTACAAGACATTAGAACTTTCTCAAATGGCAGGGGGTCAGGATGACTTCTGGGGACTAACCCTGTATATCATTCAAACCATCTTCGCATGACAAACCAGAATATATATGGTTTAGGGGTGGGGATCTCGACCATTTACAAGATATTAGAACTTTCTTAAATGGCAGTGGGTGGGGTGACCCCTAAAGACTAACCCTGTATTTCATTTGATGTGCTTTATAATGACAAACCAGAATATATATGGTATATGGGTGGGGATCCTGACCACTTACAAGATGTTAAAACTTTCTCAAATGGCAGGGGGTGGGGATAACCCCTGATGACTAATATTTTGTTTCATTTAATGTGTTTTTATCATTTAGAACATTTTCAATTAAAAAGATTGTGTCTATCACAAACAGTTTTCAATTTATAATCATTTGAAAATTTAAAAAAATAAAATCCCATAGGGTTCTATAGTAAAACCCTCATTTCTTTTTGCCCCTCAAAGTACCCACTTATAAACCCCATTGCACAAACAAAACCCTGATTGCACCACTTCGTTTGAGAGACTTAATTAGGCTGTTAGTTTTCTCAATTGAATTGTTTCATATTTTTCATGTCAGGGCCTTTTATAGCCGACATTATGGTATGGATTTTCTCATTGTTGAAGGCGGTTGCCTATAATTGCTTACAGCCACTTCATTTGAAGTTAGGTGGATAGCTGTCTCATTGGCAATCATACCAAATCTCCTTATTTTTATATCAATGGATATATACATTGATAAAATTTAAGAAGCTGCTGAACCAACGCCTTTGTGGTGAAGTGAAGGTAGAGTCACTAAAGAGGATACCCGATGGTATGCAGTGTTGTCAATAAAAATAGATAAATAAAATACTGCTGGATTGACAACAACACTTTAGTGAACTGCAAGTTTTATTGTGTCGACTAGTTTCGCCGATTAGATCGGCGTCTTCAGGACAAATTATATAGAAATTACAATCCCTGAAGTATAAAAAAATGGTATCTAAATTTTAACGTCATAATGTGTTTACTCCATTGTCTTTGTTGTTCCTGGTTACCAATGTATGAATGAAATGAAAAAATTACAAATGTATGTACATAAAGATAGTAAATTAAAAAATATCTAATCGTCGAAACTAGTCGACACAATAAAACTTGCAGTTCACTAAAGTGTTGTTGTCAATCCAGCAGTATTTTATTGATAAAATTTGTACAACTTCTAATGAATTTAAACTTCTGCAGTAGATACGAAGTTTTGCGTCACTTACAGTAGTGGCAGTAGCAGTCAGGGTACCAGCTGAGTTGCCATAGAATAGGAACCAGAACTTCATACACTGACCATTTACTCCTGTGGCTGGCATGTTAGGTGACATGTATTTGGCTTTATTACCTCGTCCCTGTCCAGAAAGTTGACTGTACAAGTAATTTCCTGAAATTATCATTAATGTTTCTATAGCATTCTCAAATTAAACAACAAAGGCATTTAATAGACTCACAGTACAATGGACAAGGAATCACTTTTCATACAATCCGTCATATTATCATAGGTACAGTCTCAAAAAGTGTGTTAATTTTATAAGTTTCTGTATTGAAGATTTTACAGACCTTTTCCTACGCCATATGTATGATCTCCTGTTGGATGTGGTCTAGATCCTCCATAAGCTCCACTGAATAGTATCCAATCAAAATTATCTGTTCTGGAATTACTCCACCCACATTGTCCAAGCTCAAAGTTACAATCTCCTGTAAACAAATACAAATATTACAAAATGTAGGAATAAGTTAACGTGCTTACATTAGTAATCATACCACATCTTCTTATTTCTATATTAAATCATCCTTGTGAGCTTTGGAATCAAACATCCTTGTGGCCTTTGATGCAAACATTCTTGTGACATTTGATGCAAACATCTTTGTTGATATTTGGTGACAACAGCAAATAATGGCACAAAAAAAGAACCAATTAAACAAACTCATTTACAAACAAAAGTAAAAAAAAATCAACATAAATTCAATCAACAAATGACTGATCAAATGTACTAATAAATCACATTGATTTCCCCTTAGAAATAACATATTATAAGGCAAGTGATTTTTTTTCACTAATATCTTTTCCTTTTTCTAATATAATACATGTAATGTCAATAAGGAATTAATACTGTTCATTACAACTCTCTCCCACATCTTTGTGGTAATGAAAAAAGGTATCCCAACTGTTATAAAAACAGGTATTCCAACTGTTGACAAAGGTTATTCCAACTGTTACATCAAAAGGTATTCCAACTGTTATGACACAAGGTATTCCAACTGTTACGACAAAAGGTATTTCAACTGTTGACAAAGGTTATTCCAACTGTTACGACAAAAGGTATTCCAACTGTTACAACAAACAGTATTCCGACTGTGATGGTATAGAATCACTAATTCAGGCCCGGTCAGAAAGAACATAAAAGAAAGTAGTACATATTTTAAACAAAATAGTTCCTACGCATAGCTGTATCTTTGTCAATAGGTGGAATATTTTGGTAGTTTTGGTATCAAATGAAAGCTTGGGGACTTGGGATCACCGTAGAACCCGTGTTGAAAGTTTCTTTTGAATAATAAAGAAGTATATACAATTTTAATAGGAGGGCACATTTGCCCTGTTGTTCAGATCAGTACCTGTTTTTGTACTATCAAACTTCCGGGAACCAGTACGCTCTAATATGCAATTAAAGGTATGTTGAATTTTTCAGCACAAGTCAGGATAAGGTATAGTTTTGACATGAAATAACTGCTACTTTATTTGAACTTAAGACAAAGTAGCCATTAATGCTTGAAATTGCAGAATTTAACATAGAAAGCAATGGGGCTATAAATGAGTGGTTTTATACCTTATGACAAAAGGTATTCCCACTGTTACGACAAACAGTATTCCGACTGTTATGACAAAAGGTATTCCAACTGTTGACAAAGGTTATTCCAACTGTTACGACAAAAGGTATTCCAACTGTTATGACACAAGGTATTCCAACTGTTACGACAAAAGGTATTCCAACTGTTATGACACAAGGTATTCCAACTGTTACGACAAAAGGTATTCCAACTGTTGACAAAAGTTATTCCAACTGTTACGAGAAAAGGTGTTCTGACTGTTATGACAAAAGGTATTCCAACTGTTACGACAAACAGTATTCCGACTGTTATGACAAAAAGTATTCCGACTGTTATGACAAAAAGTATTCCGACTGTTATGACAAAAGGTATTCTGACTTTTATGACACAAGGTATTCCAACTATTACGACAAAAGATATTCCAACTGTTATGGCAAAAGATATTCCAACTATTATGACAAAAGGTATTCCAACTGTTATGACAAAAGGTATTCCAACTGTTATGACAAAAGATATTCCAACTGTAACGACAAAAGGTATTCCAACTAATATGACAAAAGGTATTCCGACTGTTATGACAAAAGGTATTCCAACTGCTACGACAAAAGGTATTCCAACTATTATGACAACAGGTATTCCGACTGTTATGACAAAAGGTATTCCAACTGTTACGACAAATGGTATTCCAACTGTTGACAAAGTTATTCCAAATGTTATGACAAAAGATATTCCAACTATTATGACAAAAGGTATTCCAAATATTATGACAAAAGGTATTCGAACTGTTATGACAAAAGATATTCCAACTGTTATGACAAAAGGTATTCCGACTGTTATGACAAAAGGTATTCCAACTGTTACGATAAAAGGTATTCCAACTGTTGACAAAAGTTATTCCGACTATTATGACAAAAGATATTTCAACTGTTATGACACCTTCTTAAGTTAACTTTACAAGAAGGCATCATGACAGCTGAAACACCAAGAATCAACCATGGCACAACTCACAAAAAACTTTACTCCTTACAGAAACCATGATGCAACAACATTATAAAGGTACCAATTTCAACATGAAAAAACAAAAAACAAAAACATAACCTTGAAATGTGGTCAAGGTCACAAAAATGTTCAGTCGTGTAGTTGAATGTTGAGAAAACTTTTTAATATCTACTTATTCTAACCAGGTTAATGACATTTACTTTGAACACTTGTGAATAATAAGTTATAACACAAATTAATTAGTAAAAACTGCGACCAAGAGATAAAAATAGTATTAAATATAAACAAAACAGATCAGGATATAGTCTCTGAAAAAATCCAAAATGGCAAAAAACAATATGTAATCAATGAAAATGGAGAAGTTGATTCAATCATACTATCACAACCACAACTACAAGGGAGGCCAAGAAAATGCTATATAATGTCAAGAAACAGTAACAGTAACACCAAAGCAAACAGTGAGGAAAGAAGTGAGGCATAGACTTGTGATACTTGTGATACTGTCTTCCAATCTGACCTTGGCAAACTTTTAGAAAATGAGTATTGAAAAACTCCTAGATGTATTAAATGCTTCAAAATACCAACACCCTATAAAAAGGTCTTAGTGGAAGAGAGAACTTCCCATTGTTTTACAACAAAAACTTTGAACTGTATATGAGAGGTAAAAAGTTTTGAAGAATGATGTAATGAGTTCACAAAGAAATTTGAAGAACAAGTCAATCTACTAAATATAATATAACATAGATAAATACAAATCTGAACTAGCAGAACTCATAGTAAAAGTGATTGAGAAGATTAGGTTTGGTAAATCTACTAAACCCCCTGAGCTACAAATCACTAGCCCATATAGACCAAGCAACTTAAGAGGTCCAATCAAGGGTTGATAAGAGAAACAATATACTAGTGTTGAATGTACCAGAAAAGTTTCATCATTTCATTTGAGTTGTGGTATTTAGCTTTATAAAATAAATGAATACTCCCTTCACATACTTTTAATAATGATATCTTAAACTTTATGACAATGTTACCTGGACTTGGACAGTTTGTAGACAGTTGGACATCATCTATTGCCATGTCTCCAGCTATACCATTTCCGATTATTCCCTCAAATACAATCTAAAACAAAAATATAAGTTTGAAGCGCCATAGATTAAGAAATTTAAATATTATATAATCAAAAACTGCTACAAATGTATTATTGCTGCAAATTTAGATTTTGAAATTAAACCTTGGAATTAACTTAAAAAGTTAACTTGTCAATACAGAACACTGTGCAAATCGAAAACTCCAGTATCAGGATGTTAAATGAATAACCCCCAGTAATTCATCCTGTGTCGACATGTGTGCATTAAAATTAAAATCATTGCTCCTTTATGGGTTGTGTTTGAATAGGTTCAATTACACCACATTACACACACACAAAAAAATATCTATCAGAGGATTTAAATCAAGAAAATTATGTTAAGGCTTTATCATTACAACACTTACATTAATTGGCTTTCCCATGGGTAACTGAGCAAATTGCTGGTACCACCTGTTGCCATGGTTACCAGACAGACTCCAGATTGGTCTTCCTAGCTGTGGTCTCCCAGTAGCATTGTTGTTAGCATACACATTCATTGTTCCCATGCTACGTCCATTCATGTTGTACCAAAAAGACAAACACTGTCCATTTTGTGGCAGAAATACTGGGGACCATAGTCTATAATTGAAAAATATCATCTATAGGATAACAATATAAAATTATCATTCTTTCTTGAAAAAACTGAGAAAAATTGTCCAATAATATGCAGATATTTACATCTCAAAGAATGAAAGGTGCAACCCCAAAAATTAAATAATTAACATTTCTGAAGAGCGTTTATATCGGGCTAAGTTTATACCATGGAACAACAATCTGATATTATATGTGCTGTTCCAGAATTAAATGGACAGGGAGCATAGGAGGCCCTTATTTTACACCATAACCACCCATAATATAAAGTTTTAACATTACTTATAATTCTTACAAAATTATAAGGAAAATGTAACACCATAATTAATAAATTTGAGTGCCTCCTCTCCCCACCCAATCAATATTGGGACAGCCCTAACTGAAAAAAGTATAAAATGTTAATAAAATTTTTAAAAAGGAAATGTTTTTACATAAACTGATGACAAGGAACTATCACTATTAAGAAATTGGTGTTCTTGCAAATTCTCATCTCTGAATCATAGGTCAAATTATCCCCTATATAAAACTTTCAGACATCTTTGTTTCTGTTAATTGATAAAAAATTTACTTTGCAGCATCTAATCTTCTTCTAGGTGCTGAAGCTTCAGTGTACATGTAATGTCCTCGTCTGGTTCCATAGGAGTGGTCAGCAGATGGTCCAGTATTTGTAGACCTGGTAGAACCAGTATTCCTTGACCAATCAAATCTATCTGATTTATCTTGGAAGTAGTTACAGATTTTGCTGCTTTCAAAATTACAATTGATAGGTGAAGATACTGTAGTTGGAGTTGATTGAGGTGGTTGAGTTACTAAAATAATAAAAAAAAAACAATAAAAATATTTTCTTATCCATCGTCAAATCATATTTTTTTACAAGTACTTATCAAAGTCACTTTTACCAGTCTTTTGAACTTTGGTTTGAAATATTCACATTAGTATGTATTTAAGATTTCCTTTATTTATTCCTATACTAAAACTAAGTGAAAAAAGGAACAATAATAACAAATGGATCTGTACTAGCAAGCCTTGTTTAAAGGAGGAATTATCTGATATCCTATATTCAAAAATTGTACAAAAATTTGTAAAACTGTGATGAAACCGTCAATACAACTTTGTTGATGCTATGAATCTTGTGTAAATAATTTCGACAGCATGGAAAAAGGACCCCAACTTTTAAGTCAACTCAAAATTACCAAAATTAATTGAAAAAAAATTCTGGATCCTTGCTTGTTAGAATAATTTTTTAAAGAATTCATAAAAAAAATTATGTACTGGTACATCTATATTCCAGAGAAAAAAATCTCAAGTACAATTCAGCATTTAATTGTTGCTCTTCGTCTTTTTACTTAACCATAACTGTTCTACAGTAAACAATATAAATCTGATAGAAAATAAAACTTGTTAATGACATAAAAACTGAAGATCAAAGGGAGATAACAAACCTTGATTACAACTTCCAGCTGTCAAGGTCATATCATCAATGGCAATATCTCCTTTATAACTAGTTCCTCTTACACCCTCAAATACCACCTGCAATCAAATATAGTGTAAAATACTAGGACTGGGTTGCACAAACCTTAATTAAAGTTAAACCATGCTTAAATTTTAAGTGTCAATTAAATCATGAACAAAAATTCAAAAGATCTTTAACAAGGAGAAAAAGTTCACTTTCATCATAAATATACAATTGTTCTGCTATTGTGCTGATAGACTTTTTCCTTATACATGTAGTATCAAATACAATAATATAATAACTTTTATAAAATTATTCATTTAAATATTTTTATCCAAATGACAACCTTCATCCACATGGTGGATTGACACATGTCCCAACAAGTGATAAGATCTGGTTGATTAATATATGTCTTTTCAAGTGATAAGATCTTGTGGATTAACATATGTCTCATCAAGTGATAGGATCTGGTGGATTAACATGTGTCTTTTAAAGTGATACAATCTGGTTGATTAACATATGTCTTTTCAAATGATAAGATCTTGTGGATAAACATGTCATTTCAAGTGATAAGATCTGGTGGATCAACATGCCTTATCAAAAAATTGAAAACAACACGTTTAATAATTTCATGTGTCCTAAGCGCTTTTCTGGATTTACCTTCATCAGGAACGCTCAATGCCAAACATCAAGTGATATGATCTGGTCTATTAACTTATGTCTTTTCAATTGATAAAATCTGGTCCATTAACATATGTCCTATCAAGTTATAAGATCTTGGGAATAACATTTGTACTATCTCATTGTTCTCAAACATTTATAATTTTATTATAAATTTTACGGGAGTCATGCATGGTTTTTTTTTTATTGACTTTCCTTTTACTTGAAAATCTTTTTTTTATTTGCTCATTATTTTTTTTTATATTCCATGTTATTTTTCACTTACATTTGTTACAGACTGAGTGGTTGCATCTCCAGCAATCTGGAACTGTCCCATTTTCCACTGGTTCCCTTGTGTTCCTTGTCGGGACCAGATAGGTGAGGTTAAGTTACTGTTGGTGCCAGTAGATAAGTAAACATTCAAAGCATTGACATGGATACCATACATGTGGTAGTAGAATGTAACACACTGAGGGAAATTACCAGCAATGGAAGGACTAATCAAACGGGCCTTATCACCTGGTCTACGAGGTGCTGATGTTTCAATAAATATGTAATATCCTTTGTTAGCTACAAAAGAAAAAAAAAAAATCTAATTTCCTTTTAAATGAAGATTTCGGCTAACAAATTATTGATGGTAATGCTAGAACACCACAATCATTGATTCTAATGGGATTACAGATCATTTAAAATAAATAGCATTTCAAAGACGAAAATTCTAATACTGTTCATTCATTTATTTTTGTTGGCACCAATCTTCATGGATTGAGCAAAGAAACCAACCAATCTTCATGAATTGAGCAAAGAAACCAACCAATCTTTATGGATTGTGCAAAGAAACCAACCAATCTTCATGGATTGAGCAAAGAAATCAACCAATCTTCATGGATTGAGCAAAGAAATCAACCAATCTTCATGGATTGAGCAAAGAAACCAACCAATCTTCATGGATTGAGCAAAGAATTTTTTTACATTGATATTTGATTTCGTGGTTTTGACAAATTCTGCATACAAACTTCTAGAAAATGAGTATTTTGCTAAGAACTTCTATGTGATTCACATTTACCCACAAAATTAGTCCTCCATGATTAACAATGAATCCACAGTCAGTTAATATACTGTGGATACATTATTTTTCATGGAGTACCAATTCGTGGGGTATAGACAAACAAAAAATTTCGGGTTCAACAAAGTACTAATTTCCTATAGTCTTGTGAGTTAACATTTGCAAAAACAATAAAATCAAGTATCCACGAAAATACAATCTTTCCTCAATCCACAAAAATTGGTACCCATGAAAATAAGTGAATCTGCAGTATGTGGATATTGTATGAAGTAAGACAGTGGAACAGTATCAGGTGTAAAAACATTTAGTTGACAGAGTACTGTATCCTTGTAACACCAGAGCATTATTATCCTTCTAAACTTAACACTGTTCTGTTGGATCTCAACCCTAAAAGCTTTAACAACAGAACTATTGTCTCCATAGTCAAGGGAGGCCAAGCTTCACTATCAATATTTGACTGTTCTTATGTAATTTCAATTTAAATACTGCATATAATTGAAAGAAAAAAAATTAATAGAAAACACTTACTCCCAGAAGTATGGTCACTGGCTGGACCTGTGCCAGCTGATTGGGTAGATCCACGATACCTTATCCAATCAAAATTGTCAGTCTTGTGATCTTGATTCCAACCACAGAAATCAGTGTCAAAATTACAGTTGAAAGATGCTAAAAAGGAAAATATTTTTCATTCAAAATCTATCGATTATAAGTCAAAGCCTTGTCACATATTCGTCCCTTATTGTATCTTTTCTAAAAAAAATTCTTATTAATTATCAAGTTAGAAATATATTTACATAGATAGTTTTATATAATTTTTTTTTAAATGGTGGTGTGATAACTTTTAAACAGTATTACTATTAAATTTGTAAGAAATTTTATTAACACATCTGTAAATATTTTTAAAGTAGCCTACGAGGCATAGCTCCAAATGTGACAGCCTGTGTGGTAGATGGCACTGCAGTAGTAGGTACAGCTTGACTTGGTGTAAGTGCACAACCTGACTGGGTAATAGATAGGTCATCAATTGCAATATCTCCTTGGTAACCATTTCCTCTAATGCCATCAATTAACAGCTATGAAATACAATATTTACCTCATTTAATCACATATACATATGATTATTTTTTTATTTCTTATATAGTATAAAAATGAAGTATAAAAATGTTATTTTTAAGGATTTATTGATTTTTTTGTACATGTAGTTCCATAAATGTTCTAAAAGATTTATGTTCATGTTAAATTTAATGGATATTTATTGACCAATAAGACATTTGAATTCATACTCAAAACATCATGAAATGGTATTGGTTCATATAGATTAGTTAAAGAGGTATAAATATAATAATAATCATGACTTTTTATATATTTTATACAATTTTTAACAGATTAGAGTAAAAAACAAGATATGTGTTGTTACCTGAAACGGGTCATTCCCACTTGAAAGTGGTACCTTTCCTTGATACCACTGAGATCCCTGGCTACCAGACAACTCCCATATCTTTGTTGCTGTTGCATTGCCATTCGATTTTAGTAGCAGGATTCTGAGAGTTCCAATATTACTGCCATACATTTGATACCAGAAAGAAAAGCAAACACGAGACATAGGTTGGAACATGGCACTCTGAAGTACTGCTATGTCACCTGGGCGTCTTGGCGATGAACTTTCTACATACAGATATTTACCTAGAAATGTGGAAAAAATGAAATATATCATAAATATGCCTTCTTTGTAAACATATTTGTGAGATTTCTTAAGCCGATACATAATTTTTAATTTGTTGATCTTCCCTGAACTGTGCACAGATGTAGTGTGATAAAAAAAAAAAAGAATTCTGCTCAAACCAGTGTTAGAAGCAGTCTTGAACTTCCAGTGAGGTGAGAGATTTTGCTTAATGCTGATGGCCTTACTGTGACCCTGAGATGAAAGAACAGCAATAAAAGCGCTGACCCAAAACACTGAATGGGGAAAGAGAAAATTTTAATATTGAACTTGACCTCCATTTTGTAATCAGTACATGTATAAACAACATATTAATATTTGAAAATTAGTGGAATGATTCATAAGTTATTGCATGGAAACTTAGTTGTACATCACCATTTTAATAGCCTGATTTTTCCTGCAGTAAACCCGGTTAAAAATGCAAAATTTATTAAAAATTGTCATTTCAGTGAAATAATTACTATAAGTGTCTTCTAGCAATTTTGAATATATTGCCATTTTGAACATTTTTGCTCCTGCCAGATTTTCTATATCAGTTTTCAAGGTATCAAATAATTTCTTTTTTTCAAACCCCATCTTCTATTTTCATGTGGCCACGTTTATTGGCTGGTTGGTTGATTTCACAAATTTTTTAAAACTAGATATTCTTAGGATTATTATGGCCAAGATTGTTTGCAATTGGCATTGTAGTTTCAGAGGAAAAGATTTGGTAGAAGTTAACAGATGTTCCTGTATTAGTTTTTACCTGTGCTGTTATTATACGTATGATCTGCAGACGGTCCTGTTCCTGTAGATGTAGTTGTACCAGCTGCTCTGACCCAATCAAAATTATCTCCACTTCCATGTAAGTTACTCCAGGAACATAAATCTAACTCAAAGTTACAGCTACCATCTGTTAATAGCAATAAATAAAACAGAATGGAAAGCCTGATCATCAATTCCTTGCATAATTTTTGAACTAAGTCAATATTAAATAAAAAAATAAATATATACATTCCCAGGTCTTCCCTCATCCACTCAAAACATGTCACAAAGACCATTTCTATTTTGAAAATAATTAGAAATGTCTACGAATTAATAATTTCTTAAACAAATATCAGATATACTGATATAATTTTCGGGTGAAAAATATTTAAAAAGATGTTCTTTCAAAACAAGCCTGCTGTTCTCATTTTTTTTATCTAAATTTATGTTGTCACAACTCAATTACTCTATACTTTCTTAATTTTCAACGAAATTCAACCTGCATCAAAAGAACTAAACCAATTAACTATATAAAATCAATGGTGTTACATCTTACAAAGTCTATCCAAATTATTTTTGCAAAGAATTCCGCTCAAGCCAGTGCTGGGGGCTGTCTTAAACATGCAGTAAGGTGAGAGTTTTTTTGCTCCTTGTTGAAGGCCTCACTCTGACTTTGAGATGAAGAACAGCAATAAAAGCACTTTTTCTTTGCTTTTTGTGTTTTTTTTTTGTTTTTTTTGCTGTGCATGTACTGATTTTGTGTCATGGATGGATACCCCATATCCTTTGTTTTTCTATCATACAAATATAGTACATAAAGCTAACCAACCTAGGTTTCCAGATCCACATTTTCCAGTCTTGACCTTGACATCATCAATTGCTATGTCTCCTTGGTATCCATTAGCTCTTTTACCTTCAAACACTAACTGGAAGTTACCAGAATTTGGAGCAATATTATATTGTGCACGAATCCATCTATTACCTTGGTTACCTAAAAATATACAAATGTAAAAATTATCACAACGTAATTAACAAAACTTTTAACAAAAATTGTTGTCACTTCTTGTTCTTCAAAACGATAACATAGTTTACTATGAATCTATAACTATAGAATATTTGTTAAGCTTTATACAATGTAAATGTTATTGAATCAGTTTCTCCTTTTTACAGAATTTAACATTTTGTCATGCATTCACTTAACCATGCTTGATTGAGAGATGTCAATTTACAGTATACAGCATATTTCTGATACAAAAACAAACTATTTTTCCATATCCTAGAATTTTCATTTACATTCCTTTTTTGCAGTTTTGCAGTGCTTCTTCTGTATATATAAACTTATTGTTATTATTTCAGTTTGCTCACATTCGTTTTTAAAATAACAAATAAATGTTATATACCTGTTTTGGTGAAAACAGGTGTTCCATTGGCTCCATTTTTCTTCAGATAGACATTAAGAGTTCCTGTTTGTGCTCCATACATGTTATACCAAAACTCTACACACATGTTGTCAGTAGATGACCCTGATGGTGGGGACATTAACCAAGCTTTGTCACCTGGTCGTCTGCCTGATGCTTCAATGTACATGTAATGTCCTGCAAATAAAACAATGTATTAATGGGTGTTTCTCACACAACATAACGTTTTTTTTTATTTGCGATTACAACTTCCCAGTTTCATATAAGTTCCATTCCAAGTATGTTTTTTTTTTCTCATTATATTCATTAAAATTGTAAAAAAATGTATTCATAAATCAGAAATGAGAAGACATTCAGTAATCAGAGTTAATTATACAATGAATACAAGAATGCACTGCTTACCATTACTGGTTCCATAAGTATGATCACTACTTGGACCGGTACCAGTTGACCCTGTTCTACCTGAAGCTCTTGTCCAATCAAAATTATCTTGTGTCTTTTCCTGGGAGTAACTGCATATATTGTTATTTTCAAAATTACATGTAGCTGGCTGTAGGCTGGAGGCTGAAGATGAAATTTATTTTTGCCTTATGTTTATCATTGATTTCCTAAAACTACAATTTATCTTCAAATAAAGGTATTTCTAACTATAGTGTAAATTTTAAATGCACATCATAACAAAATTCTGAGTTACATATTGATGACAAGTATTAAAATTTATAAACTGACCACACTACAATACAAATGATACAAATTTTTGCACCTTGTGCTGCAAGAAAGAAACATTTCATCATTAAAATTGCAATTCGAATAAAGTTAAAATAAAACATTTATGACAAAAAATTTTCCCAAAAATTATTTTTTTCTGTTTCAAGTCTTGGAAGTAATGACTGTTTTTATTCATAGTGAAGCTGTCCTGACTTAACTATGGTATATCTTGGTTATAAATGGTACATACCTATACATGGACCTTGTCCAAGCTTTACATCATCAATGGCAATGTCTCCTCTATAACTTATACCTGTTACTCCTTCAAATACAATCTGTTATGGAATAAATAAATATTTGTAGAATATCATTTTTATTTACATGCCATCTGATTAACATCAGATCTTTCACTGTGCTCAGTTATTCTTGCTTGTTGTGAAGTGTCAAATCTGAAAACATCCCATAAGGAGCATATTCAGATGACCTTTTATGCGAATCTTTAATCAACCAATCATTTTGAGTGACATGTTAGCCTGGCATCCTGACCCAATCTAATACTTCGTCGATAGGGCCAGGCGTAATACAATCCACGTGACCAACTATCAGCGCTGAACAGGACTGAATTACTGCGCATATGCATGTTCTATAAACAAGGAATATATCGGTCGGATCGTTAATTAACAGTTGATTCACGATGTTAATCAATAAACGTTTGGTTATATATGCTAAATTTTTCGAAATTTGCATTTCGTATGAAGAAAAATAATTTTCAATGAATTCGTGACAATATAAATATTTCCCGCCATGTGTCAAGAAATGACGCTATCCCACGATGCACCATTCTAACATCCAATTGACGAAACCATGTCGTTGTATTCCGCCTGGCTCTACTGTCGTGCAGTGAGCCAGGACCCCAGGCTAGTGACATGTTGGCACTTTGATTAAAAGTTTTCATTGCAAACCTAAATTAACATTATTGAACCAAAATTTCATCATTTGCAATTTATAACAACAACAAAAAACAACACAATGAAACTTTTTCTGTTCTGTTTAGGTTGAGAAATGTTAACAATCAGGTCATTGCATAACATTATAACAATGTCAGGAAATCTATGGTTAGAACAATAAATTTCAAGACAATATTCAAATATATTTCGAAGTATTTGAAATCTGATCTGCTTATTTTCAAACTTTTCATTTAAATATTGTGTGAGTTTTAGTGTTACAATCGTAACTGCTACATTAATAAAGCAATATGAACCAAATATCAAACTCACATTGTACGGAGCTGTTGGTTGTATTGTGACCTGTCCTTGTTTCCATGGCTGTCCTTGAGATCCCTGCTTAGTGAATATTGGTGACCCTAAGTTACTTCCATACTTCAGATAAACATTAAGTGTGTTAACATGAGCACCATACATGTTGTACCAGAAAGTTACACAATATGGTGAGCTGCTACTGGACACCACCTGTAGAGGACTGATAAATCGGGCTTTATCACCTCTTTTTCTTGGGGATGATGATTCAACATAATAATATGCTCCAGCTAAAATATAAAATTATCTTTGGTTAAAAGCATAAATACTAAGAAAGTAATAAAAATCATTTTAAGTACCGATTTTAGACCATACAATTTTATCCAGAACTATACACTGAAGCCTTTTGTTGAAGAAAGATCATGAACATTTATTACCATTTCAACAAAAAAAATGTCAACCAAATCTGACATTTATTGGTATACTGATTTTTTTTTTAAATCAACACGACAAATTAAGAACAGTTAGTGTAGCTGATCATATCAGGTTGTGCTTAATGCAAAAGAAGTATTACTTCTATCATATAAATAATCATCTTCAATCATTAACATGAGTAAAAGGATTATTTTATAATGTTATGAAATAGTTTTACATTCAGACAAACTTTTTCTTTGCTATAACTTACTTCCTGATGTATGGTCCCCTGTTGGACCAGTTCCTACTGTTGGTGTTCCTCCACTCCGTTTGATCCAGTCAAATTTATCAGTTTTGTCCTCTGTCCATCCACATGGTCCATAGTCGAACTGACAGTCAAACTGTCCGGGTGCTTAAAGTGATAAATATCATACTTAAAATAGATATAAAAATCCAAATAACAGTTCACAGTTCATAAATAAGGATTGAAACCAATGTTTTATAATTTATCAACACATAAATGTACTGGTATATAATTGTGTTGTTGGGTTGCTATCATTGAACTGTACCCCACATGAACTTTGTGATGTGAAGCTTGAAAGCTTTATGAACTTATTTTTTTTATTTTTCAATAAAGAAAGTTGTTCTAAATATTAACCTTGTGTTGTGCCTCCAGTTGTTGATGGTGGAGGGACAGTTCCTGTCTGGTTGCCTGGCTGGGCATTGGATGGTTGAACTGTAATGAGATTCATCATTATCAAATAATGCTCAATAGGTAATATTATTAGCAGACTAAATATATTTCACAAGCCAATATATTTATACATACATATTTATTTTCAAGACATGGTCATTTTAGTTCCCAATCCTCTGTAAACAAACCCTAAAAAACTAAGTCCAATATTGATGACTTGACAAGAATTTAAATATACAAAACTATATATACACTTAGGTGAACTGATTCAAAAATATTATTAACTGAACGTGTTGCAAAGTAACAGAAATATTTATAAATTTACCTCCACAAGATGAGCTGGATACACTAAGGTCATCTAAGGCTATATCACCAGCGTAACCATTTCCTCTCCGTCCTTCTATTATTATCTAAGTAAAATAATTCATTTAACTGTGAAATACATTTTAAATAAAAATTGTTCACAACAAATGAAGTGTCTTCTTAAGAAGAATAGTCAAACTGTAAAGGTTTCCACGGAACCCTGTCTCTTGCTAACCATTACTGCTGTCAGTGTAAAAATATGATATTGACTGATAAAATCTTAGTCCATTAATCAGTGAAAAGTTTAATTTTTTTGTCAGATGTTAGTTCTTGATCTTGACAAAGCCTTTGTCCAAGTTTTATAAAATTTCATGACAGTTTTACAATCTAAAAAAAAATTCAATCCCAGACCATATGTAATTTTGACTGCATAAAACTAAGTCCATTTATCAGTATAATATGTAAAAACGAAACAAAAATATTTTCTAAATTTCAAATGTCCTAGAAATCGTGAAATTTAGAATAGGAAACAAAATATTTTCTAAATTTCAAATGTCCTAGAAATCGTGAAATTTAAAATATGTGAAAAAATAAACTATTTTACAGTAGACATAAAACAACATACTGTGAATGATACTCCTGATGCAACTGGTGCCTGCCCATTTTTCCAAGTGTTCCCTTGATCACCACTTAGTGTCCATAATGTGAGATTAGTACCAGTAGAATATAGAGCGTAAACACTCAATGTACCAATATTTGGACCATACATATTGTACCAGAATGAGACACAGGAGCCTTTTGTAGGAGCAAAGTTCTGGCTCTGCAACCAACACCTGTCTCCTTGAGTTCTAGGTGCTGATGCCTCCAGATAGAGGTAGGTTCCTGAAAACGATATTGTGAGATAAGTCTTTAGCTCCAGAAGGGGACCTCCCTTAGGTCACAAAACATTCGAATAAATGGTTTTGAAAATTTTTAAAGGTCACAGGTCCTTTTAAATGACACTTTAAGTCGCAAGGTTGCAAACCATACCCCAAAGTTTGCAGTTCAGATTTGACCAAGTAAGAGCCACATAAAAGCAGAAGTAATATAATTTATGTCTGATATGTAGCCTGAAGATTTATACTGTTTTCAGGTTTAAAGTTTTTAAATGGTAAACAGTTTTTCTTAAACTGGTCAAAAGAGATTTTATAATACATGTAATTTAGATTTGATTCATGTCACCACGGATAAACAAATAAGGTTTAGCCTGAAAAAATTCCTTTCTTATATATCCCCTCAAAATCCTTACCTCTAGAATTTCCAAGAGTATGATCACCACTAGGACCTGTATGACCTGATGATGTAGCTCCTTTCCTAGATACCCAATCAAAATCATCTAATTGTTGGACGTTCTTCCATGTACATAAACCACTCTCAAAACTACAGGCACCTGTAAATAAAACAAGAGATATTATAGTGAATGAAATTCATGATTAGTTCCAGTAATTCTAGATGTCGTGTCTGTATTCAGCTAATTTACAATTTCTGTTTATACCAAGAAAGTTGAACTATACTATTTTGGGTCATTTTAGAAATTTATGTTTACTATAAACTTCAGAAACTTTCGAGAATGCTTTATCGTTACTAATTGTGCTATCCCCTAAACATAGAATCTACTTACTTAATTACAAATATTTCAAAATCATTATCAAATGGGACAAAACATAATTTTTTTGACATTTCTTTTTGAAACACATGTTTATATAAAATGTATAGCTTAATTTTCAAGTGGTGAAACACTTTTGACCTATGTATATCAATTCTAATGCACTAAAATGTTTTATAACATGGAGCTTACCTGGGGAAGTACAAGCACCTGATGTTATTTTGACATCATCAATAGCCAAATCACTAAGGTAACCATTACCTCTGACACCTTCAAATACAACCTAATACAGAAGAAAAAATATATTATATATAGAAAAAAATTCATTCTTACACTACTTCTTTCTTGAAAACAAATTCATGATAAAACAAGAATGACACCATGCCCTCTCACACTAATCTATGTTCAATTTCCGTGAACTGTGAAATTTGGGTCAAAATCATTATTTGTCGTATAATTTTAAAAGTTCATCTTATAATAAACATGTATAGTAAGTTTCAAGTTGATGTGACCAAAGCTTCATGGTAAAATACCTTAACTAAAACTCATAACTGAGAATGTACTTATTTCCAACTAATACATTTCAATGTTCAGTGAAATGTGTAAATAAGGTAAAGATCATAAATTGGGAATATAATTGTAAAATTTCACTTCAAACTAAAAGTTTACCAACCAAAAACTTTCACATTGTACAAGACAGACAGACAGACAGACAGACAGACAGACAGACAGACAGACCATGAATATATGCCTCCACCAAGTATTGTAGGTGGGTATAAATAATAACAATTTTACAACTGAAAAAACTGCTTACAATCATTCCAAGTTTTATAACACAATTGTCAAAGTCATGTCAGAGTGAAAGACAAATGGATGGATGGAAGCAGACCAGAAAACATAATTCCCCTCTTCTATTGAAATTAACATATTTATTTAAATATTTTTAAACATTATCGTGGATGCTTTTTAAAATCCCTGAAATAAGTTGGTTTGCAAAATTGGCAATGGATTCTTAATGTCCTACAAATTACTTAATATTCTGTGGTGTGTTCCATCAACAATACCTGATATAATGCCTGACTGTTTAGTGACTGTTCAGGGTCCTATAGTAAGTTATATTTTGTGCCGTGTTTTATCAACCTACCTGATATGGTTGACTGACTGTTGTGACAGGAAGTGTTACTTGGGCTATATTCCAGGAGTTGCCTTGGTTACCAGTTTTTGTCCAAATATTGTTTCCAAGTGCATTATTGACTTTAACCTGTAATAAAATCATTCACATTTGAAAAATCAATACAGCAAAAGCCTAATTTAAATTTTTTTATATGGACAGATATAATACAAATTAGTGAACGCTTATATCAATGAAAACAACAATGACAATCTACCTCCAGGAAGTAACCAATTCTTCAGTGTTATACCTTTCTTGAAATAATAATTAATTTTATGAAGTGATAAACAATATTGTTTCATCTTTTCTTTATTGTTATGAATTTGAAATTAAACCATTATTTTCTAGGTGGTACAAAAAAATGCATTTAATTGTGATGAAATTTCAGACATTTTGTCAATATCTAAAACCAATCCACACATAAAAAAGAGAAATCCAGACAGCTAAGGAATGAAAGATTACATAGTCAGGAATATTTTCAAACTTTTCTGTTTTAACTAGTAAAAAGTAAAACGAAGAAATTCAATGTCATAGAAAATCAGGTTAATAGTGTTAGTCACAGTTTTTTATCTATTCCAAGATTAAAGTCTTTTAAAGTGTGGTTTCTCCTCAATATTCTAACACTATTTCACAATCTTGCAATTCTGCCAACTTTTCATGAAGCAAATGCGTGAGATTTGGCTAAAATTGTAAAGATCAAAGAGAAAAAACAATAGATCAAAGGAAAATGATGCCAAATAAGCATGAAAATGTGTGAGTCTCACGCTTAATGCGTGAGACTTGGCAGCCCTGTATCTTGAAATATGCATGGTAACCAATAATAAAATGGTTGAATTCTAACCTTGACATTGAGAGATCCAATATTGTTACCAAACATGTGGTAGTAGAAGGTCAGACATTGTGGAGTTTTTATTGCTGAATATTGTGGAGTCAGAAGACGTGCTTTCTGTCCTGGTTTCCGTGGCACAGAGGCCTCAGTGTACATATAATGTCCTAAAATAGAACATGAAACTTGATTAGCCTAATATTTTATAACTTAAATGAAATTTTAAAAGGCTGTACTATTAATACATACATGGGACACAGGGGAGGTACTTCAAAATCTCATCTATGGAAGGTGTCAAATATTTTTTTGCATTCTGAAATAGTAAGTTAAATTCTTAAATTTCTTCTTTTGGTGGTTACCCCATTTTCAAAGTGCCTTCCCTGGGTACCATGTTTGTTTTAGCAGAACAGCCTTTACTAAAATATATAGATGTACAAAATATTGACCATTAATTAATGATTATGTCTTCATACTTAACCTAACATGCAGTGAGGTGAGAGTTTTTGTCATGTGTTGAAGGCCTCCTTGTTACTTTGAGATGAAGAACATCAATAAAAGTGCTAATCATTCGCTTTTTGTTAAAAGATTTTTCCATTCATGTCTGTATAAAAATAAAAAGATGCTGAATGATTTTAATGAGACTAGATATGTCAGGGTGACACAGGGAAGGAATTTGTAATCCAGTAAAAGTAGGTCATCCAAACAGAACAAAATTCAATCTGTAACTCATATATAGCTAACGATAAAAAAAAGGTAAATGAATATATTCAAAATATTTTGTATGAACAATCTTTACCTGTTCTTGTTCCATAAGTATGATCAGCAGACGGCCCTGTACCTCTTGTGGCTGTACCACCAGACTTTCTTGTCCAATCAAAATCATCTGTTGTATCTTGGGTGTACTGACATTTGGAAAGAGCATCTTCAAAATTACAGGAAGTAGGTACTGTGGCTGTGTTACCTAGGAAAAGAAATTGTAAACTTCCAGGTACTTGCGAGAAGTAATTTTAAAGATACATTTAATTCTATTTGGTTGTAAACGCAATGAAACTGATTAGGGTTATATTTAGATGTCGGTCACAGAAACCGGTTTATTAAAGTACATGTGACATGTGATGTACATTTCACTACACAATTGAATGAATGAACATTCCATAGTAAATGTGTATCTAATGTTTATAGTAACACTATGGTATTAGAAATTGTTTAAACCACTATAACTGTCTGTGATATAATGTATGCATAAGATATTCTATATGTTACATGAACTATCATTAATGTTTATAATTTTGTTATTTCAGAGTTTATATTCTCTGGTAATAAACCATCCGAACTCTAGAAAGTCTTCTTGTTATCTATACCTGAAGAAACCCCTTTCACATAAGGGTTGCTGTCCCATGAAATTTCTCAAAGTTACCTTGTTTTTATATAGAATAAGTTACCTGAGCAATCATCCCCATTTTTCATTGAAACATCATCAATAGCTATATCTCCTTGGTAACTCCTTCCTCTTACGCCTTCAAATATTACCTGTAAGTTAATAACACAAATAAAATTAAGTTTATTTGCTTAATTCTTTAATAAAATCATAGACAATGAACCAACACCTGGTAATTCTTCAATACAATAGAACTCCTAAAAGTATGCAGGATTGTTATGATAAAACAGTTAAATGTAAAAACTCTTATAACAACATCACTTTAGGTACACATTAATAAAATGTCAATAAAAAAACATAATTGAGAGTAATAAAATAATTACTTCCCTTTTAACTCTGAATTCAGTCGATCCCTACATGAATACTGTTCTTTTTCATGTCAAGTATTATCAAATTCACTAAATCTTTTAAACAGCTGTAATAGTAATGATCTACTTCAAATGATCTTTTTAAAGCTATTATTGCTGTAAAATCGTAGATATTGTTGATAAAATTTGATCCTATTCACTTCTTCTTTTATACATCTAGATCTGGAATAGTAATGGTCAACTTCAAATGATTTTCAACACTGATTACCGTAAAATCCGAGGTCTTGTTGATAACAACTTGTCCCTGGATCCATTTATTGCCCTTGGTTCCTCTCCTGGTCCAGATTGCAGGACCAAGCCCAGCTCCTGCTCTCAGATAAACATTCAACTGACCAACTGTAGCACCATACATGTGATACCAGAATCGGAGACATTTGGTTGATGGATCAGCAGAAACTGTTGGACTTTCCAAATGAGCCTTGTCTCCAAGACGTCTCCTACCTGATGTCTCAATGTACATGTAATATCCATCTAAAATGAAAATATATTTTTAATTCACTGGAAAGACAAAATAACTTAAATATGTAGCAACAAAGAAACTCTATTAACTCCTGCTTTTAGGCCTGATTTTCATGGGTGACTATCTCCATGAAACTTGAGTAACATCTGACTTAAGGCCTGGTATTCATGGGTGACTACCTCCATGAAACTTGAGTAACATCTGACTTAAGGCCTGGTGTTCATGGGTGACTACCTCCATGAAACTTGGGTAACATCTGACTTAAGGCCTGATTTTCATGGGTGACTACCTCCATGAAACTTGAGTAACATTTGACTTAAGGCCTGGTGTTCATGGGCAACTACTTCATGATTTATTGATATAGTTGTGCTGATATCTCTACTAAAAAGACCATGTTAATAAAACTGTCCTTGAATACTTATAAACTGACTATGACGATTGATTTTGATTTGTGCATTTTATTAGAGATTAAAAAAAATTATTCCCTGCTCAAGACAACTGAAAGCTCACTGAGAATTAAGTTTCTTTACCCTGTCTATGACTGCAAAATTTGAACTTTGTTGGCCCTCAATATTATACATTTATTTCCCGTGCGGGACAGAGATATGAAGATTTGTTCACCCAAGAATATTCATATTTCACGAGGGTTCTGCCCAAGGGAAATATGATTTTTCGAGGGTGAGCAAATCTTCATATCTCCCGAGGCAAATGGAAATGAATGTTTTATTCCACTCCTATGCTTTGTTTACTATCAATACATTAAATATTATTTTGCATACATTTTTTTTCTTATCCGCTTGTTTTTTTAAGTCAAACTAAACACGACATACCGATTGATAAACAGTAAGGATCAAAATTTAATTATAAGTATTTTTGTTTTATCGTCTAAAATAAATTTGAACATGATAATGATTTTTGCAATCGCTATTTAAAGAAGAATAAGAAGTTCAAAACGTTATGTACATCAACCGCATGTAACGTCGCACGAAGTAATCCCGACATTTCAGAGGGGAATATGATCCTCAGAATGGAATATGAAGATTTGTTCAATGATACGTGGGATAGTCTCAACCAATCAAATATTGATTAAACTATCAATATGTTTAAACAGTGGAATAATATGAAATTGGTTAATGAAAGACCATAAGAACTTTGGTGTCAATGAAACCTTCTTAACCAATTGACAGGGATGAAATATTGATATGTTTGACTGTATGAGGAACCATAAGGTGTATCTTGCAGCAAGATAGTACAAATTCAAAAAAATTTAGAGAAAATAAAAATCTGTAAAAAAACAAAAACGAAAACGAAAGTAGCAAATTGAATAGACATGAAAAATATGACATACACTGTATATTCTAAATATAACATATTGACCAGGATTACTTACGTCCAGTAGTGTGATCAAATGATGCTCCTGTACCACCCGAGGCTGTCCTACCCTGATGTCTGATCCAATCAAACCCTCGGGTATCCCCAGCAGCTTGTAACCAGCCACAGGTATTACTCTCAAAATTACAATTAAAAGCACCACCAACTGCAAGAGAATATTGTTGCTATCAGATTTGAACAAATAAAATAAATCAACAAATAACAAATTAAGAAAATACTGAAACACATCTATTAAGGTAATATTTCAACAGTAACAAATACTTTAGCATCTATTTTATATAAAAATAAGGAGATGTGGTATGATTGCCAATGAGACAACTATCAACCAAAGTTCAAATGAAGTGGATGTAAGCAATTATAGGCAACTGTACAGCCTTCAACAATGAGAAAAACCCATACTGTATAGTTTGTCTGTCTTTTTATCAATACAAGTAAAGTTTTCAAGGGTATTTTCTGTTTGTCTATAAATTATGAACATGTATTAAAAACATTAGCCTGTAATGCACGAGTCATTTGATCAATGTTAAGAGGACTCATCTAGTGTTGCCACAAAAAAATAACATTTCTGCTTTGGTCAATGCCACTGATTTTGACAATGGTCAGTGTAAAGTGCTCGTATCTGACATCATAACATATGTTGCTGCCAGTGTGGAAAGTGGCAGTGTTATGCAAAGTTCAGTGCAAAGTGGACCTACCTGATGTTGCCACAATAGGTGTAGTCGCTGCTGTGGTAGGTGGCACTGTTGTAGACAAGGATGATGGCCTCGCTTTGGATGGAGAGGTTCCACATTTGCCATTGACAAATGACAAATCATCCAGAGCAATATCTCCCAAAACTACTCCTCCTACAATCCCTTCAAAAACAATCTGTAAAAAAACATCAAAGATAAATTTTCAACAATATACTCCTAAGAATTATCAAAAATAAATATAAATTTTCCATCTGCTGATTAGTGTGCTATAAACTAATTCTACAATGTACAGGAGTTAATGTACATATTGACCACACATGCAACACTTGAATAAAGTAAAAAACAAGAATGTATCCATGGTACACGGATGCCCCACTCGCACTATCTTTTTCTATGTTCAGTGGACCGTGAAATTGAGGTCAAAACTCTAATTTTCAAGTTGATTGGACTTCAACTTCTTTAAAAACTACCTTGACCAAAAACTTTAGCCTGAAGCAGGACAGAAGGATGAACGAACGGACGCACAGACCGAAAAACATAATGCCTCTCTACTATCGTAGGTGGGGCATAAAAATACATTTAACAATTGAGCTTCACCTGAGAAATATTTTTTACAGCTACAACAATTCATTTCTTTTTTTAAAAGCAAAGACACAATATTTCAAGTCTTATCTATATTGAAGACTTATTGATTACTATTTTGATACAAGGGCTAAAAAAAAGATAACTTTGAATTAATAGACATCAGGCCAGTAACCAGGAAGGATGGGAGTTCAAATCAGGTGTGTACCTATGAAGAAAAACCGAGTAACATACTTGATATCCAGTTGAACTTTGAACTGTAAATTGGCCTGAATTCCAAGCTGTTCCTTGTGCTCCTGTTAGTGTCCACAGTTTTATTTTTGTTACTGAAGATGCTGTCATATTTGTTGCTAAGTAAACATTGAGTGTTCCCATCAATCTTCCATTCATGTTGTACCAGAATTTGAAACACTGTGGACTATTGTTATTGGGAGGGAAGGTTGGACTCTGTAAGAAGGCTTTTTGTCCAACTTTTCTTGGAGCACTTGTTTCTATATACACATAGAACCCATTGGCATTCCCTTGTGTATGATCCCGTGATGGACCTGTTCCAGTACTTGGTGTCCCATTGTGTTGTATACTCCAATCAAAATCATCGTCTTGTCGGTTACTCCATGAACACAATGAACGTGTGTCGAAATTACATGCACCTACAATTAAGTAGAAAATAAGTGGCTCCTTATTTTTCCTTTCAAAAAGAAAGAAAAGAGTACAATTTTACAGAAGGAAAGGACTGCTTAAATAAATTTTTGCTTCGGACGAATAAAATTTATAACGTGTAGTTTTCTTTTTTCACATCACTGGGTTGATACCTCTGCTGGTGGACTTTCGGGTCACCAAAGGTATCATCAGCTTAGTAGTCAGTACTTAGGAACTGACATGATTTATAACAAACCTTTCTAAAATTGTCTGTTTATAAATTTGAGAATTATTAAGAAACTAAGGTTTCAACTCCTTTAGGCAAAGTTGACCTTAGATGGATTTGGCTATTTTCTTAAGTCCTTTTTGGGTATAAAGCTATTCATCTGTTTTGGTTCTTGTACATTCTTGGCTTTCAAATAATAGGCTTTGAGCGTTCCCGATGAAAGTAAATCCAGAAAAGTGCTTCGGACCCATAAAATTCATAATGTGTTGTTTTCATTTTTTTAATACAAATATCAAAGTAAAAATAATATACACCTAATTTTTTTTTATTTCACTCTAATATATCTGATTCTTTACAAAAAATATAAAACTAATATTAACCATCTAAAAAGTGAGCAATGCAGACTTTGTTTACTTTTTAAAGCTTGCCTCTAAATGAAATAAAGAATGAGACCAACACAGACTGAAAAAGACCACAAACCACCATCTAGTGTAAAACATCTGAATATCAATGCAAAATTAATCTGTGTAAAAATCCAATTTACCTTCCGGTGTACATGATCCTGGTTGAACACTGATATCATCTATAGCAATATCTCCCCTCACACCATTTCCTCTTACTCCCTCAAATACAATCTACAAAATTATAGAAAATCTCATATAAGACTTGTTCTGCTTTTTTTCCGATTTCCAAGAAATTTTATACAGATAGTTTATTAAAGTGATAGGCTTAAATATTTCATTCCCAATATCTGTTGGTAATTGCCTTTTTAAAATCATTTCTAAGCCAAAGAGAGTTGTTTAAGGTACATCATTTGAGCAAGGATGAAGGGTTGTTTTCTAAGCCACAAGGAGTTCTAATTGGTATATATAATTTAAATGGGAGATAAAGGATTATTTTTTGGGCAAGGTGTTTTCAATTCTTATTTCATATTTTTATGCGCATGACGCTCATTACTTACCGTGTTTTGTGCAAATTGGTAAAAAAAAGCAATTTTTTTATCTTTCATTCATCATGAAACAACCGTTTTATTTCCCGTTTGTCAGTGAACATACCCCCTCCCCTCTATGACCATCATTTAAACTTTAGGGCAAATGATTTTCATTACCTGATAAGCTGATGATGGATTCAGTGATACTTGAGCAATATTCCAGCTGTTTCCTTGGTTGGCTTTCCTTGTCCAAATAGGAGACCCTAGACTGCTTGACTGACCTTGTTTCAAGTACAAATTGAGAGTACCAATCTGACTACCATACATATGGTACCAAAATGTCATGCAGGCTGGTTTTATGTATGAGCTCTGAAGTGATGACAAGAGACGAGCCTTTTGTCCAGGTTGTCTTGGTGATGAGACTTCAGTGTAAACATAGTATCCTACAATACATTACACTTTAGGTCACACCAATTTAATTTCATGTTCTACGGATTTTTCCACTCCAGAAATTGGGGCGAGCGAGCGATTTGAAAATTTTAATAAAAAAAATTTAATTTGCAAATTTTTGAGGCGTAGCTTGAAAAGTAAAAGCGAACAATAATATTTTTTTTTGGTAAACATAAAATCATAGGTTCTGACAATATTGATCAAAACAAGATGGTATGAAACTTGATTTACCACTTGTACTTTGACATTTCTTTATTTTTTTTAATTTATCAACTGCTGAAGTATTTATTTTTCTGTTCACCAAGACTTGTAATGCCCACTTTTATGTCTTCTTTTATTACTGTTAACGACATCAGATTTTGAACTGAATAATTGAATAATTATTTCAACTGCCTTAAATGATCCCCTTTGAATTGTCATAGATGTCTTTCGTCCTTTATCGGACATGACTAAAAACTAGCAACATGGCGGGTGTCTTGCAAGAAGCAGGAACTGTTCATCCTTCCTGAATACCTTAGTTCACCCCCAGTTTTTAGGGGTTCGTGCTGTTCGTTGATGAGTGTACTTTTTTATGTTATATGTTGGTTGTCTGTGTCTCTGTCGTTTTAGTGTTCTCATTTTTGTTCTTTGTCTTTTTGGCACTTTGTATATAAATAAGATATGGTATGAGTGCCAATGAGACAACTCTCCATCATAGTCTAAATGTATTTAAAGTTAACAATTATAGGTCAAAACACGGCCTTCAACACAAGAGCCTTGGCTCACACTGAACAGCAAGCTATAAAGAACCCCAAAATGACTAGTGAAACAAAGATAAGAAATCTGTGTTAATGCTCGAAACAGTTTAAAGGGTGCGATGTGACGTTGACTTAAATGCTCTGGCGATTGCTTTTTTATTTTTTTCAGGTTTACAAAAAAAAAGATGTGGGAAATAGACACGATAACTTTTTGGGATACAGGAAGCGGGAATATTTAAAAATTTCTGTTTAGAAAAAAATATGTGCAAGCGGGTCCGTCAAACAAGGAATTAAAGTGGCCTTATAAAATAAATTCTGATAACAGCATAATTCATGTAATTGGAAAAAGGTTCATCTGTTATTATTATGTATGATTCCAAAGCGTACCGGTATGTATAAAATAAAAATGAGATACATTTGAAAACATTTGAAAAATAACTTATTCTTGTCCGAAGTAATTTTCTTTAAAAATTTATATCTTGAAGTTGAAATCAAGGATGAATTTAATTACTGTATAACTGCATAAAGATTAAGATATAAACAATTGCAGTTTAAATATAAACTGTAAATATCAACATTAATAAACTAATCAATAAACAAGAACATGCATCCACAGGACACCATGCCCTATTTGTTCTATCATTTTCCCTACAAAACAGATTCTGTTAATAAAACTGTCCAGAAAACATAATGTCCCTCTACTATCGTAGTTGGGGCATAAAAATATCAGAAAGTTAAGACCTTTATCTATTGCAATACATTTCACATGAATAGACTACAGAATATAAGTATCTATAGTGTAAACATACCACTAGTGGTTCCCCTAGTATGATCTACAGCAGGTCCAGTATTGGCTGATGACGTTTTTCCTCTCTTCCTTGTCCAATTAAAATTATCACTTGTACCTTGTGTATAGGAACAAAGCCCTACTTCAAAATTACAACCCAATGTTGACAGGCTACCAGATCCAGTGGGACCAGTAGGAGAAACTGTAGGTCCACCTAAAAATTTACAATATTTTCATTATGAAAGGTTAAATGTATGCAATGTGCCTGGTTTCAGATTATGTATCTGACGCTTATCAGTTTTAAACACGTATCAGATTTGGTTTAAAAAAAAACCCTCATGATCTAGTCACTTGCTTTTACATTTTTCATCACACATTTAGATACTACTTGAAGAGTCATATAATTTGAATGACCCACCTTTAAGTCTAAAACAGTTTTTTTTTTAAATCTACAGCCGTAAAACTTCTATCTTGTATAACTTTATCCAATTACAGTATAAAATCTATTAAAATGGGGAAAGTGAAAGAATAAAACCTATCAGTCTATGTTTTTTCCCAACAAACCTCACGTACAAATTGGCATTCATTTGTATTTTTAAAATAACAATACTTACCACAAGCTCCTGACTGTATTGCAATGTCATCAATAGCTATATCTCCTTGGTAACCTATTCCCTTAGTTCCTTCAATAACCACCTAGAAATAATATAAACACATATCTAAATAAATTTATATCTAAATTGTGAATAATTTAAATTTGGTTGTAACACCTCTTCTGATTGACTGAAAGTTTTTTGTCTATCAGCTCATAGACATAATTTAGTCATGTGACCATGAAATCATCAATGTTTTTGCATGATTTACTCCTAAAAAAAGGAATTTGGAATTAAATTATAAGGAAAGACTAATATTACATCTGTCTATATGAAATGGTGTCTTCCCGATTGTCCCACTTTTTGAAATTACAGGTAAAAAAGTTATGAAATTTTGTGGGACAATCGGGAATATGTTTGTGGGACAATTGGGAAGTTTAAATGTGGGACAATCGGGAATTGTTTTGATAGTGATTGGTTTGTTTTTAAAGTATGTCGCAGTTAATTACAGGTTACTAATCTATGTAACTTATAAAATATAAAAATAACATGAACATATAATAATATTTACATATCTTATTTTGCACGTAATAGTAGCAATTGAAGTATCATAAAAAAAAGAATATAATATGATGTCATAAAATAACACATATCAAGCAAAATTCGAACTTGATCTGTAACTTGTCATGATAAAACAATACACCAAATATCAAATCAATATCTTCAAGCACTACATTGGTAGGGGACTAAAAAGCACAAAAAGCACAAACTTCATCATTCTGCAAACGATCTTTGAGATCTTGTAGGTGTTAATTGATTTGTGTGTATTGTCTTCTCAGCCTTAGAAAAACAGCCTTTAATACTGATTCTTGGAAAGGCTGATCTGACAGAATTCTGAATAGCAGCTTCATTATCAATAAAGAAAGTTGTTCGGATCTGGTGAATCTGACGTTGGGTGTAAGCAGACTTCAGAAGTGTAGAGAATGTTGTGTTAATGTCCTTTGACCTTCATAGTAAAATTACAAAGACTAGGGGCGACATCTCTCCATCAACATGTGCGTGTAGAGCATAGAGTGTAAATAATGTTATACTTTTTTTTAAAATGCATGCATTATTTCTAAATTTATTCAATAACTTTAGAGAAAGGTTAAGTAAAATTACGGTATTGACATTTTTTTTCATAAATAAACGTAACATTGTAGATATATTTCATAAGTCAAAAAATATTAATCTAATGATTTAAAAAAAAAAAATGTTTTACTTTTTATTTAAATTAATATTAAATAATAGTTTGAACATGCAATTATAAATTCTTGTTTATTTAGCAAAACAAACAACAGTTACCTTGTTTATCTAAGAACATTTTATTTCATGAAATAATGTGGGACAATCAGAACTTTTCATGTGGGACAATCAGAACTCTAAAATTTAAAAAAGTGGGACAATCGGGAATAAACCTATGAAATAACCTCAAAAATGTGGTGCACACTTTTAAATAACATGCTTCATGCGTTATTCAGTGTGCACCACATTTTTGATGTTATTTCTTCATAGACAGGAAAAATATTACAGTCATTCCATAAATAACTTGAATTTTAGTGTACAATATTCCTTATTCCTAATTTTAAAAAATAGAAAATTTCTGTAAAAATTACTTATTCTAATTCATTTCCACATGCACATATTTTACACGTCTTCTTCTACTAAATCAATTACCATCAGTACACTGATATCTTGTAAGTAAATGGGTGAAAGCATCTAAAATAACAATAAACAAACCATCTGTATTGTTTATGGTATGAAATGACTACAGTACTCACATTTAATGGTCCAGGACCAGTGATTGTTAACTGTCCCTGTATCCATCTATTTCCTTGAGTCTTTCTCCTAGACCAGACTGCTGTACCAAGTTGTCTAGTTGATGTATTTCTGACATAAACATTAAGATAGTCTATGTGTGCACCAAACATGTCATACCAGAATGTAACACAGGACTTTTGTCCACTCTGCAGAGTGACCGGTGGGCTTATCAGTCTAGCCTTTTGTTTACTATTACGACCAGAAGTCTCAATATACATGTAGTAGCCCTCTACAAAAACAGATGTTATGTATGTAAATACATGCAAAAGATCAGTCTCAAAAAGGACAAATTCTAAACTTTCAACACCAAGATGAATGAGAGAAAGTGTTTAATCATGGATTTTAAAATTTGTTGCTATTACCCTTTATCGGCAATTTGTACATTTTCCCTTTGATTTTTCTGCCTAATATTCTTAAGATCATGGACAGGACTTGATACTTAAGAATATTAGGCAAAGACATCAGGTATCAGTACAGCAATGTGACTTGCTCAAGTCCATCCGCATCAATTTATTTATGAAATGCATGTGACTTCATTCATACAATTAAACAACTATCCCAACGTTTTGTAAGCGTAAAAGTAGTTTTACTAACTGTTTCATTTTACATCATAATCTCAACCAAAAAAAACCAGTTTAGACAAATAGCCGATAAAACGAATAATGGCATTTTATTTTTTGATACTGAGTTCAATAGTCAGTATCCAAAACAATAAATGCCATTATACTATATCTATCTGTATCAATCTTTAATGCACAGGTTAAAGTATTATCAGTAGTGCATTATCAAATAGTAAAAAATTCAGCTAAAACCAGTACTATGGGCCATCTTGTAGTGAGGTGTAATCTGTTGCTCAGTGTTGATGGCTCTGCTGTATATTTCAGATGAAGAACAACACTAAAAGTACTATTCTTTAGCTTTGGTTTCTGTCAAGAGCATGTAGCGATTTCGTTGTATGAATTAATGCACAACATGCCTTATTTTCTGTTAAGTTTTTGATTTATTTTTATAAAAAAGAAATATTTCTTACTTCCGTTGGTGTGGTCAGAACTTGGACCAGTACTTGTTGATGGTGTCTTGCCAATGTTTCGAGTCCAATCAAAGTTATCTGTCTTATCTTGATTCCAGCCACACGTATCATAGCTGAAGTCACAACTAAACTTACTGCCACCTAAAATACAATGGAGGTTTCGAAATTATTTAGTACACAAATGTCACTATTAAAATTAACCCAAAAGTTTTCTGAATACTTATGGCATATCTGACATTGAAAGAAGTCATGTTAATAACTTACCTGTACCCTTAGTTGTTGGCATTGTTGTCGGTAGAGTTGTTACTTTCTGTGTTGCCGGTTTGGTTGTCGCAAGTGTTGTTGTTGGAGCTTGGGTAACAGTTGGCTGGGAATTGGATGGTGTCCCTTTAAAAAATTACATCATTATTATATTTAGAACTTTTTTTTATCACATTTGGTCATGACAAGTGAACTAATCGTGTGTAAGTCGTAAATACATATAAACACAAACAAACAATGGTTTTCATTTTTAGAAGAAATTCCTTAATAATGGCAGTTTATTTGATCTTGATTCATTTTTTTTAACTTTAGGTTTACTGTGGCTACTCTTAAAATTGAAGAGAGACAATTTTAGCCATTTATTCCACTAAAGGGATATTTTCTCAACCTGAAAGATTATGGTATACTCTTTTTCGTAATGTATTATTAACAACTGTAAACATTTTCATCTAATAAAGCCCTTTAAAAACCACACTAACTATTGATGTCCTCCTTGACAGCAGAAGGTTTATATGGAAAGGAAGAATAATTTAACACCCAAAAACAAGATCTGAGGGAATCTTACATTGCAAGTTTAAGAACCAGTGTTGTAGGAACAGATGCAAAACCATTTTTCCTTTTAACTTAAAATTGACTTACTTGGACAATTACTGTTAGCTAATACAGTAATATCATCTAGAGCTATATCTCCTTGGACTGAACGGCCTCGGATACCTTGGAATATAAGCTAAAGAAACAAAAATATTTTGTGTAAGTATTCAAAATGAATTCAATTTTAAACAGATGTAAACTGCCTGTAAGTGTCCTAAATTCATGCAAGTAAGCAATTTGTTAAAGAATTAAAAGTTGAAATTGTACTAGTGTGTCAGCACACTTACAATCTTAAAAGAAACTTTAGAAAGTTTCTCAGTGGAAAGATGCATTAACACATAAGTAACAAAAATTTCAAATTCTATACATTTCTGTATCGTTAACATTAAATAATTTAAGCTTTCAAACCAATTACGCATATATGTATTAATCAAACATTATTACTTGTTAGGTGGTGAATTAAATGACTGTTTATGTTTCATTTTGTTAATTACTGGCATCGTTTGAAATCATATGGATTTAATGGCAGTAACTGACTTTACTGGGAAAGCATAAGCACAGCTGGAAAAGAGTAATCTGCAACATCAAATCATTGATTGATGCTGGCAAACATTTTATACACAATACTGTAATTTCTATTTTAATGCTAGTGAAATGGGTGGAGAAAAATATTTTTGGAAATAAGAAATTTTGCCATATATGTCCAAATACTTCCATGGCATCAACCTTGTTCAATCAAAGAAGATGTTACAAAAAAGTTTCATTAGATGTTACAAACCTTATAGTCTCCTCCCTGCTTTGGTATCAAAACTTGTGCTTTCATCCAACTATTGCCTTGGTTCCCATGTAATTCCCAGACAGGAAGTGGGTTGCTGGTTCCTTGTAACTGGGTCCATACTCTTAACGTTCCAATTGTAGAACCATACATATGGTAATAAAAGGTCAAGCAGTTGTGTGTGGCATAATTCAAGCTTTCACTAATCAGTCTAGCCTGGAACCCAGGTCTTGCTGGGGAAGATGTTTCAATGTACACGTAATAGCCTACAGATAAGAAAAATCTATCTTTTATCAAGTATAAATTTTACATGAGGGTTTTAATTTTATCTTCATTAAATATAATTGTATGCAAATTAAACATAATATTATAGAATTTCTAATATTACCACATGGTACGATAACATTAAGGTAAACAAAAAACATGTTTTAATGACACATTCTACAAGGAAGCTTATAAATCACCTGACGTGTTAAATTTTCATATTGTCATTACCTAGTGCAGTGCCTTTAGTATGATCAGTTGTTGGTCCTGTACCAGAGCTTGAAGTCCTTCCTTTATGACGAACCCAATCAAAATTGTCAGCACCACTGTGGTCATTTGTGTATGTACATAAACCAATCTCAAAATCACAAGTTCCTATAACATAATAAAACATTGCATTATTATATATTAATGAATTTTATTTGGATAATTGCTAAAAAAAAATTGATTGATTGGTGTTTAAAGCCACTTTCAGCACTATTGTGCTATTTCGTGGTGGTCAGTTTTTATTGGTGGAGGAAGCCAGTGTGCCCGGAGAGAACCAACGACCTTCGGCAGGAAAACTGACAATCCTAGTCAATCACGATTAATATTCTAAAATTTCAATTTTTTTTTTTTTAAATAATATATAGGAAGTGATGATAATATTAATACTTTAGTAGTACAGTTGTGAAACTTGTCAACAGAAGAATTTGGTACTGTAGAAATCTTATCTTCATAATAAACTTTACGATAGTGTAGAAATACACTCTACTTTGCCATTTAACATCTAAATGGTTCAAAATGTCTTCATTAATAGTGTATAAAAGAGTGTATTTTAAATGTTTTTCATTTCCTAAGAATTATAATAAAAAAAACAAGTTTTACCCATTAAAGGAAAAAAACAGTCCTAATGTTTTAAACCAATAAATATCAACTTTGCATATCCTACCTTCAGCTGAACAAGCCCCTTGTGACATTGAGAAATCATCAATGGCTATGTCACCACGGAAACCATTTCCTGTAATTCCTTCAAATACAATCTGATATGCTGATGTTCCTTGTGGTACATTTAGAGAGGCTACATTCCATGAGCTGCCCTGGTTACCTGCAATTTACAAAGAGATTTCATTTTTTAATCAACTGAAATGGACATCAAACTGAATCAGTAAAAAATTCAACAATCTATTAACTAAAACAGATGCATTTACAAATTCATCAGCTAACCATCTGTTGCAGTTCATCCCTAACAAAACTATTTAAATGTATACACCTGTTAACTTTCAAAAGCAGGGATTACAAAATGACATCTGATGTTTATAAAAAATTTCAAGGTATGACATACAACTAATCAGTTTACCATTACAAAAATCTATTTCCATTTTACCAATTGATAAATAGACAGTTGTTTAATTGAGTTTCTGTAAAATCAGAAATTTTTGTGAGCATTTATTATTGCGATTATTGAAAAATGGACAAAAATGTGAGATTAATTATTACATACAAATAATGCTAACAAAATTTAAAACACAAGATTTTATTTTTGCAATACCTTTTCATTCAAAATTTTTGCAATAATAAAAACATATCAAATTTTTCTTCATTTTTAGTACATAGACATTGATGTATGTCCTATCCCTTTATTGATGAATAAGAATTATGCAGAGGGGATTTTAAAATCTAATAAAAATGCCTTCATCTTACCAAATTTATATTTACCTTTTTGAAGTGGATTTTTGAAATAAAAATGTGTGAAAATAGTTTTTTTGTAATGTTTTATTATGCAACTGTTCAGTATTGAATAAATGACAAAAAGCCTTTGACCATTCCAACATTTAGGCTAAAGTTGAGGTTTAAGCACATTAAGAAGGTGATGTTTCTTTTTTCCCAATAAACCATTTCTTGCTATTATTCCAGAAAGTGACATTGCTAATATAATATTCTCTCACCTTTCTTGGTCCATACAGGATTTCCCCTAACACCACTTCTCAGTACATAAACATTAAGTGTGTTAATGTTAGCACCATTCATGTTATACCAGAACTCCATACACATGGTCTGTGAAGGGCCTCTGTATATTGGAGAGATCAGTCTGGCTTTCTTGTTAGCAGACTTCCCTGATGCTTCGATGTACATGTAATGTCCTGAAAATTTATAGAAAGCTTTTAAAGTTCATGCTTTAAAATTAAACATTTATCTTTACAACAACTATTAAAACTATGCTTAACTATGTTAGGGGGAGGGTTGAATGCTTACAAAAATGTTTAACCCCACCACATTCAGTATGTGCCTGTCCTCAGTCAGAAGTTCAGTGGTTGTCGTTGGTTCACGTCTTTCATATTTGTTTTTTTGGTAAATTCTTTTGTTATAAATTAGGCCATTAATTTTCTCAATTGAAGTGTTTCATATTTTTCATGTCAGGGCCTTTTATAGCCGACTATACAGTATGGGTTTTTCTCATTGTTGAAGGACATACAGTTGCCTATAATTGCTTACATCCACTTCATTTGAACTTTGGTGGATAGTTGTCTCATTGGCAATCATACCACATCTCATTTTTATATTAACTCATGCTTTGTTAATAAACATTTATCTTTAAAATTACTATTTTTACTAACATGTAACAAAACATAATTTTATGTATATAACTATATATTTCAGTTTTCTACAATTTCGAATTGGTCAGAATAAAAAACTGTCACTTGACCACATTTCTAATTCTTTTCTTCAATTCACACCTTAAAATATTATTTAAGAATAAAATAAAGGATGTAATATATACCCTGTGTGAAGAATATTTGTTTGAAATACAAACTTAAAATCAACAAGTGAATCTGTGAGCTACTGCTCACTTATGATACCCCCGCCCCGCTAAAAGTATAAGGTAAACAGGAAGTTGTTGAGTGATGAATCAAAAAACGCATCACACAGTATAGCTGACTCATATAAACCCTGAAACCAAATTTCAGAAATCCTTGTAATATAGTTCCTGAGAAAGATGCGACGAAAAATATTCATGGGACGGACGGACAGACTGACGTACGGACAGATGGATGGATGGACAGACAAAAGGTAAAACAGTATACCCCCACTTTTTTAAAGTAGGGGTATAATTAAATTTATATAAATACATGCATATTATGTAACATGTGGAGAAATACCAAATCTTGTATGTAAATAGAAATAAACTGTTGATACAGAGAAATGTCTTATCTGTGTGTAATTTCGATATTATAATGCAAATTTTGAAATAGTAACACTTGAACAGGTCAATGGACCATGGATGAGAGGGCTGACCAAAAAATATTAATGGAAAAAATGAAATGTACCAAAGCCAATACAACTGTCTACAAAACATCATTGACTGATCATTAGTGTTTTTTTCTTAAACTGACCTATTCACAAACTTTAACAATTGTTGACACTGCCATTGCCACATTAGCACACCTAAGTCTTGCCTAAGTGACATAAAATATTAGACCATATATTTTTTTTGCTTTTGGATTCTATAAAGGGAATGTTAAAGGGAATGGAACTCAATTTATGAATACAAATAAGATTACAAATGCAATAACTAATTCGTGTACTGTTTAAATACCTGCAGCTGTTTTATAAGTGTGGTCATTATTAGGTCCGGTCCCAGAAGAGGATGTAGTCCTTGTACTACGACTCCAGTCAAAATCATCAGTTCTTCGTTCTTGTGTGAAGCCGCAAAGATTGGAAGGTTCAAAATTGCAACTGACATTTCCTCCAGTTTGTGGGCCTACAACAGATGCATAGAAAACTAACCAGTGTTCCAACAAATTAGTGTATTAATGAGGTTTTCCCCAGTTTGTGGACCTGCAACAGATGTATACAAAATTTAGCAGTGTTTCAATAGAGTACAGTGTATTTGCCATCTGAAAATATGGAATATCAAATTTTTCTTTCATTAGAATGCGTAAAGAGAGGGGGCATGGAAGTCAGACATCATTTTTTTTTAAGATGAATGCAAAATAAAGGTACATCTTAAAGGATGGTGTCATATCACCTTTTCAATGAAAGTATAATACATAACTTTCTTGACAGCTGATTTTCAGGAAAAACCTCCACCAAATTAATTTTATTTGAGGTGTTTTGTGACCCCTTTGTGACAATTCTTTCTGAAAAGCCATTATCGTTTTATGTTTCTATTTACATGAAAAATTCTAAAACTCTAATTTTAAAAAATCCCCCAAAAAATCTTTGAATATGGATGACTGAAGTAACTAAATAGTCCAGTATTAAGTTAGCTGAAAATATTTTTTTCTTTTATTATCTTACTTATGATACATCTTTGATGACAATAGCTGAAAAATCCTGTGTGCCAAAGACTTACATTTCTTACATATTTGTCATTTTGACTACTTCAGACCATTAAGGTTTTACATTTTAGTAATACTATTGATACTATTAATATTATATTTGATAATATTTCAGTGGATTGTCTTAAGAGATTTTATAGATTTCTACACTCTATGTATTAGTTATTACAGTATTAGTACATTACAGCATCAGATATAATACTATTTCCTTTTTATTTTCATAGGTATTTTCTTGTGGTATCGGAAATGATGAGGACATCATTTTAGATGTCAGGGGAGTATGTGGTATAATGTTTTAAATTATTTTTACATATTTGAAAATTTACACAGAAATATGTCAGTAAAGAATTACTTATTTGTATCATTATGATGATGAAATTAACATAACCATAGTTACCAGAACTGCATGGTCCATCTGCCATAGATATATCATCAAGGGCAATATCTCCAAGGTAAGCAGATCCTCTTACTGCTTCAAAAATAACCTAAAAGCAAAAATTTGTAAAGTTCATAATTTGAATTATAAGAGAAATGATGAGAACATTATACATAGTAGTAAATCAAATGACATGAAAAAGAAACTTTTAGAGACCTATGTTCATATTGGCCTTTGAAGGAGATCTTAATTTGTCTAAGTATGTACAATTAAACAATATACTTCAGATTTCAAAAAGACTGACAAAGTTCAAATGACAAAGATATGAGCAATTACCTTTTTTTAGTTTATCCAAGTTAATTTTTGCAGCAATTGCCTTTCTCTCAATTGCTAAATTCCAGCTAAATAGGAACACAAAAACAAGAGCTGATAATAACATCGCCATGACAACAACAAAATTATATCAGGTTTTATAGTTTGCCATGCCATATGAGTTTTGCTCCTTGTTGAAGGCTGTACTGCGACCTTTAATTGGTAACGCAGTTTGTGTCTTGTTGATAGTTGTATCATTGGCAATCCTACCACATCTGCTTATTCTATATCTAAAGATTAAGATCTGGTAAAAAAGAAATTTAAAAACCACAATACTCTTTCAAGTAACCATTACCCCTTTCCTTAAAACTTTAGCTGTTGAAATGGAAAATAAATCACTTACATTAAATTGTGATTTAGATGAGATATCAACAGTTCCTTTAATCCACTGTCTTCCCTTTGTTCCTTGTTGTGTCCATATTTTGTTTCCAGGGAAAGATAATCCTGTCTGTACATAAACATTTAACTGGTTAACATGGCGACCATACATGAAATAATAGAAGGTAACACATTTGTGACCAGTTGAACTTGGTGCTACCTGTGGACTGACTAGACGCACTTTGTTTCCGGGTTTGGCAGGGTTACTTGCTTCCATGTATATATATGAACCTCCTAAAATAGAAGCAGATTATGGAATTCAAATATTGAACAGTTTAGATATACATATGTTTTCTGTTTACTCAATATTCATTATTTTTTGTGGAATACTAATTTTTGTGGATTTTGTGGGTAAAGATAAACCACGAATTTAGATGTTTAACAAAGTACAAATTTTCCTAAAATGGAAAATTCAAATATTGACAGTTAATATGTACATATATTTTCTGTATACTCAAGATTCCATTATTATTCCTGGGAAACCAACTTTCCTGGATTGCATCAGTAAAGATAAACCATGAATTTACACGTTCAACATGCTCTATTGGCTTGTAGGCACACTGGCAAAACCAGGAAATCAAGTATATACAAATACACAAATTTTCCACAATCCACGATAATTTCTAACCAAGAAAATAAATGAATCCATAGTAAAATTTTAACCATCACAAAATCATTTATAGACTTGACATTATAATTTACAAAAGAGAAAACGATATGAAAATTTATAATCTGTTATTTTCAATTTCATATAAAAGTAAAATTATCTGAATAAAACATCACACAACAATACATGAATTACAATGATTATATTATGATTCATTAATTGTTTGCTGGTGTTTAATGCCACATTTAGCACTATTAACTATATCATTTCAGCCAGCTTTTATTCGTTTTGGAAGCAGGGGTTCCCAAAGAGAACCATAGACCTTTGGCAGGAAAACTGGTAATCCTAGTCAATAAATATTGGAGCCCAACACACCTTGCTACTAGCTAGTGATCACTGTAGAAGAACTACTTAGACAACTTGCCCATCAAGACCCCTATTATATTATGAGATGCTTCATGAATAAAATGTGACAAATAATAAAGCAGGACTAAAGCTTACTTCCTCCATGGGCTGATGTTGGTCCAGTATTAGCTGTTTGAGTGCTTCCTGTCTTTCTTGTCCAATCAAAATTATCTGTTTTATCCTGGGTCCAGCTGCATAGATTCTGGTCAAAGTTACAGTTGAAAGGACCAGTGTTTGGAGTGGTGGAAGGAATAAGAGTACCAGATGGAGTGGTAAACAATCCTGCTGGCTGTGGGTTTACTGTGAGTGAAAGAAAAAAAGACTCAACATAGCAAAAATTATGTAGGTCAATAATTTATTTTTTTGTATGTTAAAAGTCCTTTTCTTGAAACTATTTTTTTTTGTTTATTTCCCCATCTGTACACAAATAAATTTCTTCTTGTTTTTATACACATAAATGGTAGTTTAAACATTATCAAGATTTGTATTGAGGCATTCATTAGAAGAGAAATTGCATGATTAACAGATTGAATTTGCTTTGATATTTCAAGTTTTATACAAAAATAATGTAGATCATTTATCCAATGCCCTATTTTTTGGCTAACATCATATGAACCTGAATTTTGTACAATAACTCCTACTACCTAATTTTCCCAGGTTTCTCTACAGTCAAATTAAAAGTTAACTTTATGGTCACTGTTATTTTAAGAAAAATAGTACCCTCCATAGTCATATATAATAGTTAAGTTTAGATTGACACAATTTTAGCAAGAGTTATTTCCCTTTTGTCGTCATGTTGGCTGTCTAAGCAGGCACATTCGATATTAAACCAGCCAAATTCAACTTGTTATACTGACCCCTTGACTCAAGAATAGGTTTTTTTCCAAGCAATTTTTATTATTTTTTAGCCTTGCTTAATTCATCACTACAATCTAGTAAGGATCTCTTCTCAGACTTGTGTGTATCTCAGACTTAGATGTTTCAATTTGGTTAGTCAAATTAGAAAACCAACCATTGATTCCTCCAAATTGGCAACCAAGGGAAACACATCAATCTCAAATTACGTCATTCCAAATCTATCTATTCCCCATATTATTCTCTTATTATAATTTTTTTTGCAAAGTGGTGTTATTTCTTGTTATTTCTCTTTCATACCTCCACATGTGGAATCAGAGAAGGTGATATCATCTATGGCAATATCCCCTGATGCTCCATTTCCACGTCGACCTTCAAATATCACCTTATAACTCTTAGACTGAGCAGGTATGGCAGCTTGTCCATTCTGCCATTGTTGTCCTTGGTTACCAGAGAGCTGCCATATTGGAACAAATGGTTGTCCTAAATTAAAATTTTAACATATTTACTGATAGAATCAAAAAAAAAAAAAGCAAATATGAACACAATGCTAATGCTGTGTAATGGTTAAAAATTAATGTAATAATCATCGATAAAAACAAAGAAAAAATCTTTGGAATAGAAAAAAAGCTGCCAACTAGTGCTTTTTTCTATCATTCATATGTATAGAATGCCATCACAAAATCCTATACTTTACAAAGATCTTAAAAGTTTGCAGGCGGTGAAGCTTTTCAATACTATCCCATGGTATTAAAAAAGGAAAAAAATTCAGAACTATTGATATTCTTTATAGTATCTAAATAGCATGATTGCTGCAATTTTATTTGTCCTAAAAACTAATTACCTCCACAGGACATCATGAAATAGAATATGTAGAATGGCTTTAGCCATAAATACTGTAGAAAAATTATATACTACCTAAATCTATACCCAAATTATTTACCTGGGACATTAACATAAACTGTAAGTGTGTCTATAGCCTGACCATACATATTGTACCAAAACTTAATACAGCGTCCAGTGGTAGATGTAAAAGGCTGACTAACTAACCAAGCTTTAAAGCCTGCCCGTCCAGTAGATGTCTCTATATACACATAATGTCCTAAAATATTACATATAAACTGTTAATATATAATACTAATATTAAAGTTGTAAGATACAAAAGCCATAAGACAAGTCATATTAGACAACCCTTGAAAATATCACGTTGACACTTAAGGTTTTTGCTACTAACAAATTTCTTATGATTGAAAGTGTTGAATTTGAGATTTGTTATATGTTTTGAGCTTTTTGTTTTTGTGTTATGTATCCCATCTCATCGTATCTAATATGGAAAAAAAATTAAAAGAAAAGTCTAAAGTTTCAATTTAGTTCTTGTTCAAATATTTCTTATTTAGTATAATAGAAAACTGTTTTGTCTTCAGTAGACTGTACATCAAAATTATCAACCATCTGGCAGTTGCTTTCACCCTTCGATGAGAATGTAGAGGAGAAACTTCCTCTTATTTGAAGAACCATCGATAATCTATAAGTAATTAAGGATTTGCAGCTCATAGTTAAAAACTTTAATAAAAAAAATAAAAAGATTTTGATTTGCAAAATCAAATAAATACCTTGTGGTGTACCCAAAGAATGATCAGCCTGGGGTCCAGTGTTGGCACTACTGGTTCTTCTTTGATTTAATGTCCAATCAAACTGGTCCCCTGTATGAGTGTTAGTCCAAGTACATAATCCTTTTTCGAAGTCACAGGAACCTGTAATTGAACTTTTTTTTTTACACTAAATACCAATCTCTGAAGTATTGTAAATATGATTATTTTGACATTTTTGTGTCATTTAGATATTTTAAAACAAACAGTATTCTAATACTTTTGAAAATCATTGAAATATAATTGTGGAATTGCCAAAATCCAACACTTGATTTGATTTGAACTTGTGTGTATACAGACAACTGTATCATACCATTTAGGTTTCCACTCTAGGTCATCCATTCTTGTAGATCAAAAGATAGGTGTAGGTTCCCCAAACCCGTACACACTTTGATAATACATAATTTGTAGATCATTTAATGGTTGTACTATCTAGTTAAATAAAATCAAAATGGTGAATAATTTATACTAAAAATCAAATCTCAGCAACGTCAATATTAATCTAAAACTTTTTAAATAATTTTTAAAAAATAAGCTTTTGAAATCAATTTCTTGTATCAAAGAACTAAATTTTATATCTTTTGTTTCTAAAGCTAATTAACTTACTCTATAATTATATCGACATATTATATTTTTCAAAATAAATTAAAGAATCTCACCATCACTGCCTGAGCATGCTCCCGCTGTAAACTTAACATCATCAATGGCAATATCACCTCTCACATTTGTACCAACAACTCCTTCAAATACAACCTAAAAATAGAAGCTCTAGTTTTACTATCATTTTAGTTTTAAAATACACATCATATTTAATTTTTTTTATCATGTTATAAAAAATCCTCAATGAAACTAGGTTTATAGTTTGGTACGCCAGACACACTTTTCGTCTATATAAGAACTAACAGTGGCGCACAAATCAGTTGAAAGGTCAAATACCTCAAATACGATTGAAGAGCATTAAAACCAAGCATTCCAAAAGGTTGTGCCAAATACAGACAATATAACAGACTATAACAACATTCAGACATCATTCAACATTTCATAATCTATGGAATTATGGGTAATATTCTAAATTGTGTATTTCGTTGGATATTTTAGAAGGTAACTCCCACTTTGGCCACTTGGCAAATTGACACATACGACCATTATTTTTCTTTAAACATATTACTTGATATCATAAAATTGAGAATGGAAACAGAGAATGTGTCAGAGAGACAACAACCCGATCAATCTGCTTTTGAAAGATTTAAATATCCCATTGAAATACTGGTATACTTACATAGTAACCTTTGGATCCAGTTGATGAGGGAACAGTAGCACTTCCATATTGCCACCTGTTTCCTTGGTTACCAGTCATAGAAAACAATGCTCGCCCAAGTTGAGAACCAGTCTGCAAAATGTAATTACAGAATGATGATGGATTGCTGTTTAACAATTATTGGAAGAATTAAAGAATTTATTGCCAATGAGACAACAAACTAATTGCCGCACAGATTCCTATAATTGCTGTACGGTTGCCTATAATTGCCGTATGGTTGCCTATGATTGCCGTATGGTTGCCTATAATTGCTTACATTTACTTCATTTTAACTTTGGTGGATAGTTGTCGCATTGGCAATCATACCACATCTCCTTATTTTTATCTAACTTTTTGGTCAAGTAAAGATTAACATGCCTGACTAATTTATACAGAAACATATTTTATATGGAGAAGAAATTATGCTTCAATCAGCCTTGGATATCAATTATTACTACTGTAACCGGAGAGCATGATTCTACTTGCAAAATCGTATGTCTCCACCGGGACTCGAACCCGTGACCTCTGTGTTACAAGGCAGCGCGTATACCGACTGAGCTAAAAAAGTACTTCCTTAGCTCAACCGCTTACGGCTGACTAAGTATCTACTAAATTTCTAAGGGAAGCAATCCCGTCACACTACATTCCAACTCTTCTAATACTCTATGTTTAATCATTATTTTGTTTATATAATGTTTAAGTGCATGTTTCGTAACTAAAAAAAAAAGGGGGAAAGATACCTATGGAACATTCAGAACTTATCAGTTGAAAGAAATTGACAACGCCATGGCAAAAAGCAATATGATGAAAAGAAGATAGATATAGGAAGATGTGATATGAGTGCCAATGAGACAACTCTCCATCCAAGTTACAATTTATAAAAGTAAACCATTATAGGTCAAGGTACGGCGAACATTCTTGTGGATTCATTTACTCAAGATAATACAAATTTTTTGAGTTGACAAAAGCTTTCTTTGGTATTCATTAAATTCATGACAACAGTGGTATTTCTGTTTTTTTATCAAATCCACTGATTGCATTGAGTTTAAATAAACCTTACCTTAGCATACACATTGAGTGTTCCCATTCCTGTGCCATACATGTGATAGTAGAACTGAACACACATATCCTGTCTGTCAATGTAACGTGGTGATATCAATCGAGCCATATCTCCCCTTTTACGTGGAGCTGAAGCCTCAATGAACATGTAATGTCCTGAAATTTCAATTATAAAATCGTCTTTTACTGATCTAGTATATAAACATTTCTTTTGTTATTAAAGTTAAATTTGGTTCTTTTAAATTACTGGGCATTTGCACCTCCTCTTTGATTTTTCATCAAATCTCTCAACTATTTACCAAAAAAATAGGTCTACACTACAACAAAAATCTTACATAATGTTAACCAACTTTTTTGCAAGAGGTCATATCTATTTCAATTCTATAAAAAAAATTTGCTTAAATGAATTTCAGGCAATAGTACCAAAATTGCTCAGGTGAAGCTCAGGTAAATCTAAGATATGGTCAATCTGTTTCTTTTGAGCAAAGCAGATTTCAATATCAAAACATTGTTCAAAATCTTGACATATAAAATTTTATTTGAACTGAACAGTAATAAGAAAACAGTGTACACTTGCGTTTACTGTGTAAATAACACTAGGTCATTTATACCTCAATGTTTTTTTATTACCCACTTACTTCATCTATTAAATTTGATGTATATGTGCTTATGTAAGATTGTAATAATAATTAGACAATGGGCTTTGTGACTATTTTGTTGATGCTTTAGTTGTTTACGAATAAATCAAATTTTCCTGTTTTGTGATTTTTCCCTACCTCTTCCTGTTCCGTATGTATGGTCACTTGCAGGACCAGTATTGGTTGATGATGTGGTACCAGCCTGTCTGGTCCAATCAAATTTGTCTGTTTTGTCCTGTGTGTATCTACAAAGATTTCTGTTCTCAAAGTCACAACTTCGTACAATTCCTCCTGATGGTGGTATAGTGGTCACTGTTCCTGGGGCACTTGTCTGTCCTAATATTTTGAAATAAAGACATATGTGAAAAAAAATGCAATTGTTTATAAACTTTAGATCTTTTAAATGCAAATTGCTAAAAAAATATTTCATAAGCTTAATTAAAACTGATTGACATGTTGCATATAATATTAATATTATCAAGAATGGAAAACATTTGATCAAATTGAATTGTACTACATGAAAGTGTCTTGCTTTTAGTATTTCTATAGAAATCTGGTAGTAGATTTGGTTAATAAGACATTATTGAGTATTATATGTAAGGGTTTTTTCTTTCTGATATTATAGATTATTCTAAAGATCTGTATTCATGCTTTTTTTCATTTCATTTTTTTTTCTTTTCAATATCTTTCTTTTCAAAATGTATTAAATATGTATAAATTCAAAAACATTAAATTTCAAGGATAATATATCAACACAAAAATTGACATAATAAAATTCCATTTAAATCTCTCTATTAAGTATTCAATGCTAGAACTATAAACACTGAGTTTGCCAAACAGGTTACAATAGTGAATACCAGAACTATGTCTCCACAGAGCTTGTTATATAGTATGGACCACTGATTTTTGTCAGAGGTCATACAATAACCTTCAAATGCTACCCACCCTATTTCCAAGTGATCTCTTACAGAAAGTATCATTGCATCACAGCTACTAGGTTTTATAAGAAGTTACTATTAATACAAAATAAACAAAATAACTTACCAGTACAAGCTCCATTTGTCAAGGCCACATCGTCTAAAGCTACATCTCCTCGGAATCCATTTCCTATCACTCCTTCCATAATGATCTACAATTTAATTCAAATTCTTACAACTTTTTTTCTATTATAATGAAAATATAGAATATAATATAATCGATGTCCTGAAAATATTCATTTAAGATAAAAGGAAAGAAACAATTAAAATTTATTTGTCTCTATAAAAGATTTATTTTCAAGTTTAAATTGAACATTCAACACAGATTTGTTGAATAAATAAAGGCAACAGTAGTATACCGCTGTTCGAAACTCATAAATCGATAGAGATAAAAACAAACCTGGGTTACAAACTAAAACTGAGGGAAACGCATCAAATATAAGAGGAGAACTACGACACAACAAAAACACAACATTAAAATGTAACACACACAGAAACGAACTATAATATAACAATGGCCATTTTCCTGACTTGGTACAGGACATTTTAAGAAAAAAATGGTGGGTTGAACCTGGTTTTGTGGCATGACAAACCTCCCGCTTTTATGGCAACGTCAAACACAACACCAAAACGACAACATTACATGACAGGACAACAATACAAATAAATGGGAGAACATATAGGACAAAGAAACACACGAATAATAGCTAACAAAAGGTACTAGGCTTAAAATTCAATACGCCAGACGTGCGTCTCGTCCACACAAGACCAACCAGTGACGCTCAGATGAAAAAAGTTTTAAAGCCAAAACAAGTACAAAGCTGAAGAGCACTGAATAAACCAGATACAGCTGGTGTTTGCTATTTTTTGCATAGTTGTAACCTGAAACTGTGCCATAAATATGGCTTTGGCTATACTTGTCCTTTTTGGTTTATAGGCTCTTAATTTTCTAAATAATTTTTGGATTTTCAAATATTTTGACCTCTGAAAAGACATTTATTGTCAAAATGTGCATCTGGTGCAGAAAAATTGGTACTGTTAATGTTATTTCACAGTTAGTAAATCTTATTAGCTTCTTAAACTGTACAATAAAATCAGCACTAAACACTAACACTATATTGTCTTGTTTGACTGACAGTTATCTTAGCATTAATCCACTTGTTCCCTTGTGTCCCTTTTCTGGTCCAGACAGGTGACCCCATTGATGCTCCTAGCTGTACGTAGACATTAAGTCCACCAATTTGAGGTCCATACATATGATACCAGAAGGACAGACATGAAGAGGATGATGATCGGGTTGGTTTGACAGGTACGCTCTGCAGACGTGCTGTCTGATTCATTGTTTTTGCTGAGGCTTCCGTATATATGTAGTAACCACCTAAAAGTCAAAGGAAAGTTTTTTTCTACGTTTTCACCAGCATTCTTCATGTTTTAGGCAAAGTTCAATGCAAGTTCATTCTCTGTGAAATAGGTTTACAAATTAGAAAGAAATTCCATAGCATGATAAAAATTTCGAGAAACTCAACAAATGATTACCTTTTTTACCTAAAAAAAAAAACATTAACCCACTCAAAATGGTTCTTCTTAATACATTTTGTACTATATTACAGATATTATCACCTGGGTGGTGCTAATAGGTAAATATGAAATCCTAATTATGAATAAGTACAAGATTTTAAGATAAAATCAGTAGACAAAAATTTCAAAATTATAAGTAGATAATAACTGCACTGATAAGTTGATAATTAATTGCAATAGAAAATCAAATATTTAACTTATAAGTTCTTACTTCCGCTAGTGTGGTCTCTGCTTGGTCCAGTTCCACCACTATTTGTCCTGCCTCTTTTCCTGGACCAATCAAACTGATCATTTCTCAACTGTGTCCAGCCACAAAAACCAGCATCAAAACTACAGCTAACTGTTCTGCCATCTAAAAATATCATAGATATTCCATCTTGAACTTAATGTTTTTAGTTATTCTCAATATGCATGATCTTAAGTTTGCTCCTATTTTTACAGAAGTGAAAAACCATGTGTTTTTTTTTTTTAATCATCATTTTAATATAAAGCTTTTAAGTTATGCATTGATTTCTTGTAACATATATGCAAAAGAGACTTACTTGTTGGTGTTTTGGTTGTCCTCAAAGTTGTTGCCTGAGTAGGAGTTGTAGAACCTTGATTAGATGGCACTGCAGTGCTAGGTGACACTGAAATAAAAATACATGAAAGAGTTGGATGCATACTTCGCTTTTTTATTCACAGAAGATATGGATGAAAGTTTCATTCATACGGTTTACAACTAAATTATATGTGATAAAATTTCCTTCTGATTATCATACATTTTTAATAAGGATTTCAAATATCTCAAGGTGCATATTATTTGAAGCATTTAATTATGACACTATTTCAGTTGACCACAAACTTTGACCTATAACCTTGGCAATGAACTTTTTTTTATCTGCTGAAGTTTGGGCAATTATAGGTCAATTATACAAACTTTTGTGAAAATCAGATGTGAATAGGTACTTTTATTGAATCTATTACGTGTTACATATGCAGACATACAGACATATAAATATTAGGGAAAATCCTTACAGTACCCCTTGTCCACGCAAGGGGATGACATTGACACTTTAAGACTGTTATTCATATTTTTCAGCTATCACACATATTGAATGACTTTTTGGTGACTCAAATAAAATTGCAAAGTTACAAAAAATTGAAATAAAATAGTTATTTAATAGAAAACCTACATGTACATCTAGTGTTTGTGACTGTAATGTCATCAATAGCTATGTCACCTCTGATTCCTGTACCACGAACTCCTTCCAACAGGAACTAAACAAAATAAAATGTCACATAAAAATCATAAGTATAAAGTTATATAATAGAAAAACAAAGGATATGGGACATCCATCCATGACACAAAGTCAGTACATGTACAGTAAAATCACACACAAAAAAAGGAACAGCGCTTTTATTGCTATTCTTCATACACATATATAATGTAGAAATATTTATACTTGAAAATAAACACATTATCATAAATAATCATTCATGATTGCAGGCTGTCATTTATTTTGCCACTTATCAGTCATTTATTTTGCCACTTGTCATTTTCCTAAGAGAACCTTTCTAGTTGCCTAAGTTTTATAATTATCTATTTATCTGCTATTTTTAAGTACTTTTTGGTTATATAACTCTTCAGCTGTTTCGGTTCTTACACATCCTCTGCTTTAAAATATTCGGCTAATAGCGTTCCTGATGAAGGTAAATCCAGAAAAGCGCTTCAAACACATGAAATTAATAACATGTTGTTTTCATTTTTTACCTTTTTAAAAGCCAACAAATTTAACTTGATAAAAAGTAGCATTGACAATTTTTTTTGCAAGCAAAAAATGGCAGACAATATTAGCAGTAAATGTTGGTTGATTGATGTCATGTGACACATATTTACAGCATATTTTCTTTGATTTACTTTCAGGCTCTTGCTGCGAGTTGAAGCTAAAAATTAATGTTGTTAAATATTAAATTTTCAATAAACAATTAATCACACCTTAGACTAGTAATTTAGACTAGTAATTTAGACTAGTAATCATATTTGTAAAATAGTTTAACACAATACATACACTGAAACTGTTCTTTACTCTGGGAACAGGAAGTCTACCTAGATTCCAGGTTCCACTTTGTTGTCCATTTAGAGTCCATTTCAATGTTTTAATATTATTTTGAACAATATAAACATTCAGTTTTCCTACTTGTGTTCCCAGCATGTTGTACCAAAATTGTAGACATTTGTTTCCATTGTTATTTGGGAATGTTTCCGATCTCAGTTGAGCTTTATCATTAGGAACTCTAGGCGCACTCGTTTCAATATATATGTATGTTCCTATAAGTAATATTGATACAAGATGTAAAAGTTATCATTAGTTACTCTTAGAGCACTTTGTATTTTACAATAAGTAATATTGGATGTCACTAGAATTATAAATTATAACGTTGGAAACTACTTTCACAGTGAAGGTTTCAATGCTGTTGAAATTTCAAAATGTAAAAGAAATGTTGTTATTCAGTGAGGGGGTGACATGGGGTGCTCATTTCCCAAATCCAGCTTTTTTTTCAAATTCTTTACTACGTCCCTCTTTTTTTACCCCCTATATCCCACATCCCAAAGGTGTTTCGTCCCCCTCTTTAGTCAAACCTGCTATAAAGGTCACCTCTATTAAGCAAAAACCTGTCTTAATCAGCTGATACTCTGATTGTCCCTCTGTAGTAATACCTTTGCATTTTGAACCTCATATAAAAGGTCACCTCTCTTATATGGTTTATTTTTGTTCTGAGGGAGATCTTTGTATACAAGTTTGACTGTACCTTATCTAAGGTAATGCTTTTATTTAACATGTGAAAGAAATGCTGTCAGTTCAAACATGAAATCAATGTTGTTAATTCCCATGAAAAAAAGTGTTTTCCATATGTGGAAAAAAACAATTTTTTTCTACCAAAAGCGAAATAAATTGAAAATAAAAGAACTAATAAACATCAAACCATTTTCTGGACTTTTTACCATTATCAAAAATATATTCCAAATATCCCAAAATATTTTGTTCATAACTACAGAAACAATCTTTGGATAAGTACCTTTGCTATTCCTCAGTGTATGATCAGATGGGGGTCCAGTCCCTGTACTTGATGTGGGTCCATGATTTCTTTTCCAGTCAAAATCATCTGAAGCTACATTAGTCCAACCACATAAATCTTTCTCAAAATTACAGGATCCTGGGAAAAGAAATCATTTGTTTATATCTCTTTAATCATTTACTATGCAATTTCATCTCAATGTTCATATTCATAATTTTTTAAAATCAGTAAAAATCACTTTTTTTTTCTTGAATGTAACCATTTTTAATGGAAATGTTAAAAATACATACTGTGAACCAATATCATTTTGTGCTTGGCTCTTTCTAGCTGATTTTGCAGTAATTTATTTTTTCAACATTTTTCTAATTTTCTTGATGTATTTATGTAAGGGAAGATCCAAGTTTACATTATTTGTGAAACATATGTATTCACATTATTTTTCTACTCATGAAAGTCACATAAATAAATTACTTTGTTTACAGAAAGTATTATTTGAAATTTTTAAATATTTATTATTTTCATAGATTTATTTTCAAGGAAACTTAAAAAATTAATACACAATAGAAAAAAAATTAAGTAAGAAAATAATTCCTATTGAATACAAATCTCACAGCTATGTGATTTTCATTTTTTTTATAAGATTGCAAAATACTTATATATGGGAACTGCCAACTAAAATATGTACTTACCCGATGCAGGACACCTTCCTGGGATAATTGAAACATCGTCCAATGCAATGTCTCCTGTATTAGAATTTCCTCTTGCGCCTTCAAATACAATCTGAAAAAAAACAATATAAATTTATTTTATGAATGATTTTAACACAAAAATATTAACACTCAAATCCATATTAAAATGAAGACCACAGAAACCATACAGTAAATTGGTTAGTGTATTGCTACAGAAAGTCATATTGAATCAACAATTTATTATGTCTAAAATATAGCTCATAATAAAATGAAAATTGATATTATGTGTAGGGTGTTTTGTGGAACATCCATTTTTAATACTTACATTATAACGCCTGTTTCCTCTCTTCCTGACCGTGACTTGTGCTAGTCTCCAGTCCTGTCCCTGTTCTGCTGTCATGGACCAGATTGCTGATCCTAAAACATTGTTAGCCTGCGCATATACATTCAATCTTCCAATGTTAGCACCATGCATGTTGTAATAAAAGCGAAGACATTTGTCTCCAAGTGTAATGGTCTGTGGTGACATCAGACGAGCCTTCTGGTTGCGTCTTTTTCCATTGGCCTCAATAAACATGTAGTGACCTGTAAAATTTTAAATATCTCCTTTCAAAAAATCAGTTTCACTGATACAGTAAAATACAAAAAGAATAAATGATTAAATAAAACTTTATATCATTATTTATCTGAAAGGTTTCATTTTACAAGAGCTTTTTGTCTTATCCTTAATCTGCATGAACTATTTTTCTTATCCTTAATCTGCATGCTTTTTTTCATTGACCATTAAACCAACAACAATCAAATCAATACTAATTTTGACATAGATCTAGCAAACTGTGTAGACAAAATATAAGAAATAAATTACCTTTTGGTGTGCCATATGTATGGTCATTAGAAGGACCAGTTCCTGTTGTAGATGTGGTACCAGTCGTTCTAGACCAATCAAAATTGTCAGTTGTAAGCTGTTTGTAACCACACAGTGCATCATCCTCAAAGTTACAGGTGATAGATGTATTCCCTGTGTTACCTGTTGCAGTGTCTGAAATTGATAAGTAAAATAAAATAAAACAGGATCAGAGGTGTACCTATGGTCCTACAGCCTTAACCACTACATATTTCTTGAATTGGCACAAGGTCATGCTTTTATAAGACTGCTTATGACATCTTTACTTAATCTATTGGAGGTAAACTGACCGTCTAACTATATTTAAGTCTGGAAAAACATGGTCTATTCATTAGTTGAAATTGGGCTTTGAACTAGGTTTCAGTAACTGTGAGTACTCTATTGTCGTTTTAGTTACAGCCTAACTGATGAGTCAAGCCCTTTTGAACTGAGTTTTACAGTGTGTTCTTATGTTCCGTTATAACACTGACTTTCCCAGGTTAGGTTTCTGATGAAGGTAAATCCGCTTTTGACACATGAAATTTGTAAAGTTTTTTAATTTTTTGAGTGCTTACACACATTTAACTTTGCTCGTTGTTAAATGCTGTACGTTTTTACATTATAAACTGTGCTCAATAATAGTACATATACAATCATACTGTAATGTGTGAAAACATACTGAAATGATCTAGATTAACTGCAAGCAAAATTTCTAAACAGGACTTAATTAAGCACAAAGAAATTATCTGATGGGAGGCACTCAAATTAATTAAATGTTGGCATTTGCATTTTCCTTAGAATTTTGAAGAATTGTATGTTAAATTTTAAATTTTATATAATGGCTGGTTAGGGTCTAAAAATAGTGCCTCCCATTCCCCATACATTTATTTCTGGAATAGCCCTCAGAATACAAAGAATACTTTTATTTATGCAAAGTCATTTCAAACGGTCCTCTTAGATTCATTAACTGGTGAATTTTGTGTTATGAATGAGATGAATAATTCTGTTATAATTCACTCATACTTTGTGGACATCGTTTTCCAGGAGTGTACATGACATCATCTATTGCTATGTCACCACGATATCCACGTCCTTTTACAGCTTCTAGTACAACCTTGAAAAGAAAATTATTATTATCACTTACAGCATACCACTGATGAATAAACAACTTTATTTTACTGCATAAACATCATGCTGTTGCTAATACTTACATACTTGGTAAAGATTAACTCAAAATCTATGGAGCTCTGTATTCACCGACTTTTGCATACATGGTATCCATGACATGTCAAGAAAGCCAATAAAAAATTAAGCAAACATGGGTTTTGGTCGTTGTTGAAAATATGTTTAATGGTAATGTGCTTATAAAAAAAGTGACACACCATTCTGAAGGTTTAAAGAGCTATTGTTCTTGTTACATGTGCATTGAAATCTGTCTTCAATCCATCTGTCATATACTTTTGTCCATCATGTCTTCTGAACTTTCAGGCCACTTTATACTAAAATTGATATTGATTCCTACTTTGCATACTGTCAAAAATATGTCTTATGATCCTGTTTCTGAACCGGTATGGCCATTATTACCCAAAATAGAACACAAGGACAGTCCTAAAGGATATGTTTGTACATTTTTTGGACATTTATAAATAGTAATTTTTGTCTCTTTCCTCAAGGACAATATTAAAGATTTTCTATTCTCTATAAATATATACCTTAATGTTGTTTTTGTTCCTAACATTGATTTTTGCCTGAACCCACTTGTTTCCTTGGTTACCATGTTTTGTAAAGACTGGTTTCCCCAAGTTGTTTCCTGACTTGAGGTACACATTTAGGTTGTTTACGCTGTCTCCATACATGTGGTACCAGAAGGAGAAACATGATGGTGGTCTTCTAGGCACTGAAAATTGTGGACTAGATAACTGGGCTTTAGATCCACTGGCTCCTTGAGACGTCTCAAAGTAGATATATTGTCCATCTAAAAATAGAATTATATAGTTAATGGTTAAGGCTTTTTTTGATATTTCAACATACTGAAGTTTCAAAGCAGATATGCTTGAGAGAATGACAACTCTTAAGATGTGGGATATAGGAGGTAAAAAAGGGGGAATCTTTGAAAAATAAGGGAACAAATGTGGTTAGTGGGAAAAATTACAAAAAAAAAACGTGATTTGGGAAATTAGCAATCCTGTGTCACCCCCTATGCTTATTAATAATGATGATGATTCTACAGGCAACAGAAAGACACATTAATGTAGATTAATATATATGTTGATATCAAATATGCTGTGTTCTTAGTTTTTATCAGACAGTGTTTCAAAACTTTTGGAAATTTCTTAATATTTATAATGTGTTATCTGTTTGTCTTATTAATTCTATAAAGAATAAACTCAGAATCTGTAGACTGACTGTAGAACATACATTACTAAACATTATAACTTTAAATTTTAAAGCAATCTTCTTTTAGTTTCGTCTATTAAAATGTGCAATGGAGATTTTATAAAATATGTGCTTATTACTAGTTTTTAGAAAAGAAACTGTTAAGGACTGTTATCTGAAGTAATGTTCTCTACTTAAAAGCATCTTACTTCCAGAGGTATGATCGCCTGTAGGACCTGTGTTTGATGTAGTAGTTGATCCTCTCTTCAACTTCCAGTCCGAATTGTCATTTTTTATCTGTGTCCAGGAACATAAGTTAGAGTCAAAATTACAGATGAGATTCTGTCCTTGGGCAGCTGTAAAACAAAATAGAACATGTTCAACAAATCATATAATGAATTTAATGATGTCTTGGACAGCTGTAAAACAAAATAGAACATGCTCAACAAATTATATAATGAATTCAATGATGTCTTGGTCAGCTGTAAAACAAAATAGAACATGTTCAACAAATTTTATAATGAGTTAAATGTTGTAGATTCGTGTATGTCCTATACAGGCCCAAATAATTAAAGCAAGATATAGTGTTTTAAATAAACTGATTGATTGATTGTTGGTGTTTAAGGCCACTTTCAGCACTATTGGCTATATCATGGCCGTCAGGTTTTATTGGTGGAGGAAGCCGGAGTGCCTGGAGAGAACCATTGGCAGGAAAACTGACAATCCTAGTCAATTAAAACTGGAGTCTAACACACTTGCCTTGAGTTCAAACTCACAACCACAGTGTTGACAGTCTAGTGATACAGTAGATGAACTAATAAGATCACTCAGAAATCAAAACCCTGGAAAACTGCAGGTTTTAGGGAAATCTAATTGAGCTCATAAAAGCCATGTTGATTTAATGTTCGACGAATTTTGCAGATAAACTAATTTAAATTGTTCGGTTTTTCGTGTATTAGCTATGAGTCTTACATAAGTAAAATCCTTGAAATAAGTATTCTGTTTGTTTTGGATTTGTTTTTGCAATTTCCCGCAAATTACCTCCCTTCAAAATTTATAGATTTTAGCACAACATCGGTTGTGATAACTAGTTTGTTCCGGTTTTTAAATTTACTTATCAGGATTTACCTTTATCAATAACTTGACTGATGTTTTGATATCGAGTACTTTAACAATAATAGCTTGCAAAATTTCTATACAACACATAGCATTTTATGTCTATCCCAGCTGGGACTAACTTATTTATTAGTTCCAGCGTCCAGTTACTATCAATTTATAACAGTCTTTTAAAAAGCTTGTTCACTATAGCAGACAGTTAGATCATTTACAAAGCCAACAAAATCAAGACTTGTCCTTTGTATCTTTCTATTTTGATGAACTTTCTTGACCTTTTCTGCGTTTAAATCTTTACGTGTTCTAATCAATTTAGTATTGAAATAAGTATTAATTCGTTTATCAACATTTAAAAAATGAAATAACGGAGTTTGTCGTTTAATTGGTTTCTTTTTCTATACATGTTTAGATATATTTTTTTTAGTTTTATTTATGAATAAAGGGCTGTGTGATGTATACGTCAATGAGACAGTTACGTACGGCAATAATTATCAAAAAGACATCGAGATGGGATTTCATCAATTGACAGATTCACTATGATCTCTCAGATGATGATCGTCCGTGACCGGAGTCTCCAAAAAAAAAAATATAGAAAATTGTGAATAAATTAAACAGAAACTCATCAATTTAAAGATCTGCTATCAACACCAAAGTTTCCAAACAACAAAAAACATTAAGATATGTAATAAGACAACCTTTGACGTTGTTCCTGGCTTGAATCAGGCAAAATAATATGTTGCCGCGGGTCAAAGTGAAATCGTGAGGTTTTTTAAAAGGCAGTGGCTATTTTGCCGGCGCCGGAAAAATAGAAAATATGCTATTTTGCTGGCTCTGATAAAAAGTATCTTAATTAAAGCCGGCAAAATACGGCATATTATTTCTATGGTAATGGATATTTTGCTGGCGCCGGCAATATAGTGAATTTGTTATTTGCCGGTTCTTTATAAAGAGTGAATTTTAATATTTACTTTCGAAAAGTACTACGAAAATGTGCATTTTCAACATAAAAGAATTAAATTATTACTCATATAGTTAGATAAGATAACAGTAACAATATTTGAGATACATATAATCGTTTAAAAACATTTATGAGTCCAAGTGAAAATACGATTTGTAAAAGGAAATAAAAATAAAATATTGAGCATCCATTTGTAGCAATGAAATCATATCAACACGTGTAGTTGAAATTACTTCTAAAATCAGTCACAGTCTAATGCTAAATGTATGCATAAGCCTGAATAAAATCTCAGATTTTTTAACTGTTTGTTGTAAAAAAATAAAAGATAAAAATCTCATTGCATAAAAATTCGATAAAACATTATACAATCTAACAAAATCAATCACATAGCTTCAAGATCAAAAACGTGTAAATTAAATTTGCTTTTGAAATAAAAGTCAGTTCGTTGAATTGCATATCGGTAAACAAAATCTTTTTTTACTGGTAAAATTGGCTTCCGCTTACCTATAGCCGACAAAATAGCATATGTTCTATTTTGCCGGCGCCGGCAAAATAGCCACTGCCATTTTAAAATCTAAATCCTCAGCACCCTTGTAATCGCGATTTAGTGAACAAACAACTGGTATAAAAATGGAGAGGCAATTCAAATCAGTAAAGGAAAACCATTGAACTCTAAAATAACGGTATAGTAGATAAAAAAAAATACTGGTACAAACAAAAATAAATCAGACGAATACCATGCTGAATATTCGCAGCTACTGAAAACAAGCTACAACTGAGTACTTAACTTTCTGTTTTGAAATCATGCCGTCCTATGCACTAATATCAGTGGCTGCACTTCGTGTCAGATTTCATAAAACAACGTCATAAACAGCACAACAATACACGATTATACGGCATTGTAACAACTTGTTCTCTTATACTATGTATGACGTTGCTATACAATCTATTTAATGAATGAAAGCAATGTTTTTTCTGTCTATGAACAAATAACATTAAAAACGTGGTGCACATTGAATAACCCGCGTAGCAGTTTATTTAAAAGTGTGCATCACATTTTTTAGGTTATTTCGAAAAGACAGAAAAAATATTACAGTCCTTCCTTATAATTTAATTCTAAATTGCATTTTTAAGGAGTAAATCATGAAAAAACGTTGATGACGTCACGGTCACGTGACAAATTATGTCTATTAGCTGATAGACAAAAAACTTTCAGCCAATCAGAAGACGTGTTACATCCAAAATTAAATTATTCACAAATAGACTGGCCAATATTGTAACATTGGTGTCTCACAACATTTACCTCCATAGGCGGATCCAGGCACCCCCCCCCCCCCCCTTTTGTGGGAAAAATTTGGTTGATTATATAGGGAATCACTGAAGCATGACTGGAGCGGGCCCCACCTTATGAAAATTTCTGGATCCGCCACTGAGTCCTCACATCAATATTGTAACATTGGTGTCTCATAACATTTACCTCACATCTCCTGTTATACGGATGTTGAACATTTTAGTCAAGTTACTTTATAGGCAAAGGAGAAGGCTACTAACGGCGAGCTCAAACAAAGTTTAATAGAATATAAATATAAAAAAAAACGAGTGTTGAGATGAAGGTACAGTCCCATGTCGTTTTTATTTTGGTATAAAACAGATTATGGTCTTCAATCAGATTGCATGTCGAATCAGTCAAATTGTTATCGAGTCACTCGAGTCAACGTTTGTTTTCAACAAAATATGTTACGATGAAAATTTCATGACTGTATGATGATAAAACAACTCATTCTCTGACATTATCAAAAAGACAAAGAACATCCCACAAAAAACTACGTAGAAAACCAAATGTTGAGCAACACGAAAACGGCGCCCCAACTAAGCTCAGGTAATAATTAATGTAAAATTACAACATCAAGAAAGCACTTAAATAAATTACTAATTTGGCATCTTGTTTATTTATGCGTTCGAAGTCACATTTTCACAAACCGGTATTTAAAAAAAAACTGCAATTATACAATCATTCTCGATGATCCGGAGCAAAGAATAGACATGCGTCTTATAAAGCATTGTATAATGTTGAGCTATTTCAAAATATTCGTCATGATTTGACACTTTTGCGTCAAATTTTCAAGTGCATTATGATAAAATCCATTGAAAATACAGCATATCAAGCTACATACATACACATATTGTTCTATACTTATTGCTCTTTACAGAGGTACAAATGTGAAATAACTTCCAAACCAGCATGCTTTCTTCACAAACTTCTTTGATGTCTCTTGTTACAAGCATAACTAAATTTTTTATATTTATTTTCTTTTCCTTTTTCTCATCCTCTTTATCACATATATGCACATACCTGAATTTTTGTTATTTTTTCAAAGAAAAAAATAGGAGAAACCGTTGAAGTGCTAGTTGTAAAATATTTATCAGTAAAAAATCTTTCAATTACCTTCTTTACCTGTAAAATACAGATTGTATTGAACCATTTGCCCATTTACTTGTTAATCAGTTATCAGTATTCTTTGCAAATACATGCTTAAGTATGTAGTACTATGTATTTATTGGCTTAAATGGGTCAAAAATATTGGTGGAATCGTTTGTTGTTAGGTAAAGGGTTTATGCAACAAAAAATATGAAAATTTGCTCCCCTTTGGAGCTCAAAATATGATTTACTTACCCGGAATTCCGACTGCCACAACGGACACTAAAACACAAAAGTATAAATTCATGCGGTTTTAAAAAAGTTCCAATAGTTCATTTAAATTTAGTTTTTCCTCTTTCAAATAATACTGAACTCAGCACATCAAGTGGCTGAGTAAAAGTGAAGTAATAGATAACGACAAGGCAGTTTTAATGGAGTATCTCCCAGATATATACAGGTACGTCTTTGAACGGCCAAAGGTTCTGATAATAGAGATACTACACTGTTAATTCAGTACATTTACATATATTTATGTAAATAATTATATAAATATTATCATTTTCTTATTTAATACGGAGAAAAATAACCAAAAGTGGACTTATCTTTACTCAAATTGTGTAGCAACGAAATTTTGAAGTTTTTAGGGTTTGTGTCCTCTCGCAAAAAAAATATCCTTTATCGTTTAAACAAACTATATTTTATTGAATCATTTGTTCAAAAAATTGATAAATAAGATATAACATTTAATTGGATTTCAAGCATATCTAGACAGTGTTCACCCTGACAGATGCAGAATATATTTAAGATTTCAACAGAAATATGAAAGTTGTTTTAATATTGTCTAACACGTTATTTAAAGTTATGATACTTAGTAGAAAACAAAGGATATGGGGTATCCATCCATATTACAAAATCAGTACATACACAGCAAAAAAACACAAAAAGCAAAGGTACGGCGCTTTTATTGCTGTTCTTCATCTCAAAGTCACAGTGAAGCCTTCAACGCGGAACAAAAAAATATCACCTTCCTAAAAGTTTAAGCCGGCCCCTAGCACCGGCTTGAGCGAAATTCTCTGCAAAAATAATTTGGATAGACTTAAGATGTTACACCACATAATCGGGGCCGGTCAAAAAAGAACATACTGGAAAGTAGTATATATTTAAACCAAAATAGTTCCTACGCATAGGTGTAAATCTAAAACTATGTAGCATATATTTTAGTAATTAAGGTATCAGATGAAAGGGGAAGGACTGGTGATCCTTGTAGAACACATAATTGACTGATAATTTTGAATTAGGCATTTTACTGGCAATATGATAAACACATGCATAATACAGCACCGCAATAACCACTTGCATCATTTACAAAACCAATACTGTATATTTGCCACTAGACAAACCAGGGCGTAACAGTAGACTGAGTAGGGAGAGGAGACACATTTCTGGCAAGCTAAAAAAAAAAAAACTAAAAAAAAAAACAATACTTTTCTATGGTTTAATAGTCTAGAAGTCAGTCAGTGTCTTCTTTCATTTACATTTTTTTTAAATTTTGAATCAAAAATTTATAATTTGCATAAGTGCAACTAGTACGCCTCTTCCAATCTGGAAAATGAAATCCGCAATTCATTGTTACCGGTTCTCTGTTATAGTTAAGGTTGATTGATTGATTGTTCTTTGTTAAACGTCCAGTATCAAATATTTAGTGCAAATTAACAATAAGTTAAATGAGAGTCGACCGGGATGTAGGACGGGAGATTTGTACTGCCACTAAAAAGTACAGTATGTTGGTTAGAGCTGGGACTAGTATACTAATATATTATGTCCCAGGTTAAGGCTGTCCATTTTGAATTGCAACAAGTTGCATATGGACCCCTCAAACAGTCAATGCGAGGGTTCTTTAACCTGCAATCTGCGAGATCCCCATACGACGTGAAGAATCGAATCCGTAAATAGATCCTGCACAGCCAAAGAGACGTTTTTTTCAGGTTGAGTTTTTCTACCGGAAGGAAAAAGTCCAAGCAGCAAAATTCAAAAGAACCCTAAACAGAAAGGTAATTTCCTTTTAGAACAGACTTGTTGATCTGCATTTGGTACAGCGTGGCGGTTAAATAACTATCAATCAGCAAATAAAACTCCGTGGTATTTTGTAAAGAAATTACTATCAGAGAACATAGTAATTCTGATCAAGACTAGCCTATTAGTATGTAGATAATGTTATCAAAAAGGGGAGACAAATTCCTATCCTTGATCGGAAGATTATTTTTTAAAACCATTCATTCATGAACAGGACCTTTTTTAGTTTTGATAAGGTCTGTCAGTGTAAGCAATCACAAGCCTTTAAATGTCCCGCGACCTTAGATTAATTTTATTTCTAAATTTCTGTAAATTGGGTATCGTATCAATCTGATTTATCACATTATCATTATATACATGTATATGAAACTGTTGTTTAACATTAGAGTATTTTATCTTATTTGTTTAATTTCTTTGTAATTAGGCCAGGTAATTGTATGTACTATGCACAATGTAGATTTCACCTAATATCGTACAGGTACTTGGTTATTATCTATTACTATACCCGTGTTGTAAACTAGAACACCCTGATGTATGACTTTGTACGACCACCATTAGGTAAATCTAGGCAAATGCTCATGAGGGAATATTTTATATGTAGCAGCGTTCAAGAATTGATATCATGCAGCGTTAATTGGTGATTTAGAAGAGAGAAAAAAAGGAGGAAAAATAAGGGCGTTTTTGTTGCCTCTAAATTGGTTTCGGTTTCTGATAGGTTTGATAAAATTTCTATTTTTTCTTCCAAACCGGTTCCGAAACCGAAACTAATTTTACACCATTCAAAAACCGAAATAATAAATAAAAACCAGTTTGACTGCAACAAATACGCCCTAATTGACTTGAAAATTTGTCGGAAAACTGAATTTGTATAATAAATATAAAAATAGGAGATATGGCGTGATTGTCAATGAGATAACTTTGATAGCCACCATGCAGAGACAAACGGGATTAATTCTAAACAACAACACAAATAAGAACATATCATGTTAGACAAAGGAGGTTGTATCATACAACCTCCTTGGTTAGATCAATTTTAAAGACTCCATATTTCGCCATTATTACACTTAAAATCATTATCATTATTCTTGTTGTTGTTTGTGTTTCCAACTGGGCTTACTACTTAAAAAATGCTTCCACAAAATTATTCATCAACTTTTCAATAAAATGCAGTGAAAAAAATACTAGTGACAAAAAATATTGACCTATCAAATGGAACCTTTAACTGGTTGTCACGTTCTCCGCAAGGATGCTATTGATTACAAGTTTGCAAACAAACGTTGTGATGAATAATAATAAATGAAATAAATGATTTATTTGTATTAAAAACAAAATAATATCCTTAGTTAAAACTGATGTTCTTGAGGTTCTGCCAGTAATAGGTACAAATCTTCAAACGGTATCATATCTACATACAAACATGTACAAATAAAATGGCATATCAACAAAGATACAAGGGTCTTGCACATCTTTATTTTAGGAGCTAAATTGTTCCATATTTAAAATCCAGTGTGAATGAACGTTTAAAAAAAAATAATCGACTTTGGTAGCTTTAATAGTCTTACGTCACTAATTATTATTTCAATTATCAGCATAAAGCCATTTTTCATGTAAATATCTAGGAATCTTACCATTTTAATGATTTAAAATCAAATATAGCTATTTGGTATTGAATTCGATTTTTTCTCAACATTTAGCCAATTCAAACTGTTTAACAAGAAAACATGATAAAGTAGAGCATGTCAATATTCTTGCATTTTTCTTCAGTTATTTATCAAGTTTATCCTTTCCACTTTCATTACAAGTACCTCATAAGATGCAACAAGAAGCAAAAAAAGATGGACGAATATAGGTAATCAGAGCGTGCCGTGTGCAGAATGTCGTCCCTCCTGTGATATGCAATGAATAAATGATGCGTACAGATATATGCATGAGTCATTGACAAAAATGTATACTGTTTTCGCACAGGCACTTGTCACAGAAAAAAAATTACCTATATACCTTAATATAGCATTAAGGTATATAGGGGAAAAAAATTCTGAGACAAGTGCCTGTGTGTTTTCGGTACATTTATGCAAATTTTGATATTTTCAATGAATGCCATTGTGAGTCTTTAAGCGACATCTTAAAATGATTACGAGCCCTAACAATAATAATAAACACGATTTACTGTAACATCTGCTTTCATGATAAAAAAATGAATGCAGATTTTTGTGCCTACAGCATTAGGGTACCAAATTTCAAATTACCTTTTTTTCTAAATTCAGAATGCCTTTAAATCTGCAAAATGTAATATTTTACTAGTATGTTTCTAATAACTCCTACGAAATATGAAATCGCAGTTGATGTTTGGTTTATTAGAAAGCGGGGGGAAATACAGAATATCATGAATTGGTATCTTAGACTTACACTGATGATGTCAATTTTTATAACCTTTGAAACGCAATTTTTAGGGTTATCTTTGGTACGACATGGAAAATTGATAAAACTCTATGAATATAGAAAAAGAAATATAAAAGATTTGTTCTAGAAAACCACAATATTGTTCATGAAAAACAAGCTTACTTTTATAAATTTTGACTTGGATGGAGAGTTGTCTCATTGGCACTCATACCACATCTTCCTATATCTATTTCTTGTATGGCTTAAAGTTAATGCCAACCTGCACATCGGACTGTGCTGTATACCAATATAATTTAATTTTGGATGTCTTCCGATTGGCTGACGTTGTTTTGTTTATCAGCTCATAGACATAATTTTGTCATGTGACCTTGACGTCATCAACGTTTTTTCATGATTTACTCCGGTTTAACCCTCTTGCTGCCGAGTTTTTTTCTTACTTTGTCGCGCCAAAATCATCTTGACGTTTCATATCTGTGACGTTGCAAAACTTGTGCCTCTCTGAAGAACAGCGCTTTCCCGCCGTCCATAATTTTCCCGCGTCAATGTAGCCGTAATTATGAAAAGCGATGTTAAAGTAATTTTATGAAAACTATTGCTCTAAGATTGTTATAAACGATGTTTTTAATACAATATTATTTAAAAATACAACTTTTAACCTTGAAATATATTTTTTTTTTATCTTTCTTGTCTTTAAAAAAAATGAAAATAATATACCCATTGCTACTAGCTTTATAAGCGCTTTTGTTTTATCTTTGTCAAGTGAAATACATAACTGATTCTTAACCACCTCTAAAATACTAAAGTATATTTATCCTTGTTATCCGATTAGCTTAGTAAACCTTGTTATAATTGATAAATACAGTTAAAAAATCTCTCAATTAATTATATAAACAAAACAACGGCCATCAATAAAAGTAAATCTAAAAACAATGCGTGTACAAATAAAATTAAATAAAAACTCCGGACAGCCGATTCTATGAACTACTTCTTGTTGTAAAGTATCAAACGTGTCAGATTAAAATTTTCATTCCAAGCCTTGTTTCGGTAGGCGAGAAAATAATTTTTATAGACGTTATTGTCCATATTCATTTTGTTTATTTTTTAATCATGTTTATTATTATTTTGTTGACCACTTATTGCTCAAAATTTAGAGCAATGTTTGAAAATACGAATTTAAAAAAAAAACAAACAGAAAAGCGAAGGAAAAAAATCTCTAAAATTAATTTCTATTGTCTACAAATGAACCTGAATCAATAATAATTCATTTTCATTTTCTATGATGAAGTACACACTGTAATTGGCATACACGAAATATCTTTTAAAATCTGTTGATTGATAAATTGTTCTCTTCTCAACGTTCAGTGGCAAGTATTTCATGCAATATTAAGGACGTCTGAAATTTAATGTACATTAAATCTGTTGCTCAGTGGGTCCTACAAAGTAAAAGATCTGTGATGAATGGCTGAAAATTGAGGTTGCCACCGGGAAAGGATGATATGTAGGATAGGAAAAAAAATCATTGGTTCACCTACTAATTTAACATCCCCATTTCGAATGAAAATAAATATTTTTAGATTAGTGCTTCAATGATGAAACGGGTATAAAATGTATTGAAATATCGTATGGCAATACAAGTATATCGGGAAACATTTGTGTACTTTTACAAAAAAAAATCTTCACTGAGAATTCAATCGCGGCATTTGAGCCCTAAAGAAATTTTCCAGTTCTCTTAAATTAAGCGTGTATTGTGAATATTAATATTTCGCGTAATCAATTATAACAGTTACCTTTTCTATGATTATTTATTAGGAATGCGATTATTATATGAGATATTCTGATTGAAAGATGTATGAAAAAAACGTTTAACAAATTTCTCGAAAGTATGCAACATTTTACATGAAATTGACGAACTAGATAATTAGTAAACACGTTAAATAAGTTGGTACTATAGTACTAACAAGCTTATGATCCTGTATCATTTTTTGACATCCGTTTTAAGTATACAAATAATGCATTTTATTCAGTTTGCTTCATTCCCGCCAACATCGTCCTTTTGGCGCCGTCTTTTGGCGTTGTCAGTGCCCAAAGTATTGTGACGTTACCATGGACCTTTGACGTTCTACACAATCAACAAGATTTGTGTGTAGAAGCCATAAATGTCCCTTTGGCAGCAAGAGGGTTAAAATGGAATTAAGAATTAAATTATAAGAAATGACTGTAATATTTTTTTCTGTCTATTCGAAATAACATCAAAAATGTGGTGCACACTTTAAAATAACCTGCATACACATTTTTTATGTTATTTCGAATAGACAGAAAAAATATTACAGTCATTCCTTAAATAATAAATTATGAAATTATAAAATTCAGTTGAAATAGACATTACTTGTCAGATCTGTATGTGAGACAACATGTAAAAGAAACATTAAGGGACACTAAATTACGATATCTATTGAACATTTTTTGAGACCTTTTCTTAATAACCGAAAATTCCTTTCGAAGATAATCACAGGATAGACTAAATTAATATTGCATCACCTATCACGAAATGTTTCAATATATTCTAGTATGCCATTATTAAGATTGAACTTTTATATGTTGTTCAAGAAATATTGATTTGCTTGTAAAGATGATGGTTAAAACTAGTAACTTTTAAAATTCGACATTTTTGTATGACCCGTATGCATTTGAGTAAAACTTTTGTTTCTTTTGTAATATGTTAATTCTATTTGATATAACATAAGACATTTTAATTAGTTGTTCGATCCATGTTTTTTTCATTGTTAAACAAGATAGTTGTGATTGTAAGTTCGCGGCCTTCATGTTACCAAACTGTGCTACAGTATAGGATATTGAAAAAGACTTCCATCGTACAAGCAACAACATCAGCCGAGGTGAAAACTTACAATATGAAGAGAAAATTGGTTCGAGTTATTCGCGAAAATTTGAAGTAAATTGAAAAACACTTTAAACCGAGACACTCGTTCTAGCTCTCTGTAGATTCAAACATCTTAAAAAGACTTGCTTTTCAGAGGTAATTTGTCTTTTAACCCTCTTGCTGCCGAGTTTTTTTTCTTGCTTTATCGCGCCAAAAGCATCTTGACGTTTCATATTTGTGACGTTGCAAAACTTGTGCCTCTCTGTAGAACAGCGTTTTCCCGCCGTCCATAATTTTTCCCGCGTCAATGTAGCCGTAATTATGAAAAGCGATGTAAAAGTAATTTTATGAAAATTATTGCTCTAAGATTGTTATAAACGATATTTTTAATACAACATTATTTAAAAATACCACTTTAAACTGGAAATATAGTTTTTTTTTATATTTCTTATCTTTAAAAAAAATGAAAATAATATAGTCATTGCTAATAGCTTTATAAGCTCTTGTGTTTGCATAACTGATTCTTAACCACCTCTAAAATACTAGCATATATTTATCCTTATTATCTGATTGTTTAGTAAACTTTGTTATAATTGATAAATACAGTAAAGAATCTCTCAAATAATTATATAAACAAAACAATGGCACCCAATGAAAATGAAAAAAAAACAATGCGTGTACAAATAAAAATAAATAAAACTCCGAGCAGCCGATTCTATGAACTACTTCTTGTTGTAAAGTATCATACGTGTCAGATTAAAATTTGCATTCTAAGCTAGTCGTGTTTCGGTAGGCGAGGAAAGAATTTTTATAAACGTTATTAACCATATTCATTTTGTTTTTTAATCATGTTTGTTTTTTAATCGTGTTTATTATTATTTTGTTGACCACTTATTGTTGAAAATTTTAGAGAAATGTTTGAAAATACGAATTTGAAAAACAGAAAAACGAGAGAAGAAATTCTCTAAAATTAATTTCTATTGTCTACATGTGAACCTGAATCATTCATTATTCATTTCCATTTTCTATCATGATCAAATACACATTGTAATTGGCATACACGAATATCTTTGATCATCTTTTAAAATTCGTTGATTGATAAATTGTTCTCTGCTCAACGTTCAGTGGCAGGTATGTCATGCAATATTAAGGACGTCTGAGATTTAATGTACAATAAATCTGTTGCTCAGTGGGTCCTACAAAGTAAAAGATCTGTGATGAATGGCTGAAAATTGAGGTTGCCACTAGGAAAGGATGATACGTTGGATAGGAAGAGAAATCATTGGGTCACCTACTAATTTAACATCCCCATTTCGAATGAAAATAAATATTTTTAGATTATAATTGCTTCAGTGATATAAAATGTATTGAAATATCGTATGGCAATACAAGTATATCGGGTTACATTTGTGTACCTTTGTAAAAAAATACTTAACTGAGAATTCAATCGCGGCATTTGAGCCCAACAGATATTTTCCAGTTCACTTAAATAAAGCGTGTATTGTGAATGTTAATATTTCGCGTAATCAAGTATAACAGTTACCTTTTCTGTGATTATTTATTAGGAATGCGATTATTAATTGAGATATTCTGATTAAAAGCTATATGAAAAAATCTTTTAACAAATTTCTCAAAAGTATGCAACCATGATTTTACATGAAAATGACGAACTACATAGTTAGTTAAAACGTTTGATAACTTGGTATTACAGTACTAACAAGCTTATGATCCTGTATCATTTGTTGACATCCGTTTTAAGTATACAAATAATGCATTTAATTCAGTTTGCTTCATTCCCGCCAAAATCGTCCTTTTGGCGCCGTCTTTTGACGTTGTCAGTGCCCCACTGTATTGTGACGTTACCATGGACCTTTGACGTTCTACACAATCAACAAGTTTTGTGTGTAGAAGCCATAAATGTCCCTTTGGCAGCAAGAGGGTTAAACCAGGTTTTTGGGGTTAGACTCTTTTTCATTTCTAATCAACATGAGAAGATCTAACAATTAAGACATTAGCTTTCCTGAAAATCAAGGGGCTCGAAGGCCGAAAGTAAATAGATTATGTAAAATTCAAATATGACCGCTGGTATCAGATAAAGCCTATACTAAGTAAGTATTATAACTGATTGTTGACCAGCTTATCTGTTGTGATATCTGAAGGGTTTTATATAACAGATTTATAATATTTTATGAATTGCAAATTCAATAGGCTAAAAAATGATCTCACAAAACATGTTTAACCCCGCCGCATTTTTGCGCCTGTCCCAAGTCAGGAACCTCTAGCCTGAGCTGCTAGCATTTGTTAGTCTTGTGTGTTATTTTTAAATTTTGGTTCATTTGTATGTTTATGAGCTAAGTGTGGCATCTATTTCGCTGAACTAGTATATAGTATTGTTAAGGGGCAAGCTATAGCCCGCCTCCGGTTGCGGGATTGTATTGGTGACCTTTAGCTTTTTTCTGCTCATTTGTCGGGTTGTTGTCTCCTTGGCACATTCCCCGTTTCCATTCTTTATGCTATTGTCATATGTTCTCTTTTATTAAACCATTAAAATAACATTAAACAAATCTGATATCAACAGCAATAATTGCCCTTTAATCGCTCTGAACTTGCTTCAAGTAAATCTTTTATGAACAGAAATAATTGTCCTTTTACTTGATTTGTGTATTGTCGTTTCACACGGGAAACTCTAAACAAAAGTAAACAACAAATGAGACGATTTAATTCCCCCTTTTTTGGACCGTTGATGTTTTTCAGTCCCTTTTTACGGTGTGTATACCACGAAATACTTAAAAACTTTGCTCAATTTTTACAAACGGGAAATCACTGTGACATTTAAATTGTGTACGGCGATTATGTATATAGTATATAGAGCTCGTAAAATAAGATCAGCGTAATAATTGACCCTAATATTCAGTTATTAACCTTATGGTCCTGACGATTCTTTAACTTTTGCAATGCACAATGTCATGCGTGTCTTAGTCTGCTTACAAATGATGTCCTAATACAAAAGAGAAAACCAACGGCCTGATATATGTTAAGAAAAATAAACGAAAAACAATGTGTAACAACACAACACAAGAACAAACTGAAAAAATCAGTTGGAAAGGGTTTGACTCATCAGATCGCTACCATAAGCAAACAAAAAGAACAATTTATAAAAAGGCAAAGGAAACAAAGTATCAATCGAAGAGTCCTCGCAGTTCGTGTAAGCTAATACAAAGCCCAATTTCAACTAATAAAGAGAGTTTGTTTTCAAAGACTAAGATATCAACAGGTACATCTCCAACAGATTTTGTGTAAAGCCGTCATTTTTTATGATACAACTGTCATAATACCTTATCAAATATTTCTCGCATTTTATAAGCAAGCCCAAAATACTCTATTTGCCTTTGCACAAATCATGCGTTCTCGCTATCTTAATACATTTTATTGCACCTCTATTCAGTTTTATATTCTATCCAATTTCAGTAGTTAAAATAAGAAAAAGGAAACGAGTGCTGCTGTTGTGCATTGTGGTTTCATGATATTAGTATTCATATAGTGAATTTTCATCCTTGTATGGTATATACACACCCGGCCTCGATCCGTTTAGAGTTCGCGTGGTTCCCTCTTTTTTTTTGTCTTGATTTTTATAATAAGAAAATAGTTTTACGAGTTTTGAACATTGGTATTCTACTGTTGCTAAATTTTTATCAATTTAAATCGTTAAGAGTTTTTGTGAAAAGATCTTCTGTATTGACCGCTCTTTTTCGTCTTACAATGCCATTTCATGCAACTGATTTTTATAGTTTGTTCTTTTCATATTGTTCTGTTACATAACTGTCCCGGGTGGTGGGTGGTTTGGGGGGGGGGGGGGGGGGCTGAGCGCTCACAAACATGTTTAACTCCGCCTCATTCGTTATGGGCCTGTCCTAAGTCAGGAGCCTGTAATTCAGTTGGTTCATGTCTGTCATATTTGTTTTTCGTAATTAGGTTTCTAGTTTTTCTTGTTTGAAATGTTTCACATTTTTTCTTGTCGGGACCTTTTATAGCCGACTATACGGTATAGGTTTTTCTTATTGTAGGAGACCGTACGGTGGCCTATAATTGCTTACTTCCACGTCATTTGAACTCTGGTGATGGTTGTCTCATTGGCAAGCATACCACATCTCCTTAGTTTTATACTTATATGATTGAAATCGTCTTATAATTTAAACAATTCATATAACAAATGTCCAATCTCAGTTTCCTTAAATATTGGAACTTTGTCATACTATACTATATATTAACTCATTTGCTGAGACAGCAATTCATAGAGTTGTAATTTACAATAAAATATTCAATATGTTGACAGACGTAATACGAATACTTATATAATGTTGTAACAGATGTTATATGAATAATTATATAATATTGTAACAGTAGTTATCTTTGAAAAAATTATAAAATGCTCAATGCAGATAACTGTCACTTTCTTTTCTATTCTACAAATCAATAATCTTATAAGGATATTTTTAATCTTTCACAGATTTATCATAATTCTGATGCAAACATTTAGCAAGTGTATCACAGCTGGCAACATAGAGGGGTGACACAAGGGTGCTCAAATCTCGATTTTGTTGTATTTTTTCCCACTCCACACGATTTTTCCTTCTTTTTCCCAGATCCTACATTTTTACCCCCTATAACCCACATCCCATCTTTTTTACCCCCTATATCCAACGTCCCAAAAGCGATGATAAAAAAATCATCCAAAATTGTCCTAAACAGTAATACATAGGACTGAACAACAATTTAATGTCATTAAACTAGTTTGTCTTTCATTCACGATTCTTGGTTCCCCCCTAAATGTATTTTTGCAACTTTGCTGTTAGATCAATTAAGAATTTGCTAACACCGTACAAACATAACCAATATTTTAAAGTCACTTCTAAAATCACAAACATCTTCAAGTAAAACATAAATATTGTTTTTATATATGCGTGTTTATTAGTAACATCTGCTACTGTAATTATTTAAAACAGCGCTATCTATTAAAAAAACACACAAAAGACAGGTTCATTTTATTTTTATTTTTTAAGCAAAACCGAACTTCAGTACAAATCCAATTGATATATGATTGATATAAATTGATGAATTAATTTTTGCCTATTTCTATATTTGCTAAACACACAACAAGCATTACTTGGCCATTGATCAATAAATCTGAAAGAATTTGAATCACTAAGTATAAAAGCAAAATGTGATTAAGTAATGAACAAATGAAGACGTGCCGTGTATTTGATGATTTTTCTCAATCAACACTTCTTTAGTTTCAGTTTCTTTACTTTTCCATTCTTTCATGTTTTGTTTTTGAACTATATAAGCATGATTAAGTGAACAATTTTTTTTTATACAGTTCTAAATCAAAACCGTTATCCTTATAAGGATTATATCTTAAAAGAAATCGCTATGTCAAATACAAAAAAGACTATAGAACACTCGCTATTTACGTTCAATAACTAAATTTCAGACAGCAATACCGTTGTTAGTCTTTACTAGTTTATTTTATGTTAAAGTTTTTTTTTGTTGGTATACTCTATCTGTCATTCATACATTGCTTCCTATAACCCTAAAGGGTTGACTTCCTATAACCCTAAAGGGTTGACTTCCTATAACCCTAAAGGGTTGACTGGGGTATAGAAACATAGTCATCCATTGGACGTCTCCGATGAAAATCTTTACTAACCCGGGGCGTCCGATTGGTTGTGCGGGATGTGTAAATACACATGAACATACTGTTAGAATGGGGACGTTAAATCCTGCGGGGTGCATAAATACACAGTCACATACTGTTAGAATGGGGACGTTAAATCCGATCTATTGTCCAGCCAACTATGCAAGTAGTACTAAATTTACACTCGTCTTGAATATGCATGGGCTATTTGCCACTGGACACTTAGATAACAACAATCAATTAATCTTATAAATACGTATATGTTTCCCCTTTTGTAATTTTACATTTTTTTTTAAATATTGAAAATCCCTTGATGGCTGTTAAAACCAAAGACAGTCAGGACCTAATATCTACAAAAGAAAAAAAAACAGGGTCCTTATATTTGTGAAACAAAAACATCGGGACACTTGTATTTTTGAAACAAATATGTCAGTCAGGGACAGTTATATCTGTAAAAACCAAAGCAGTCAGGGACCATTATATATGCCGCAAAAACCAAAGCAGTCAGGGACCATTATACCATATGCCGCAAAAACCAAAGCAATCAGGATAGTATACCTATAAATCAAAAACAGTCAGACTCCTTCTTTAACATGTCAAACCAAAAGCAGTCAGGACCTTAAACAAAAAAGCCAAGACCCCCTGATACATGTAAAACAAAAACAGTCAAGAGATCCTTACATTTGTAGAAACCAAAGCAGTCAGGACCACATACATGCAAAACAAAAACAGTCAGGACCCTGATACCTGTAATACAAAAACAACCAATACCCTTATACACGAAAAACAAAGAGTCAGGATCCTCATATCTGTTAAACAAAGTTAGTGACCTTTGATGCCAGAATTTTTATATTTATAAAAAAAACATAAGTATAATCTACTTCAAATGTAGGGATTATAGAGTCCAACGTCATTATATTACAATTAAATTACCAACAAGCGTGATTAAAATATAATAATGATGGCGAATCAAACGTCATTATATTACAACTAAATTACCATAAAATGTGATCAAAACATAATGATGATAGTTCTTGCAAATGTTAAATGCGTTTACCATTTCTATAAATACTTTGTTACGTTGGTAATGTATGTTTTATTGCCCCTCTTCTACATTGGCTGTACTTGTTTGTCTGTTGTCTGTGTCATTGATTCGTTTAATGACAGCATTTATAATTGCATCCTGGTCTATATATTCAAAAATGTGGGGCGCCTGCATTAGAATTCCCAGAGTTCCACCAATTGTCACAATGAGAAAGATGTAAAATAAGAGCCGATCTAATACTAAGGCTACGTATCGCCAGTCGTCTAGGACTGTTTCAAATTCATTCTCAGCTTCAAGGTGATGTGTAATAAAACTTAACGCTTCAGTGGCTTTGAATAACTCAGCAGTTACTCTTTTGGGAACATTTTCTGTATTCCCAGCTTTGATATCACATTTCATGTGGTTCAGTCTGCAGTTTGAATGAGGAAATTCTGATAAATCTAACGTACTCGAATGCCTGCTAGAATTTCTACTGCTTGACAAAGGATAGTGTTCTGCTGGTAAATAACTGTTTTGTTGAACTTGTTGTCTTTTAAGTTGTTTTGCCTTGTTAAGTGCAGCCTGTTCATGCAAGGAACGCCACCTAGTGTCATGATCAGGACGTTCCAGATGTAATAATTTCGGAAGCATATTTAAAAACACAAATCGTACCCAGTACGGCATTTTATGTGTTCTCGGGGTTCTGTAGTTTCTATTGATGACGACCACTGTTAAACAAATAGCCGATATGTTCATTATAAATGTAAATAGCAAATATTTTGCAATTAAAGGGATCTGCAATGATGGTGGTAGAATCTTTGATATCAGTAGCAGAAACACAACCAAGGCAAGTAAAATCGAAATACAGAGAGTTATCTTTTCTCCAGCATCAGCTGGTAGTGCAAATACACAGATACTGACAAATGATACCAGAACGCACGGTATTATCAAATTGACTGTGTAGAACAAAGTTTTCCTTCTTAAGACAAACTTGAAAACGATGAGATACTTGTAATCCTTCGTTTCAGAATCATTAATCCTTTCAATTTTTCCAGGAAATTCAATTATATCCCAAGTACCGCTTTTAAGGTAATCAGTCGGGTCAACATAATCCATATTCTTATAAAAACTAAATTTTAACTGGTCTCCTTTATAAGTCCATGATCCAAACTTCATTTCACAGATTTGTTGATCAAAGGGAAAGTATTCCACGTCTATTGTACATGAGCTTTTATATATGGCCGGGGGTACCCACGAGTGGTTACCGTTGGATCCCAGAACTACGTTTGATTTGTAGGAGACCTCATATTTTCCATCAGCATTGTTGAACAAGACAATGTCCGGTTTCCACATCTTTGCATGATCGATACGTATATTTTTCACGCCGCCATATTCTTCAGGATCCCATTTAATCTGATAGTCATGCCAAAACATCTGAAGCCAAACATTCGTCTTCATTATTTGGTTCTTTTCATCGATATTGATCAACTGACTTAAAGCCACATTGAAAGCCACTGTAAGTGTGTCATTAACATTTCTTACTGGTCTGATCAAGGGATTATATCTCCCATGTTCAAATAAATCATTAACTAGCCTTACTTCATCCTCACTGTTTAATCCTCGTGTATGGCGCGTAGTCCGACACGATTTTATAATCATTACAATTAATAAAAGGAATAAATGGTTAAATCCAAACATCATAACAAACAATCATTTTCTGTCTGTCGCCATTACACTTATTGTATTTCTCATGAATACACCGTGATACACAAATTGATAGATATTTTCAGTGTGTTGTTTGTAAGATATTAAGGAAGAAATGAATGATGAATTACGCTGCAGTTGTATTGAATTTTTTCTGTCCTGTTACATATAAATCATGCATGACGTCTTACATAATCATATTATGTAAATTTTCCCGCAAACAGATCGAAATATATTATACGCTGAATAGAATTTTCATAATATTTTCTTTACCATTACAGTGTTAAATTTTCCTCAAAAACAATGTTTACCAAACTAGAGGACTTGGTTTCATTTATTAAAATTAGTAATATGTATAATTGTTTCCATTTAATTCTATTTCATATTCTGTGAAATAATGTCACATAATACCCATCCTAGGTCATCATGTGAAAATGGTGTAATCATTTTATGTACGTGCATGTTCAAGACAAAAAAGGCGATTACTCCCAATAAATTTCTTTAAATTTTGAGATACATTAAGTTCCAGAGAAATCTGCAACAATTTTTAGAAGATATTTTAAAGGGATTTTTTTTCGCAAAACACTTTTGATAATATTCTAGTTGTAGCTTGGAATGTCTTACCCTAACGATTTTGAGCCATCTAATTGTATAGGATATATGGTTTGGCTTAAAAGCTGAAATAGTGACTAATTATTGACAGAACCTCGTAGTATAGTACAAAACTGTAAACCCTCTATCGTTGGCAGAAAAATGCTTTATTCAATTTATTGTGTTATCAATAACTTCAGTGTTGGATTCAGGATTTACAAAAGGGGAGAGCGGCGCAACTGAAAAAAAAATCGCCTGAAAGGGAGACAGCAGTCAAAATAAAAATAAAAATGTACTACCCTCGATTCTAGAATTCATTCAAGACATACATTTTTGTATTATTCATAATCATCAGTCAATATGTGTTCTACAAGGATCACCAGTCCTTCGCCTTTCATCTGATACTTTAATAGCTAAAATATATTCTACATAATTTATATTCACACGAATTATTTTGTTTTAAATCTGTACTACTTTCCAGTATGTTCTTTTTTTACCGGGCCCGATTTGGTGGTGTTACATCTTACAAAGTCTATCCAAATCATTTTTGCAAAGAACTCTGCTCATGCCAGTGCTAGGGGCCGTCTTAAATTTGCTGTGAGGTCAGAGTTTTTTTTTTGCGCCATGTTGAAGGCCTCACTACTGTGACTTTGAGATGAGGAATAGCAAATAAAAGCTCTGTCCCTTTGCTTTTTGTGTGTTTTTTGCTGTGCATGTACTGATTTTGTGTCGTAGATGTATACCCCATAACCTTTGTTTTTTATTATAAAACATTTGTTCGGCCATAAGTGGGGCATTTCGAGACCTATGGATCCGCCCCTGCTATTTGATATGTTTATTTTTGTATACCACCAAAGATATTTTTTCACATTTGACGAATACTGAATGAGATTTCCCGCAAAACAAGGCTTACTGGCATAAAAGAACGTCAGTATATCCATGTATTTGGCTTGCTGGGCAGAAATTAAGTGTCCCTGTACGTGATGACCAGAAAGCGCTTCTTTCTTAATACCTTCAATTAAACATAAATTTGAGAGATTCTTTTCAAACATCTATATATGTTTTTTTTATTTTCTCTAAATCTTAATCAACTTGTTCGACTCTGTAGCTAGCAGATTTGCAGTCTCAAGGGGTATCAACCGCGCCTTGAAGTCACTATTTCAGTACTGACATAGAATAACGTTCAGACAAAGTCCTTATGGTTTAATGCTTTGTATAAGGCCTTTTGGTTTAATGCTCTGTTTAGGCCTTTTAGTTTAATGCTCTGTTTAGGGCTTTTAGTTTAATGCTATGTTTATGCCCTTTAGTTTTGATGCTCTGTTCATGTCTTTTTGGTTTATTGCTCTGTAAAGACCATTTTGGTTTAATGCTCTATTTAGGCCCTTTTGGTTTAATGTTCAGTATAGGGCCTTTTGGTTTAGTGCTCTTTATAGGCCTTTTTGTTTAAAGGTTTTGGATTTGTATAAGCTCTTATGATGTAATGCTCTGTTTAGGCACTTATGATATAAAACTCTGTTTAGGCCCTTTTTGGTTTAATGCTAGATGTTTATACTTTTTAGTTTAATGCTATGTTTAGATCATTTTGTTTTAATGCCCTGTAAAGGCTCTTTTGGTTTAATGCTTTCTATAGGTCCTTTTGTTTAATGCTTTGTATAGACCCTTTTGGTTTAATGTTTTGTTTATGCCGTTTGGCTTAAAGACAAATCCTTCTATTCAGATCTACCAATAATATCTTCTTTAAATTTTGATTTCAGTTAAGGCTAGGTAAAAGCTTTAAAATTAGCAAATTAAAAAAATGGGGTCACCGACTTCGTTTTTGATTTAAAACACCATCTTTTTCATGGAATTTGGAAATCGGGACTTGTAGTTATCAGCTGTGTAATATTTTATGTAAAGACCGTTTCACATAAAAATTGTTTAGTTTGTTTACCTTGTTGCTAGTAGACATTATATGATTGATATTATAGTCCTCTGAGGGACAGATGATAACGATAAGTTGCTATAATAATTTTCCCGCCTTTTATATAGTGAAATATCTATAAAAAATCAAGTTTAAAAAAAATGACCAATGTTTTCTCAAGGAAAATTCGATAGATTTTGCTATTAAACAAAATAAGAAAATATAAACGTAGGGTCACCGTACTGGAAAAAGAGATATTTTTCAATAGACGTTAATTATCTAAATTGGCGGGAATACATTGCGCCAATTCTGAAAGCAACGTCGAAATACGTTAGGCCTAATCGGCGATGTTTTGACAGGTTATATGGACAATTCTTTGCTGTTTTGTTTGTTGATTGTTTTCAGTTACACTAAATGATCAATGGTAGTTAGTTTTTAGCGTAGACAAATAATTTAAATGTGGTAAGTCGAATACAATACGTTTTACGAATACCGGTATCTGGAATGAAAATTTCGATTTAGTCAATAAGAATGTTCATGTTTTGAAAAGAAATCCCTTTTTGAACAACGAAGATTTTTTATATAGTTACGTGAAAAGCGATGTTAAAGTACACATTTTATAAAAATCGACTATATAGATAGTGAAAGGAGAGCAATAATCTCTCAGACTTTGTTTTATGTTGAATTACAAGAATGTTCTTCCTTTTCATTTTGATGATAATTACTTAAAATTAACTAAATTCTAACATAATTCCCGTTTTAGGTCATTTGTAGGCATTTGTAATTGTATTACATGTTTAGAAATATGCTAGATTCTCAGTCTGAGTACACACACATTCAGCTCTTATACTATGATTTTTTTGTAAATGACCCTAGCGTGAAATAAAATTCATGGGAACCTACCCGATCTCTTTTGTTTCATATCAACTCTTGTCAAATGATTTTTTGTTTGTTTGTATTCCTCTTTAATTCGTTTTTCCGACAACTACTGAACAAAGAAACGTTTGTGTTAAAGAAATACTTAAAATTATGCACCAGATACTTGAAAATGTTGATGTGCCATTTCACAAGCGTTTAACCTTGGCAAATCGAAACAAAATGGTTGAATAAAAAAAGAAACACAGCGTTATTTAATTCACAGGATTATGTTCACTCTGTAGATGTATTCTTCATGTTACATGTATGCTTCGTTGGGTTAACGTTACTGTATTGCTGGCGTTAATCCGAAATCAATCAGTATATGCATGTAGAAATGCAAACGCCACACACACATTCAAAATATTTCAGGGCAATTTTCAATATATGTACATACCGACTGCTAGCCTATTATAAAGATATCTTGAATTTAGATCACATAATTGATGATTTACTTTCTTACTTATTTTTGGAGAAGAATTGAACGCATGCTTTAACGATTGACAATTAAGAACAGATAAGTTTATACAAGTATGAAGTAAATGAAAGAAACATTATACTATAATTTGAGTGACTCATCTTGCTGACGCATTTTCAGTTTCGGTTTTGTTTCTTAACAGTCTTTTTTGTTCTTGGATAATGGTGTATACCCCTCATCTCCTTTCATTAATATAAAAAAGGAAGGCCTATCCCATCAACATAGAACATAACCATGATAACCACCTCCTCTATGATATTCTGGTATACATGTTTCTGTCTAGACCAGTCGGTTTTGTTTTTAATTGATCACGTTCTGGTAAATACATTTCCAAATGTCTTCTTTGATCCCAACTGAGTCATCTTAGGGTATTTGTTTGTTTGCTTTTATGTAAATTCCTTCCTTTTTCTTTCTATTTTCTCTGTATACTTTGTAAAAATATGGTGTATTGGTATACATATGGTACAAATAAATGATATATATTAGAAAATCGGAGATTTATGACAATAAGGGGGGGAGGGACTATGCCGGGGGGTTCAACATAGGTTCCTGTCCTCACGCACCTATGATTTCATGTGCATATTTTTATGTTTCCTAATTTGTTTTGTTATGTTGTTCCTTGAAAACGAAAACAAACAAAACCGTTGTATTCTTTTTAGGAACACGCCAATAATCTGCATACAATTTCATTTCATTCTCGGCAAATCAGCGTTGTTAAACGATTTTCATTCTCCTTCATCGGATCAAAGAAGAATAACTCTCATTAACGTTTCCAGTTCGCGGAAACAGCGACGTCATAAACAGTTGACGGCATAATACTGATGTGCTTGTATGTGCGCATAAACTATGTAGAGGGATTTGTCTGCCGTTTTGGTTTTATTAATAAATGCTCTGTTTTGACCGTTTTGGCTTAATGCTTTTTTTACGACCTTTTGATTTAATTATTTGCATAGGAACTTTTGGTTTAGGCAATATACTATATTTTTGACTTTCCGAATTTTTATTGTCGATACGGTACCTGATGAACTCGCGGGTATCACCCAGTGGTTAATATGCACGTATTACCGATGGTTTATTGCATTCATTTGAAAAATGTGCAAAATTTTACAAAATCTTAACTATCAACCCCACCAGGGAAAGTTGACTTTCTGCTATACTTTGTAGGTCTTTTAAAAGAATATATATAGCTCAACAATCTATATTCATACATCCTAATGTTACACAGCTGCTGGCTTCAAGTATTTTGTTTTTATAAAGGAAAATAATCAGCGTCAATTGTAGAGAAACACTGCATGTTTCAGTTTTATGTGAGAGATAGAGATATTACATGTAGCTTCCGAAAGTACCTCATTTGTAATCTTATCACACCTGCTTACTTTAAATTTGGACGTTGTAATAATGTAATCTGATCCTTTACAATCTGTGTAAAATGAGATATAAGCATTAAGTTTTCAATGTTTTTTTTTTATTCATTAAGCATGATCACACGAAAGATATAAATGTGTAATGGATTAGATAACTCATGCCAAAGATGATACATGCAGTAGGCGTAGAAAATATAACATGATTGTATTCTTGATGAAGTTATAAATCAATATACCACTTACATCTAGATAAAAATGCATATTGCTTGTTTGTCGCTATGACATGCAAAGTATATGTTATAAATCTGTGATTTTTGTTTTAACATACCAGTACATGTCAGATAGAATGTCGGTAAACTGTTGTCGTGTAAGGGTAAAACGTGGCATCAAAACTTATAGTACCTTTCTAAATTTAGTTACTTGTAAGTCAATGTGTGTGTATTGAACAGGATCTATAAGATACATTTGGATAAATTATCGACTAAAATATATTGCAATTTTTACAAAAACTTAGATTGGAAAAACACTTCAAGCAAATTTAAACATAGAAGTCTTTTGCTATTCTTGTCATACCACTTTTGGTTACTAGTATATTAAAGTATTCTCTGTGTAGCTGTGTTCCAAACTTTTGACTTGAGCGCATTTCTGATGTTGATAAATTCAAACTTTTGACTCTGAGCATTCCTGATGTAATTAAATTCAGACTGGAACCTGATGTTCAGTGGTTGTCGTTTGTTGATGTGGTTCATATGTGTTTCTCGTTTCTCGTTTTTTATATAGATTAGACCGTTGGTTTTCCTGTTTGAATGGTTTTACATTAGTCATTCTTGGGGCCCTTTATGTTATAGCTTGCTGTTCGGGGTGAACCAAGGCTCAGTGTTGAAGGCCGTACTTTGACCTATAATGGTTTACTTTTACAAATTGTGACTTGGATGGAGAGTTGTCTCATTGGCACTCATACCACATCTTCTTATATCTATTTTGAGTTAGCGTCCCTGGTGTAGGTATGTTCAGAATTGTGACTGAGCATTTCTGGTGTTGGTAAATTTAGACCTTTGACAGAGCATTTTTACAATTACGTCATAATGTACAGTTTTCATGAAAACATTGAAAAATACAGAATTTATGCAGTTTTCCATCCTTATTTCCATTGTGGAAACATCATGTGCAGCCAAGAAACAACAAAATAATTTAAGAGCAGCCTTATTATAACTATTGGCATAATCTCACCAAATATAAAGTTGTTTCTTGAGTCTACATAGACTTTTCCAATCTAAAATATACTTAAAATTTTATGAAAAACAAGGAAAATCAAGAAATTTTACAAAATATACAACTTTTGTCATGGTTTGTTGCCATGGTAACTCGTTAAATGTGAAATTTGTTTTTATTTTCTGAATACCTTGTACCTTAGTCTAGTTAGGAACAATTTAAGAATATGTATGATAACTTTTGAATTTGCAGTAATGTTTGGGCCAAATAAGGGCCTTATTGCCCCTACTCCTTTATAATTGTAAAATAGAATTTTGACAAAGCATTTTTGGTGTTGGTAAATTCAGACTTTTGACTGAGCATTCCTGGTGTAGGTAAATTCAGACATTTGATTGAGCGTTCCTGGTTAGGTAAATTCAGACATTTGACTAAGGGTTCCTGGTGTAGGTAACTTTAGACTTTTGACTCATTTCAATGAATACTATTTGGCTGCACCACTCCTGTCATGATCTACTGACTTTGCATGGTATAAATGTTTAAGTTTGTTATAAGGTCACTCCTGTCATGATCTACTGACTTTGCATGGTTTAAATGTTTAAGTTTGTTATAAGGTCACTCCTGTCATGATCTACTGACTTTGCATGGTTTAAATGTTTAAGTTTGTTATAAGGTCAGTTTGAGGAAAATAAGGTATCATAAATAAATGATATTTAAATAGCAGTTGCATCAGAATTAGCATATCTCATTTCCAGGGAGATTATTTGGCTGTGCACCTTCAGTCACGATTTATTAACTATGCATGCTTTGCATAATTTATATGTTAAAGTATTAACATTTTAATTTCAACATAGGCAAAACATATCCCCGTCTGTCTTTACAGTTTATTTAATCAGTTGCTGAATCGTGAAAATGAGACCAAGGACTGGGGACTTGTCCTACATGGAAACTTCACAACATAAGGCATATGTAAACCAGATATGAAAAATCCAAGTCTTCTACATTTTGAAATATAAAGCTTTATAGAAATAGTTTGATAAGTCAAACTGTTTAGCATCCCTTTGTCTCGCATTCTGTGATGTATGTTGCAGGCGAGACGAAAATTGTAGAGTGTGAACTGCTGCAGTGGCATCTGCATATTTTGTAATATGACATTAAAATATATGTAAATGATATTAAAGACAATGAACTGATATCATTCAAATGTTTAACCTGTTTCCTCCCTTATAATGTGAGTCGTTAATAGTCTTGCCTGAGTTGGGATTCAATTCCCATTTTTATGGCATGTTGTTTTAAGCGATTGTATTACTGTCTAATGGACATTTATACAGCATCTCCTTTTAATATTGTACATAAAAATTACAATAGATAACAAGTTTAACATAAGTTTAAAACTTGTTTTACAACAAGTCACATTTGGTTTTTTTTCATTAATTGTTTTGTAATAAATTAAGAGTGCTATTTTTTGTTGTTGTTTCACATTTTTCATGTCGGAGACTTTTATAGCCAATTATATGTTATGAGTTTTTCTCATTGTTGATTGCCATATATGGTGGCCTATAATGATTTACAACCACTTCAACTTAAGTCTGGTGGATAGCTGTCTCATTGGCAATCATACCACATCTTCTTTTAATATTTATAATGCCAGTCTCTTTGCATTGCAATAATAGCAATGTTTATTCTCAATTCAATAAGTGTGATAGCTGAAGAATTATTTTGATGTACATGTTTGTAACTCTAACAGAAAACTGCAATACAAAATTGCTGAGATGATGTTTCAGTGATTCTCTATAGGAAAAGAAAGTATGGGGGAAAATATAATATCTGGGGTCTCAGTCATAAAGCTTTACTCAGTACTCTTGAGTACAAAAATTGTGCTTGCAACATCAAATCAAGCTTGTTGATTGGTTGAATTCTGAGTCCCAGTATGATAATCATACTTGAAATGTTTATGACCACAAGGCCAGGTCAGCAGAGCTGAGTACAGCATCCATTTTTAAGGAGAAATGGCATTGTATAACAGATTATCGCATGTTTTATTTTATTTACAGTATTTACATCAATTGTATCCTAAATTTTTAATACGTCCTCCATAATTTTTTTAAATGGGTTACAGAAAATCGTGAATACCATACTTTATGATCAATTAATCAGTTTCAAAATGTTCACTCTGCTAATATCAAGGAAGATTGTAATTGTTACCTGATAATGATACATTATTGATAGAATAAAGTTAGACTTTAAATCTTTTTTGGGGTATTATATAGTAAGTATTTCATGGAAATGATAAACAGATTTTCCAATAACAAACATATCCTTATATTAACAAAAACTTTAGAAATCAGTTCTACAGATTGTACAATGACACTGTTAATTTTAAATGTTCCTGAAAATAAAAGGTTCTTGTAATGTAATTAGTTTCTATATTTTAAATGTTAAATAAATATATATATTACATCAACCATGTTAATGTGCTATATAAGATCATATAATAATACAATATATATATTTTTGTTCAACAATTAAAAAGACAATAGTTTCATCACACAAGAAACAAGAAAATATTTGCATAATTTTTCTTACAATTTGTTATATAAAATAAGAAGATGTAGTATGACTGCCAATGAGACAACTCTCCATCAGAGACCAAATGACATAGAAGTTAACAACTATAGGTTACCCTAATATGTTCATTCTAAATTATTAATCTGTTGTCAAACAAAGAATTGATAAATATTTTAATCTGAAAACACAAAAAAAGGTTGTGCAAAAAGAAGTAGGTATAATGAGATTATTCTATTTTCAAAAGTGTTCATACTTTCTTAAACTTTTCTAATTATGCTTATTTACTGTAAATTCAGAAATTATTGGAAGGTTTTTATAAATGCAAATAATGCGACTGGATAAATATCGCAATAATAAGAACTCACATTCTGATATCTGATACATATATCTGTATGCAGATTTTCCAGAAATCGCAAGAATTAATCTCATATTTTTGTCCATTTTTCAAAAATCGCAATAATAAATGCACACAATAATTTCTGAATTTGCAGTAATTGCTAAATTTATAATAAGTAATTGGCAATTTCAGTACAGAAGTATTACTGATGAAATCACAGTGATAGTAAACATATTGTCATTAGTGGTTTATTGAGATTAAAATGGTCATTTTCTGCACAGTGCTTAATCAAATTAAATTAAAGCAACACCCTGTATTTCAATCCCATAAAGTATCTGTTAAAGAGACATTTCACAGCAAAATATTTTCCTGGCAAGGCCTTTGTTCAAAATAAAACCAGTCATAATAAGAAAAAAAAACAAACAATTTTGTCAATTTTTGCTTAAAAGAAGTACTAATACTAGTGAAAGACAGATATTGAAAGGCTAATATTACAATTCAAAGAACCAAAAAAAAAGGGTTCTCCATTTTCCACAATACTCTACAAACAGTATTGTATAACAGTTAAAAATACTAGCAAAAATACAAACATAATTTTTTACTATCTAAATCTTCTTTGATGCCCACTAAAACAACTAAAAAAATATAAATTACACGTAATTCAGTAACATAAAAAAATGCATAAATCTTAACTCTTTGTTGAACACATGCTAAAAAATAATATAGAGTCCAACCCTCAACCAAAAAAGATAAGAATACAGCAAGTTTACTTTGAAACCAGTTCACATAAAGAATTTATTTCTTGCTTGTGTCTATGTTAATTTAATGAAAATATTTATGAAATTTGTCTATTTTTACTAAAATTTGACCTCACACCAGAAAAGTAATCAATCGCAAGCTGGTTTTCACATTTGATTTAATATTAAATTTTGAAGTTTAACCATGTGATCCATTGTGATGAATAATTGTATCAAGGTATCTCTTCTGGATATGGTGCATTCTAAGTAATAACACATTTAAAAAGTGGTGATACTAAGCATAAGAAAAATACAGAAATATAATGCATAACTGAAACAACAATTTGAGATAAAGTTAGAATAGTAAATTTGTTGATGGTTTTCACAGACTGTGGATTCATTATTATTCGTTGAATACCAATTTTGGTGGATTTCGTGGATAAAGGTGAACCATGAATTTAAATGGTCAACAAAGTGCAAATTTTGTAAAGGCTTGTATGCAGACTTTGGCAAGACCACGAAATCAAATATTCATAAAGTACAATTTTTCCTTATTATTCAAATTGGAACCCACGAAAATAATAGAATCCACAGTATAAGTTTCATTACTCCATCAAATATTATTAAACTTAAACATGGACAAGTAAACATCTGTTTTATGATTGGAACACTTTATGCCTCTACCTTCACAAACAACTAAAGATGTCAAGCATAATAAACAAAACATAAATACGAAAATACAGTTTAAACATTCAATATTTTAAAACGCGATTTATCAATCAAGTTTTGAAACAAATAAATAATGCTCATAGTACATAATTTAAATTTTTCTTTAAGTGAATTTATCAAAACTTAAAATTAAACCCAATGTTACTAATTTGTCACATACAAATATCAGTTTTAGAGAATAACAATTGTCATCAATGTTAAATTAAATAACAAAATTTTACAAATTTTTAATATCGGTTTTCTCATAAACTATTGGTTTTCTCATAAACAAATGTCCCAAGACAAAGATTTTTACATAATTTGTCCCTCTTTCAAAAAAAGAAATAATTTCCACTGTTCAATATAAAATCAAACACTGTTGACTGATAGCAAATCTAAAATATATATTTGTTAAAGGTTTGCAAAATAAAAACCGATATATCTAACAAAACAATACAACAAGCACCAATTCATACTTTTACAATGTACAACCAAGCTTTAATACTTAACATTGCATTCCAACATTCAACTGATATAAGAAACATTCCACAAATAAGGTAAATGAATAAACATAATGAACTAAATTGTAGTGAGTTTTTCCTATATCCCCTTCACCATGTATATACATCCTTCAAATAAACTGTTCCCAAGTTAATCTAATCAACTCTATTGCTTGATACGGCAGTGAAAGCAAGTTACAAACAGGAACCAGTAAAACATTGTAATGGTGGATGAAGCAGCAGGGAGACAAACAGAAAGCAAAGAAAATCTGTAGCAAAAACAATAGCTAAAGATAGACAAGAAGAGATAAATAAGGCACACAAAAGACATGGTGATGAGAATTGTTGTATGGATACTAAACTGATTTGTTTTTACTTTCCTTCTTTCTATTCTGCACATATACATTCTTTCATTGGCTTACCCATAACAACGTCCAAAAGTATCTGATGAACTTTATCTGATTTAAACTAAATGTAATAATTTGTATCTAATTTTTTTCATTTGTAAAGTCATTTGTTATGTTAATTTATGGCTAAGAAACCATTATCACTTTGTCAAAGATACACAAAACCAATATAGTCAATGTCATTTATGTCATGATGAACCATTAAATGTTGTATGGTCAGATTCTGCTGAAATTCTCGTTATTTAATATTAAAATCCATATCCACTCATACTGAATGAAATACTTTCCAGTACCAAGAAATAAATTTATCATCAAAAATAAGAACAATTGTTAAATACTTAAACACATAATCTAACAATTTGCTACATATAAATGGAGCAGATCTGATTAACTATGTGTAAAAAAGTGTTCTGAAATAGTATACATGTATATATACATGTTTGTACATATGTTGTCAGATTCAAAAGTAATTATGCCAGATATAGTCCAGTAAAGTGCTAAAAAAGTTTATGATTAAAAAATAAAATGGTCATAAAATGCATTGATAAATCTGACTTGCTTATATGACAATATCACAATTGTTTGACTTAATATGAATATTGCGTTATCTGATCACCCAAAAGTTTCTTGTGAAGCATATACAATATACAAGAATCCATCTTCGTCTTTTTCTTTCCGGTAAACATCTGCTATTGGTGTTGTATTACTGACCAAGGTTCTGTTGTTAACTAAGAGGTAGAATGCTTGAGAGGAATTCAACTGCAATCTTCGTCTGAAATAAATATCAAAATATCACTCATTATATATTTATTCTTAAGATCTGACATCAGCACATAATTCTATTAAGGACATAAAACAAGAGTGCACACACTGAAATGTTTTGCCTGTTTTACTTATCATTGAATTCATGTTGAAAGTCTTTAATATAAAGGTTTCACTACAAGTATCACAAAAATTTAACATTATCAATGTTCTATGAAAATGAGGTCACGGTCAGATGAACCATGCCAGACAGATATGTACACCTAACAATCATTCCGTACACCAAATAAAGTAGTCATGTCGCTAAAAGTAGCTAAAAAACAGATCAAACCACAAACTATTAACACAGACCAATGAACCATGAAAATGAGGTCAAGGTCATTTGAACCCTGCCAGACAGACATGTACACCTTGAATCATTCCACACACCAACTATAGTTGACCTGTTACTTTAATATAGTATTAAACTGACAAAATTTTGCAAACTTATCATGGACCAATGAACAATAAAAATGAGGTCAAGGTCATATGAACCCTGCCAGACAGACATGTACACCTTACAATTGTTTCATCCACTTAATATGATTGACCTGTTGCTTATATCTGAAAAATAGACCAAACCACAAAAAACTAAATATTGTCCAATGAACCATGAAAATAAGGCCAAGGTAAGATGAAACCTGCTAGACAGACATATACACCTTACAATCATTATAAACACCAAATATAATGGCCCTATTGCTTACAGTATCTGACAAATAGACAAAATTATGAAAACTCATCATTGACTAATGAACCATGAAAATGAGGTCAAGGTCATATGAACCCTGCTAGAGAGACATGTTCAAAGGTCATATGAACCCTCTTAGACAGAAATGTTCACCTTACAATTGTTTCATACACCAAATATTATTGACCTATTACTTTTAATATCTGAGAAATAGACCAAACCACAATAACTAAACATTGTCCAATGAACCATGAAAATGAGGACAAGGTCAGATGAAACCTGCCAGATAGACACATTCACCTTACAATCATTCTATACACCAAATATAGTGGTCCTATTGCTTATAGTATCTGACAAATAGACTAAACTACAAAGCCTAAGAATTGTCCAATGAACCATGAAATTGAGGTCAAGGTCAGATGACACCTGCCAGTCAGACATGTACAACTTACAATCATTCCATACACCATATATAGTTGACCTAATGCAGCTTTTTGCCTATAGTATCTGAGATACGGACTTGACCATGTAACTTAATCCTTGATCACTGATCCATGAAATGAGATCGAGGTCAGGTGAACCATACCTGACAGACATGAAGACGCTGCAAGGAACTCATATACCAAATATAGTTATCCTTTTACTCATAATAAGAGAGTATTTCACTTGACAAAAAAAATGTGTAATTTTTTTTCAATCAGTCACTGAACCATGAAATTGAGGTCAAGAACAATGGACATATGACAGATGGAAACTTCATAACATAAGGTATCTATAAACAAGGTATGAATCATCAAGTTCTTCTACTGTCTGAAGTATAAAGCTTTATACAAATAGTTTACACTGTTGTTGCCCATTGTAATTCCTATGTCTTAAATTCGCATGTGAGACAAAAAACAAAGTTTATAACTAAATACAATCATGAACGATGATAGTACATTGTATTGAAATTAGAGGCAAAATACAAGGTATCAACTGATTAAACAAGAGGCCCAAAGGTCCTTGTCTCACCAACCAGGTATCTATGAAATATATTGAAAGGGATTTAAAGAAACAGACAGGAACTTGCTATACACAGCTTAATCTTTTAATGCTGTATGTTGCCCTTAAGTTGTCTGTTCTAGTTAGTGTTTTATGGTTTCTGTTTCACTGATTGATGTATACTCAACATTTCTATTTATTCAAATGTACACAGTGTATAGGTTGTTAAACAATACTGATATGTGTGTTGAAGACTTGAGATGTACACAGTGTATAGGTTGTTAAACAATACTGATATGTGTGTTGAAGACTTGAGATGTACACAGTGTATAGGTTGTTAAACAATACTGATATCAGTGATATGTGTGTTGAAGACTTGAGATTTGCATCTTTTACAATTTCATGTACATGTAAACATGTAAATGATTCAGTATGAGTCACATTAAAACTGTTGTTTAATTGAATGGGATTCTAATTTCTGTTGAAAGACTAGAATACAATGTACATGTAGTTCATCCTATCATATACCATACCAACATACCTTATAATTTTGACCAGCTCACTCATATTTACATTATCAGGTACCAAGAATTTGGTTTTGTCAAGCAGTGGTAAATTTTTCTCCTTTTCATATCTTTCAATTATTACCTATAAGTAAAAAAAATCTCTTAAAATTTTAAGTTATCACATAAATTATGTATCAATACCTATCTAAGAAGTTATCAACATGATTGAACATTAATCAGTTTTTATTATTTTTCATACTGTTATATCTTTGGATTAAGAGGTAACATCTATGTACAATTTGATATACATGTGGATAGTGAGTATGGTTATCATGGTTATATAAATGTATATAAAACTGAAGAATGATTAAAAGAGATACGTCAAGTACATGTAAAATGGCATTATTTGGCCAACTTGAGATTATTTTTATTGGTATCTATCAGAATGAATGTATAACCTTTTAAGATGAAACATGACTTTTCTTCATTTCTATCATGATTCAATACAGTTACCAAAATGTCTTCCCTCAGCAGACTGTTATCTAATGAGCTGATCACTTGTTGTGCATGTATACATGTAACATTGAAAACCTGACTCACCAAGTGACTTAGTCAGTCTAGTAAAATGCACACATCACATCAATATTTTTAATTGCTATAGTCCTAGGTATGCTTTTTAAAATATTTGCCACTGACCATTAAACAGCAATCCATCATTTGATAAATCTCATACAGGTCATAAGTGATTCCTTTTACAAATACTATAACTTGTAAAACATGCAAAAGTTTTATTTAAAGTCAAAGCACCATGATGATAAGCATGGCGCCAAATTATCTCCATGGAAATTGAATGAGACTTGCAAATGCTTATACAACTGTACTCTATTGTTGACATCATATTAGTGGTTTATCTTAACCTAATCTGATCACAGACTTTAACATGAAAACTATGCAGTCAACAGACCATGACTAAGGGGAAGGGCCAAATAATCCCCATGGAAATGAGATGTGCCAATACTAATACATCTGCATACCAAATATCATTGACCTACCACTAACAGTTCCCCTTAAACTGACCTAATCATGAACTAATACATGTAAACTTAAGCAAAACATTCAGTCAATAGACCATTACTGAGGGGGCAGGACCTAATGATCTCCATGGAAATTAGATGTGCCAATGTGAATACAACTGCATACCAAATATCACTGACCTACCACTAATGGTTGCCCTTAAACTAACCTACATGTAATTATCAACTTATGTAAAGTTTGTGAGTGCATTGGCCAAGTTTACAAATCAATAACCTTTACATGGTATTACCTCTAGATAAAATGTGTTTAATCCTTATAATTACATTTGTCTGTATGATATCAAGCTGTGTATGAATATATCACAGTGAAATCAACATAGTTTACAAAGCCTGAAAGGGAACAATAGTTATAGCAACATGGTCTATCAAAGTGTTAACCAAGGGGGAAAATTCTAACAGATCAATCACATTCAAGTATTTGTAGATATGCAAGTTATATAAGAATTATTAACAAATACAATGTACATACTGGTATCTTGTCATCATGTTGACATCTGATAGCTTCAACATCTCTACTTCTCTGTTCTATAAAGAAACATAAACTAAGTAAAATTACATTATATACATGTAATGTAAACCAGGAAAATTTCGCACCGTCTTTATTTCTTGATTTACCAACTGAATCATGATTTACACCTTTTGAATATAGGGCTCCTATATAAATTTTAATAAATGATTACGAAAGGGTTCAGTTGTACATGTATCCTACACATGTATCATACATGTAAATCAAATGTTTTATATTGACCAGAAAACACTTTTGTTTCAACAATATCTTTGGTTCATTGATGCACATGCATATTTAAAGTTTTTTTTTTACTTTATATACAAGTATATATCAATCAATCAAACAAACTTTCAGCTTCAAAGCTCTTGTCAGTCTTAACCCTTTTGCTTGTGGACTATTTCTGCATGTTATGTGAAACATGTTCATGAGTTTAAATGCTTCCAGTTTTTTCTCAAATAGTCTTTTATTAATTATAGGACTTTGAACATTTCAATAATTCGGGTCAGTGTGTTGTTTACTATTATAATATAAGACTAGGACTAGTAGGAGCGTGTAATTACTGAAACTACTAAGAGGGATATATTTGACTTCATCTTTTATTCTTCTCTTGAACACTATATTAACATCATCTAGTCCAATATGGAAAGCTTACCGTAGTTCCTCCTCTCCTTGAACCTGGTAATTTTATTCATGATTTAGGTACTTTATAACTGCGAATTACGTTTTCAATGTCCTAGTTTTTTGGCAGGATGTTTTTGACATTCCTTTAATTAAATGCCACCCCATGTCTTAATGCTATTTTAATGAACGAGATGATAAAATGTCGAGATGGTAAAATTTGACATAAATAAACAGAGAAAATTAAAAAAAATAATGAAAGAATTGTTCACCCTTATCTAATTTGAGATCCTAACAGTAAAGTTTGATTCAATTATTACTTTGTGAGGTAGTATAACGGAATAGCGATGGTATAACTATGAACCGAAAGTAAATCAAATCAAACCAAATAGGTTTATTTCCTAATTAAAGGGCTCTTAAGGGCATATACATCACAAACAAATAATGATAATAAAAAGACAGACATATATAAATTCATTTTAGACAAAACATTCATTCAAACATTATCTAGTGAAAGAAAGATAACTCCAATCAATAATATGTCACTAAAACGTGCAGTTAGGTGTGTCAGCTATAAAACCAGGTTTAATCAACCATTTTTTCTACATAAGAAAATGCCTGTACCAAGCCAGGAATATGACAGTTGTTATCCATTCGTTTGATGTGTTTGAGCTTTTGATTTTAACCTTTTGATTAGGGACTTTCCTTTTTGAATTTTCCTCGGAGTTCGGTATTTTTGTTATTTTACTTTCAATTTGGTAAATTTATTTTCCAATTTTTAATTTTCAGTTTCAAAACTTATGTACAGGTATTTACATAAAGATGTTATATAGCATTGACATACTCCAAATGAATAAATCAGGGGCGGATCCAGGATTTGGGAAAGGGGGGGCGTAGTATGTAAAATTTTTGGGACCTTTTTTGGGCTAAAAAACATAAAATAAGTGTAAAATGCATATTTTTAGTGACGGTTCCTAACGTGGGGTATGTATATTTTATAGTTAAAGTGTAAGCTTGGGTTGGACATTTTTGATGCCGCATTCTCCCCATTAATTGTCTATTATAAAATGATTGAATGGATCTAAAGCTATGTACTAATTTATTTGATGTGGGATTTGTTAGTAAAAAATGGACATGGACAATTCTCGTTTGTTGTATATGGTTAGTTAGCATAAACTCACAGATTACTTGTTGTAAACATGATATACGGCTATTCAATGAAGTTTATAATACGACCGATACGAACAAAGACAAACAAGCAATTTTTTTCCAAATGTTTGGTTGAAATGTTTCACTCAACAAGAGAAGTGAGGGGTTCCAAATCAACCAAAGGCTACGAATGAGTCTGAAAATCAAATGACAACGAAGTTGTGAATGACGGTCGACAAATGGAGACATAAAGGCCACATCCAGCAGGCAAGTTGCAGTTGGGCCTTGAAAAAAGTATTCAGTATATCAGTTCGGCGAAACAGACATTCCGGTCAGATATGGGATTTACATGCAAACCTCCCCAAAAAAATTACGCCCGTTTTTTCATTCACCGTGTTCATTTAATGCTGAATTAATCTGTTGGATTTTTTTTTCTTATAGCAAAAAGGGGACACGATAATTGTTTTCATTACAGATACGGCCAGAATTTTTGTTTAAGGCAAAAATCAGGGTCAGAATTTTTTCTCTAAAATATCTGAGACTGCCCTATCAAATCAAATGGTCCGTACCTTAGACTTAAATTACATCTAGAGCTTACTGACTGGGGATCATTATTCAGCAATGTTATTAATTGGCTGGGGCGTGCTGGGTTAAACATATTTTCGTAGGTAAATAATATTGCCGTGGAACTTTTTTTTTCATGAGAGTGTAATAGAGTATTACTTTCTGTTGAGTGGAAATATGAAATAGAAGTCAATACGTTCTTGCTCAATCCTTTGTCGCTTTGAAGGCATCATGCTTGTCATCCTCCGCCTAAGCAATGTGTTATTGCAATTTGAATTTCAAAATGACTGATTGACGTTTCAAACGTACTGATCAACTCCATCGTAGCGAAACACATAACTGACATAATCAATAAAATATTACAGTAAATACGAGCGAAAAATATCTTTATAAGTAAAGAATTGTCGCATAAAAATCAAATACACGACCGGGAAATGGCAAAGTTCACGAAGTCTAGTCTGATTCATCATTTTCCAAAAAAAAAGTTCAAGCAAAAGGGGGGGGGGGGGGGGGGGGGGTGCGTACGCCCTCTACGCCCCCTCTGGATCCGCCACTGTTAAATTCTCTAAGTTTAGTATTCTCAACTTTGGATATTTGATAAATAGACTATCAGGTAAAACTGTGCTCGGTGCTACATATAAAGGACATTCCAATACAAAATGGAGCTCGTCCTCAATCACGTTCAAATTACAATATTGACAAAGTCTTTCACATCTTGGAATATATCCCAGTTTACCTGAAGAGTTGAACCTGCGTTCATGACGGCCAGTTTCAATTCTTAATTTATGATAACTCAATCTGAATTTTGTAAGAATTTCCAATCATCAGTATGTTTATCGGATAAATAGTTCTCTCTAACAAAGGAGAATTTGAATTTGAAATATGTGCTTAATTTGCCATTATCATGTAAATAAAAAGACTTTACTTCCTTCCAGGTCTCAAGGAAGCTGTTTCTGAGACAGATTTTAAAAGGGATTTCTTAAATATATGTTTACTCCAGTTTTTGCAATTGGTCAGATCAATGCTTAATGTTTCACCATAAAAGAGTAGGTTTGTGAACCAAGAGCTAATCCTATGAGCTTTGTTTATGTTGTGCAAATGAATATATTCCTTGTATGGGTAGGTGAGCAAGTTTGATGGTGAGTTTTCTAGTCTGTGCCAATACATGAAGATTTGTTTTAACATGTATAGAGGATGTTTTCCAAGTTCTGTTTTACAACTCCTATGTTAGTACACAATTTAGAGGACCCCAAGTTCGTATTTGCAAAACTTGAAGTGGAGTTTTTTTGGTCTCCCAGTCCTTGAATATATCAAAAAGTGTTAATGATGTTCTCTTTGGAGCAATGTAAATAACACCCCAATTCTCACAACCGTACAGAATAATAGGTTTGATACAATGATCAAATAAATGTAGGGATATGTTTATGCTTGGGCTTGAGGATTTCAAGTCTCAATACAGCTTAAAACAGGCTTTCAACATTTTGAGAAATAGTTGTGTTTTTTTAGCCTCATTAAAGTTCCCAGTATTCTCAATAATAAGGCCCAAGTATTTATTTTGCTATACACATTCTATGTATTCTTTCCCAATAAGGAAATTATCCTGTAACAATCTTCCGTTATTGTTCAAAATAATTATTTTTGTTTTATTGGAGTTTACTTCTAGACAGCATTCATTACAATATTTATGTAAAACATCAAGTTTGTTTTTGAAGTTCTACCTTAACTATTTTCTGAAAAGAAACATTTTTTTTTTAAATCATCTCTATAGAGGAGGCATGGTGTCTGCTTGTTATTAAGACAAACTGAATCTGACTTTTCTTGTAAAATTGTTTGGAGTTCATTATAGAAAAACTTAAATTGATTGGGAATCAAAACATCGCCTTGTCTTACTCCAACCTCTGCTGTTAAACAACTCTGTCATCATTTTGTTGTCCACTTTTACGCTAACCTATCATTTGAATACATAGATTTCAATATTCTATAAAAATAATTGTTGATATTACAAAGTTGCAATTTATACATAATGCCCATGTGTATAACTTTATCGAATGCGTTTCGAAAGTCCACAAAACATGTAAACAATTGTTTGTTACCAGTTTTCAAATATTTTTCAATTAAACATCTTAATACAAAGATATGGTCTGAGCTACGGGCCTTCTTTGAAAATCCTATTTGAGTTTCGTGAATTATCAATCTGATTAAATTTCAAATCTATATTAACTCGCGTGCTCTTATTTAGTTCATATGAGGATAACGAAATCAGAGGTCTATATTTTAACTAGATTGGTGAATTATGTTGTTATCAGATAAGAAATTATCAAATCTGTTGTTTAATATCAAATTAAATAGTTTACCCATGCTACATGTATATATACCAGAGGTAAAGACTGCATTAAAACCTTTGCGGGGGTTTAGGCATGATCTTCTGTGTAACAGATGTTTTCAATAAAATTTCTTGGTTCTCTGACTGCTTGAAAAATTAAATGCATTGATTTTTTTCAAGTGATTTTTTCAATTATTATTAGTAGTCATAAGACAACCGTATATCAACATATAAACTGAATCATTGCATATAAAACATGAGAAGATGTGGTATGATTGTCAATGAGACAACTCTCTACCATAGACCAACTGACGTAGAAGTTAGCAACTTCATGTCATCGTACGGCCTTCAACAATGAGCAAAACCCATACCGCAATAGCAATATGCTATATAAAGGCCCCGAAATTACAAATATAAAACAAGTCAAATGAGAAAACTAACGGCCAATACATTTCCGTCGGAAAGGTCACTTTTACCTTACCCTGACCTCATTGGTCATCATCTGCAGTTCTGTGATCTACGTTAAGTTTTCGTTATTAATAAAATTGAGAATGGAAATGAGTATGTGTCAAAGAGACAACAACCCGACCATAGAACAGACAACAGCAGAAGGTCACCAACAGGTCTTCAATGCAGCGAGAAATTCCCGCACCCTGAGGCGTCCTTCAGCTGGCCCCTAAACAAATATATATACTAGTTCAGTGATAATGAACGCCATACTAAACTCCAAATTGTACACAAGAAACTAAAATTAAAAATAATACAAGACTAACAAAGGCTAGAGGATCCTGACTTGGGACAGGCGCAAAAATGCGGCGGGGTTAAACATGTTTATGAGATCTCAACCCTCCCCCTATACCTCTAGCCAATGTAGAAAAGTAAACGCATAACAATACGCACATTAAAATTCAGTTCAAGAGAAGTCCGAGTCTGATGTCAGAAGATGTAACCAAAGAAAATAAGCAAAATGACAATAATACATAAATAACAACAGACTACTAGCAGTTAACTGACATGCCAGCTCCAGACTTCAATTAAACTGATTGAAAGATTATGTCTTCATCATATGAATATCAGGCATTTCTCAATACACAATAAGCAATGCATCAACTGTATTTTGTGTAT